TTTTATTAAAGCTACTTATATAAAAATTAAGAAGTTAGAAAAAATAAATACTTAGAAAGTCATTAGCTAAGCAATAGTTTAAAAAAAGCTAATACTACTTAAATAAGTATTTAATTATAAGTTTAATAAGGACTATTATTTTAATTATTATAAAATAAAAATATATATTAAGGGCGACTTCTAAAAGTAATACTTTTTAAAAAAAACGTACGTAACTATTTTTATTATTAGGATTTTTAGAATAGTAATAGTTATTATTACTTAATTTAATTTAGAAGTTTATTAATACGATATTATAAATACGTTTTTAAACGTAATATAGAAACTAAGTAACCCTTTTATTATATATAAGTTCCTAAACGGCTTTAAGTAGTTAAGTAAGTATATTAAACTTAAACGAGCTTTTTATAATACCCATAATACTCCTCTATTTTAATATAAAGAACTCTTAATAATTTTAAGATCCTTTGGGCTTATATTTATAAACGAGGACTTATATTTATTTTAAATTTAAAATAAAAGGGTCCTAGTTCTTTTTTATATAGATAATATCCTTATATTATTTTATAAGAACTATGTTTATAAAGCTAGTTAAGTAACTAAGGGGTTTAAAAAGAAATATAAATTAAAAGACTAAGGACTAGTTTCGTAATATTTAAATATTAGAGTTATCTAAGATTAACTAAACTAAAAGATCTATTTTACTTATAATTAGTATATTAAAAGAGTTATTAAGAAGTTTAATCTTATTAATATAAAAGTACTAGTAATACCGTTACTAACCGTACTAATTAAAAAGAATTTAGGAATTATATTACTAGCTAAAACTAAGTCGTTTTAAAAAAAAATAGGGTTAATTTTATATATAGTAATAATAATACGATTTAATATCGTTTTTATATACGTTTTATTATTTTAGTTTTTTATAAACCTGTCTTGTTAGTACTATTTTGTTATAGATTAAGTTATATAATACTTTTTTTATATTTATTACTTTATTATATATTTTAGTATTTCGGGGGGTAGGTAGGTATTAATAATTATAAATAACGTTTTATTTATAAATAATAAAGAGACCTAAAAATCCTCTTAAGGATATATAATTTTTTTTTTTAGCGGATTCGTTTAGTAAAAAGCTATAAAATAAAATATAATAATAATTTTAATAATTAAAGCCGAATTACTTAGTTTAAAATATATTACTAAAGAGATACTCGTTTTAAAACGCCTTTTTAATAATATATTATTTAAACTCGGGGACGTTTAGAAAGTTTATTATAATAATCGTTAAATAATAAAGCTTATAGTAGAAGAAGGAGAATATATCTTAACTTACTTTTATTATATTAATATTTAGAATATATAGCTATATTAAGAGTATTTAAAAAGCTTATTTAAAGTGGTTTATATATTAATAAATAAAATATTAGCTAACGGTCTTATAAAAAGCCTTTTATAAACGAAGTTTAAATACTTTATATTATTTTTAAATATAAGGGATATATAAAGAATAGTTATATAAAACGAGGGAATACTAAAGAAGTAGTAAAACGTCCTAGGGGGCCTAGGTTTTTAATTTATAAATATAACTTATAGCTAGGGAGTATAAAATTATTTTAGTAACCCCGTTAGGTTATTATAAAAAGATTACTTATTTAAAAAGGTAAGTATATATTTATTTAAAAAGGATTTTAATATAGGTATTACGTCCACGGGAATATAAATATTAACGAGGGTATTAATTTTAATTTAAATATTATTAGTTTTTATACATAAGGTAATTAATACTTTTTTTTTTTTAATAAGCTTTTTTAATTAGGTTTTAAATATAAAGAGAGTATTTATAAACGTTTTTTTTACTAAAGCTTTATTTATACGAGCTACTTTATTTTTAATTTTATTTAGTAACCCGTTAGTTACTAGGGCTTTATATAATATTATTATTATATAAGTTAGGTTTTAGAAATAGTTAGTAATTAATTTAGAATAATAAGTATATATAAAGACTAACTTTTTATAGGGTCTCTATTAGATTTTTTTTTTTATTTATTTAAAGTATAAGAACTTTTTATTTAGCTCGCGTATATACTCTTAGAGGGGAGCGTAGCTAGACTTCTTATTAGCTTAATAATATATATATTTATTATTAGTACTTAAGCTTAAGAAGTACTACCTCTCCGTTCGTTTACTAAGGGCGTTTTTAATATAACCTAAGTATTTAATACTAAATAATAGTAATACTTATTTAAAAAATCCCTTAGTATTAGGGGTACTAGAGGGGTATATTATTAAAAATTAGAATCGTAAATAATAATATTAAAAAAAGGATATTATATTTATAAAGAACTATTTTATACTTATTAAAAAGGAGCAAGGGAGGGGGCTCTAAACTACCTTTATTTTTACTTATTTTTTAAATAGTCTTTTTTTTAATTAAAAAGCTATTATTTATAAATAAGAACGTTAATAAGTTTAAAAATAAAGTTATAATATAATACTATTACTTAGCTAACCGGAGTTTAATATAAGGAAAGTATTATTTATTTATAAATAGATTATTATTATAAATAAGGGAGCTACCGCTCTCCCCTAAAATCGTTTTAAAGTACTTAGCTTTATATATTATAGTAATATAAGTACGTTTTTTAATTTTAATATATTTAAGTATTTATTTTAAATAATATTATTAATTACGATTCTTATTTTTATTAATAAGTATATATATAAATATAAGTATAAAAGTAAAAAATAAGAATATATATATATAGTTAGTATATAAATATAGGTTAAAAAAAGAAAGGAAAATTAAAATAATAAGTAGCTATAAAGAATTTATTTACTTACTTATTTTAAATTATAAGCTAATTATTTAGCTAATAAGAGGCTGCCCCTTAGTCCTACTTATTATTAATAAAGGAGCCTTAAGATTATTTATAATAATAAATATGGCTAATAAATTATTACTTATTTACTTTATACCTATAACTTAGTATATAATACGATTTATTTTATAATTCTTTTTATAAATAAATTTTTATATAATATTATTTAGATTTACGTATTTAGTAATACTTTTTATAATAATATAAATAGTTCGGCGTGCTTTTTTTAAATAAGGATTTGTTTAGGGGGGTATATTATAATAGCTTTAATTATTTATAGCCTTATTATATATTACGTAATTTTGGTTATATAATTACCTAAGGTCTATACTCGCTTATATTCTCTATTTCAGGGCGAACCTCGTACCTATTTCCTATTTTTAATAAATAACCGTTCTCTATATTTAACGTCGATGCCCCTATTTATGACTATATGATAATCTGGTAGTTGGAGCAGATGGTGTGCAAAGTCGAACACGCATTCTGACTTGGGGTGAGGCTGGCGAGGAAGACAGGAGAAGAAGGCTCGGGATGTACGGAGGCTTCTTCAGTATGCCTCGTGGTCCGACTGACTCGACATGGCGTCGCTGGTTCCACGCGCCCGGTCGACGTGGCATCATGATCCGTCCATCTGGCGTGGAAGATAGAACAACGGTCTTCATGGCTGTTGTCAACGAAAAAGATAGCCGATTACGGGCTGCTGGGGAGCGAAAAGGCGGAAATACGGATGCTCAAAAAGCCATTCTTCAAGAGTATTTCCAGGGGCTCGGCTGGGAAACTGATCGTGTCATCAAGGAGATGATCGCCACAGACGACTTCTACTACGACACTGTCTGTCAGATCAAGATGGACAAATGGAGCAAAGGAAGGGTTGTTCTCCTGGGTGATGCCGGGTATTGCGCTTCTCCTCTATCTGGGATGGGAACGACTTTGGCAATGAGCGGCGCTTATAACCTAGCGGGCGCGATTTTACGGCACCCAAATAATCTTGAGGCTGCTTTCAGCGACTATGAAGAGAAGATGCGTCCTACTGTTGTTCGCGCGCAAAAGCTGGCACCTGGTATGCCTCACTCGCTCCATCCCGAGACGGTCTGGGGAGTTTGGCTGTTGAACGCGATCATGTTTGTTCTCTACTGGTCAGGGCTATTTTCCTTTTTCGCGAGATTCGCTGGACCACCGGCGAACAACATCCCGGTGGAAGAATATGGGTTCCAGTCACTACCGATTTATAAAGACTATTAGGTCCGTCGGGAGATCGACATTACTGTAGGATAGATCCACCGCTCAATCCTTAGGACAGCTCCACTACTTTAAGAAATTACTTTTAGACGTTGAATGCTTAAAGAATTAATCGAACGCAGGCTTGAAATCAATCAGTCGGCGAGCAACGTAATAATGCGTTACTCAGTGAGTCATTTCCCGAGGTATTGGGGAAGAAACTTGTTCGACCGGGATACCAAAGCAGTGCTTTCATGTTGGTATACTATAAGATTCGATAAGTGAATTGCCTTCAGGTCGAGTCAACGCCCGCTGAACATCTTGCTCCTACGATTGACCACAATGCCCTCACGCAAAGTCCGATTCTGGATTTACTCGACAGCACGGTACTAAGATCGCATTGCCCGGGTGTAACCGCCCATCATTGACCGGCCGCGAAATACAGCGCACTAGGCAGCGAAAGCCTATGTAGCGGAGCTTTGACTAAAGAACTGAAGAATTTGAACTAGTTGCTTGGACGTAAGGTTCAGAGTGGCTATTGACAGCGTATAAATAGACTTCGGACCCATTACTTACCACTTTGGGGTATTGTATCCAGCCGACATCAGCGGACTTGGCCGGGTCGCGCGGCCCCCGAAACAGCGCGCGAGAAAAGAAATAACGATAAAAAACGAAACATGTGCAAATGCTTCCTAGTTGGGTGAAGGCGCATTGTCAGCAAGTTTCTCATATTTCGGGACCCGACCTCGCCTCTGCCGTTCAAGTTCTTACAATCTTTGTTGTACACTCATCGGCTCCCGCGTCGTCCGCTTGCACACCGAGAACTCGCCTACGAGATCGACGAGCAGTAGCCCCCAAAGGACCCTTGCTACAGGCCTATCGCTTAGCAGAGGGAGAGACATGGACGACAGCCAGCTGGACGCCAGCGGCCATGAGGATGGGCCTGACGATGCGCCAGAAGAAGCGCCTGAGCCGTCCTCGGCGAATCCTCAGATTGCTATTCGCAGGGCTGTAAGTGACTCAGATGAGCTCTGAAGATTCCAACTGACTGAATAATTAGTGTGACGCTTGTCGTGCTCGCAAGGTGAGTGAGTTTGCTTGTTGAGAGCCATTTACACCGACCATTTACTTGTACCCACCGCCAAGGGTTGACAACGATGGGGCTTCGCAACTATTCAACCTTGGCACAACGTTTGTTTTTGGAACAAAGCAGACACTGACCTGGATATAGATCCGCTGCAATAGAGAATCACCTTGTTCATATTGCACGCACGCCAAAATAGAGTGTACACATGCCGACAATAAGCCCAAGGAGAAACGGACCAGAATTCTCATCACCCCACAATAGTAAGCAGGCATAGCACCGAACACAGTGTTCGCCTTTGTATCAGCCCATCACGATGTATTGTCGTTACACTAGGCCGAAGTTCCAAATAGGTTGTTGTGCAGTCTCAGCTAACATGTTTGACTTACCTTAGTGAACGCAAAATTGATCAGATTGACCGTCGACTCGAGACGGTCATCCGCCTCCTGCAAGACATGAAAGTCAATCCATCTTCTAAGAGTAATACAAGTCGAGCCGAGCTACTCAATTTCGCATTGACCACAGCTGCCACACCTCAGGTCGAAGGCCCGCCATGCTCAGCTCAACGCGTCTCATCTACTTCAACTCCTGCCACCACGGCAAGTCAGACCATGCAATCAGACGAAGGTGAAGGCGGCATTGTCGAGGGGGACTCTTCTCTTGCAGCGCATTCTGTATTTGCTACCGAGTTTTTGCAAAAGGTTGTGAGCACAGAGTCGCTGCAGGACTCAAGTCTAGATCTCGGCGAGACGCTTGATGCGTTGTCACAAATCGTCAATGCCTTGAAGCAACCGACTGCCGCGGGGGAGATGACATATCCTCACGCGAAGCCGTTTACTCGGGTTCGTGCCCAGGGCATTGAGTTACCGCCTATAGAAAAGGCGGTGCACACTATCAGAATCGCAAAAAGTAAGCACGGTGGAAAATACCTTTTAAATATGGGCTTCCCGCACTAACCGCGGGTTGATCTCTCAGGTCAACGTCTCACGGGCATGGCTTGGATATACGACTTTTTGCCATCCCGTCGGTTCCCGGATCTCTGTCTCAATGTCTACTTTTCGGACAACTACTCGGAATATGATTACATCACTGTGAACGGAGGCCTCTATTCGCTGTTCACAGACTACGCTGCGCAAGTATCAGTTGATGAACAAAAAGAGTACTTTGATTATGCCAAGTAAGTACACCTGATGAGAACTATGTCTGAATTTGGACATCTAACTATTTGCAGGATTTGTCGTGTGAATCTGGAAACGTGTTTAGCGAATCTTCCGCTCCATCTACCGGCATCTTCTGATGTGATTGTCGCGCTTCTATTCGGAGTAAGTCTCGTTTTCTACATCAGCGAGCAATTGCTGGGAGCTAACTCTGGCAGACTTTCCATGCCGTTGAAATCTCAAAACCTACGCTTGCTTGGACACTGTCCTCTAAAGCATCAGAACTATGTCAGACTCTTGGATACCATCGAGCAGAGTCTCTGAAGAACACTAAAGATGATGGCAAGCCCACAGTCCATGGGATGCACTGGCATCAGTTCCTCTTCTGGAATGTTTATTACATCGACAAGAGTCTGTCACTTCGCCTGGGCAGAGCATCAACTATTCCAGACTGGCACATTACCATGCCTCTCCCATCACTGAAAGAGCCGGTCGCAAGTCCGATACTACCATACTTGGTATTGTGGATTCGAACAGCGAAGTGTCAGGGTCAGATCTATGAGCTGCTGTACAGCCCCGACTCGATGATTCAACCGTACCATGTTCGTCAGACCCGGGTTCATGAACTAGTCTCCCTTCTCCACGACATCGATCAGAAAACGCAAGAAACCACTGTAAGTCCAATAGTAGCTTCAAACCTGGATAGTTGGACTTACGGAAGACAGGCCAATTATCAGGCATTTGCCAAAGACGGAGTGGAAGAGCACTTTGCCGAGTTTTACCTGTCTTCAGACTACGTTCTTCGGCTTTCACTTCTTACCCTGGTGTACCGGGCTGCCCCGAGAGTTGAAGGTTCGCCAACAACATTCAGCCCTGAATGCATCAAGGCTGCACGAGCAGCACTGGAAAAGCATCAAGAATGCGTTGCTATCATGCGCAAGTCCCACGATGTTTACTTCGCAACCTACATTCACTGGTTAGTCAAACGAACACTTACATGATGTACCACGTTTTAACATGAACTTTTCCCCGCGCAGGACCGTGCTTTTTGCACCATTCATTCCCTTCATCGTTCTTTTCTGTCAAGTAATCGAGACCCAAGACAAGGAAGACTTGGCACGACTGCATTCTTTCGTTGTGTTCTTGCAAGAGACATCAAAAATGTCTGACGCAGCAGCCAAGATGTGCCGCCTTTTCCAAGTCTTATACAGCGTCGCTCTCCGCTTCGTTGAATTCCGCGCGTCAACTCCTCAATCGCGACAGACGCAAGCTAGCGCCGAGATGGACGCTTACCTAGCGGCCTTGGGATTCCCACCAAAGGGGGCTGAGGGAGGTCAACATCCGCAGCAACAGCAACCGACCGCGTTCGCTCAAATCACAAGCACCGCTCCGGACGTAGTCCCCACGTCTGGAATCGCGGGTGTCGGAGTGGACGCCATGGACGAGAGCTTGAGGCCTGGGAACCCGATGATGTGGATGACCAACGCCGCTCAATTAGAAGATTTCTTTTACACTAATACGGCGATGATGGACCTACTACAAGAGCCCGGATTCGAATCAACTCAGCAGCACTAGAAGCTCAGATTGCACCGGAAGAGCAACGCAAGAGCTGTACGACATAAGTATGATCAATACAGCCTCAGAGGCATTAGGTGGCATGCCTTTACCCACATGATTACGAGCGAAACGTCGAGAGAGCGCAGGGTGAAGCATAGGAAGGGACCAAAAAAGGGAAATAAGTCATAGAAGGCCATTGTTGAGCCTATTAGTCCGGTCGCATGTTGGGCTCTACACAGCTTTTTGTAGAGAGGTCGTGTCACTTAGAGACCTTCCGGCTGTAAGGGAGCAGCTAAGTCTCACTCAGCCGTAGAAGCCAAGTCAGCACGTGATTCTCCCCTCAATTCTGCATATTTATTGCCTCAACCGTGACTACCTAGCTCAAACATCAACAAGACAGCCTCGAGCTTCAGCCAAAGGACAAAACCGAGCGTGCGATGAACTTCGTACTGCAGTCCCAAAATCATCACAATATCATGGAGTCTGAGCCTGAATCTACGCCTGTTCTTCTGAGTGCGCTTCTTGAGTGGTGTGATCGGGTGAGGAGTGACCGCGAAGCTCTGCAAAGGTGCAAGAGAAGCCTCGAAGATGCGAGCCTGCGGAGACAGGAGATGAAGGACGGGTGCCCATTCTGTACACTTCTCGACGAAGCAGTCTCAAAGTTGTATGGCGACTACCTTTCTGCTGGCAGGTCACTCGGATGGACTTCATTCCCGCGTGCTCTGGAGGCTATACGTGATGATGGGGGAAACCCACTTCGATTCTGTGTATCTGAACGTAAGCAACTCCAGCCGTTGACATCATCGCAGGGACTTGCCAGGAACAGATTGAAACTAAATACCTGGGAGATTGCACGGCTAATTATTTGAGCTAGATACTGAGTTGACTGAGCGTCTACGCCCATTCCCGACTTTGGGTTTCGGCACCCGACATCTGTCTGAGTATAGGCCTATTTCCCGCAATACCGCCTCCGAAGCGACTCTACAGATAGTGAAGGAATGGCTTCTTGACTGTACAACAGACCACCCGCTATGCAGTAAGGATGATAAAGTCAAGCTGCCAAGTAGAGTTATCTGTATTGGCACAAAGGAGTCTGAAGTACGTTTGCTAAGCACGAACGGTTCCATTGGCAGATACGCCTGCTTGAGTCACCCCTGGGGCAAGCGGCCGTTGCTGCGAACACTGAAGAAGAATTTCTCCCAGTTCGCCAACCATATTCAGTGGTCAGATCTGCCTTCAACTTTCAGAGATGCCATCGACTTTACCCACCGACTTGGTCTCAAATATATCTGGATCGACTCCCTGTGCATTATTCAGGATGATCCTCTCGACTGGCAGACGGAGGCCGCAAAAATGGCCGACATTTATCAGAATGCCTACATTACACTCGCTGCTTCCAAAGCAGTTGACTCCAGCCGTGGGCTTTATACTTCTTCCTTGGATCCTAGACATCGAGCGCACCAGCTATCGCTCATGAATGATGTAGATGATTCGGATCTCAAACTACACGCGTATTCGGAACTGCTACATATTGATAGTTTCTGGTCCTACTTCCCTATCACGAAGCGGGCATGGGTTTTTCAGGAACGTCTGCTATCCGGTAGAGTTGTGCACTTTGCGGGTTCCGAATTGAATTGGGAATGTCGCTCAACGAGGACGTGCGAGTGTGGTGAGATCTCGATCTCCACCTCTTTGCCTGAGAAGATCCAGTTCTCAGGTAGTTTGGCCGAGTTAAGCGGGCAGTACAGTTCGATGACAGCAGAACAGCCGCCTTCGACTCAATCAAATGGTCAAGACGAAAATCTAGACTACAGCAAGTTTACCCCGGCACTACTCCATTCGCCCAGGTGGACCAAAAGCGTCAAAACGTGGCGACAGACAGTACAGTCCTACTGTGCTCTCAACTTGACATTTTCAAAGGATATATTTCCGGCTCTGGCTGGCATTGCAAAAGTTTGGAACCCACAGTACGAGAAGGTCTATCGAGCAGGACTTTGGACGGACTCGTTGCATCTGGACCTCTTGTGGCTCGTCTACAAGCCCGAAAAGCGCCCCGATGCATGGAGGGCCCCGACGTGGTCTTGGGCGTCTCTCGAGTACCACAACGATGAGTTCATACGCTTCGACTCTGACTCAGATTGTAGGAACTCAGGTAAAGGCAGTTGGTTCTCGTTGGGCAAGACGGGAAGCGACGATTACGCCCCTGTTGCAGATATCATTGAGGCAGTCTGCGTTCCAGCTGGCATTGATCCGACCGGAGAACTCAGTTCTGCCCATCTCCTGCTCTCAACTTTTGCGATCTCCGGAACCCTAGTGAAGTGGCCTGGTGTGCTCGTTGAATACGGGGTCAGCCCCGTCTGGCTCGTTGTCGGGGACTTGTGGATCAGCCAGGGCGACAGCCATACCAGGGGCTTGCAGTTGGACGCCCCGATCATTGGTGCGAATGACGGGTGGTCGATTCCCGTTCGCATTATTCGCATAACGGATTTCGGTATCAACACAGGCAACCCTCCTGAAATGGCCTGTCTGGTTATCCGATCGAAACAAACCGCAATTACAGGTGTGCAAATTGAGTATGAACGTCTAGGTTACGTCCGATTTGTAGAACAAGGATTCTCACAAACGCCGGTCATCGCGAATAAGTATCCAACTCTAGAACCCAGCGTTGAAGATTGGTTGATAAGTTACCGGGAGTACATCAAAGGAAATTATACGCGGGAATCGAAGGTATCAAATCTGCGGCGTCTCAAAGATTGTTTCGAAGAGTCAGGGCGTAAGATTTTCAAAATTGTGTAGCTATCTAAACGCTCTCCTCTCATGCTGGCACTCAATACTTCGCGAAGAGATCTGGGCCAAGCAGTGCCCAAGGTATTACTGAAAAAGGAACATTGCTGGTACTTCATCTTGTTTTATGATCTCATCTGGTTTGTAATATCATCCGCATTTTGAACTTGTAATTAAATGACAAGCAGGTAATATTTTTCAATACTCAATCAGTAGATTGTGATCGATGTCTTGGGCTTTGCAGCTGCCCATACGTTTCGATACCAGACCTGCCTTTCAGACCAATCATTGCAAATAACCTCCAACAGCCCTACTCTAATGTAAGAACTCGTCGCATCTTGGGCAACAATCAGAAAAGAATCCCGTGTGCCTTTTGTTCGCGCTTTTCTGCTACCCAACATGAACCCATATCCTTTGATGTAGATCAACTCAGCAGGAAGAAAAGTGCAATGCCTACACAATTCCGGGAATTTCTCAGGCCGACTATTGCGTATGAAGCAGCGGTTCATTCGTTCCACTGAAGGGTCAACCCATACCTCCGATTCCGCGGACCCAAACTCCAGCGGTGTCTCGCCAGTCACTGGCGCACACTCTTCCCGAAACTCTCGCTCGTCTTCCCGGGCATAAAGTAAATACCTGCCGTATATCCAATCTGTCCCACGTCGCTTCCAATCCCATTGCGTGCACGGTCTCTGTATCATGATAGGCAGACGCGCTGCTAACACCGTTAGGAAGCCAAAGGACACCGATCCATAGAGATCAGCTCCAGCTGGTGAACAGCTTATCTGGACTGTATCCTTGATCCCGGGAGTCTCATCATCCAACAACTCGGCATCTAGAAGTGTACGATACTCTACTTTGCAGCCACTTCCTGTGGAAGCCCAAGACCAAGTCGGTGCGATCCATCCTCTTTTCAGTATTTTTGGGCGTTGCTCCTTCCAATCCGCTACGGTAACAACACGCCACATGAGGTCTTCTTCAAGATTGTTCTTCCACATACCAGCTAAATATGTGTCCTCTATCACTTCATTAGTTTCGTGAGCAAGACCTGACAGTGCCGGGAGCATGTCCCCGGCGAACGTTAGGTTGAGGCAGGTGTACTCGCTGATAACGCGATGCCATCTCTCGTAGTGATCGGGGTTCCCATATTTTGTGGGGATGGTGGTACTTGATGTTGTCCTCGGGTTGTTCCGCAGTGCAAGATACTTCGATCGAGATCGCAGTGGTATGTATGTGCCAGAATCCCGTATCAAATTGTGCCAGTTGTAGTGTTGCCTGCCTCCGCATTCGCAGAAGTACCCGATACCACAGTCGAATGCCATTTCTCCATAATTGCAATGGATAATCCGCCGCGATAGGAGACGTTCTTGGAGACACCAAGCCCTATTGAGAAGGGGAAAATACTCTTGTATCCTAGCGTATTCTGACATCTCGTCCCGCTTCTCGCCTATTATCAAGGCCAGTCTGAATTCGTTACCACCTTCAGTCGTGATCTGAAAGAACTGACTTGGAATTGTCTTCGAGTAGCAGCCTCCTTTAGAGTCGTGAGACCAGCTTACGGCAATAGTCGCGTATGAGTTGCGGTACACGTTAACCATCTGAGCTGCCTCCTTATCCCAATCTTTCTTGTCATTTTGTATGATACAAAGCGAGTCGATCCAGAGATAGCGGACCCCAAGTTTTCTCGTGATCTCGACTGCTTGTTGGAAGCTGGGCGGAAGTGAATCCCAAGATATTAACTTGAATTGCTCTTTCAGATTTTCGGTTTCCGTTTTGCACTCGATCTTGATCTTTCCCCAGCAGTGACTCAGACACATGTATGTCCCTGTTTTTCCAGACGTATCTACTAGACGGACTCCAAGCCTGTCTCCAGGCCGAGTAACATCGACGAGTCTGGTGGGCAATTTCAGTTCTTTTCCTGTGCCACATTTGTCGTGTAGCTCGCACTCATTGATCCAAGTCCGGATTCTCTGGAAACTTAAATCAGAAGAAGTATCCCCAGCCACGCCGTTGGTGGTTTGTATTCGGCGGAACAAACTGTTGGTCCCTGCCACGTTGAAGAGTCTGACATAATACACTTTGCCATCGGAAACATCCATTTCTAGAATGCCAGTGAATTTTCCAATCCACCGGAATGTTGTAGATGAAGCAATGGCTCCGATATTGTTGGTAAGCGCGCTGTTCAAGACAGTCTCCAGAGTCTTACAGCTCCCACAACCATTCCGGGCTGAGAGATTCAAGTCATCGTACGTGAAAGACTTTCCTCGGGCAGCTTTTTTCTTCTGGTTCTTGGAGAGTTTGTCTTTTTCTGCTCTCAACTTTTCAGCGTCTGCTCGGGATAGTGTGCTCTGGGAGTTGAAAATGGCGCATTGTAGCAAGCATCCTGTTGTTCCGAGTACGTCAAAAAATTCAAACGATCTTGCATTCGTATCTCCCTTGAAGCGCTTTTCGAGGGCGTGCTCTAGGGATATTGAAACTATTTGAACAGCCATCTTTTCTTGGCGGTGAATTCGTGTGGATGTTTCTTGGAAAATGCCAACTCAGGAAATCTGAAGACGGGCTGAAAATCAAGGAATGGAAATAGCCCCAGCCCGCTACACTGCCAAGCCTGCACTCTTTTCAAGCCATTTGCGTATGCAAAGCTCTGATTCTGAAACCGAAATAAGCGCTAAAAGCCAGGCATCCAGTGATAACCCCCAAATCACCTCAGCTGGAAGGCACTGCGCCTCACCGAGATTCTATGTCGCCTCTAATTGGAACAATGCTGCCTGATCTCTCCGACTCAAGGCTTCCGTTATATGCAGAAACACAGAACTCAAAGTTCGAAGCGTCTGGTATCAGAAACGCGATGCCGTACTCCGCAGAATCAGTTTCTCCGTCTTCTACGAAGTCCGATTTCTTGACTAGGTTCCGCACCCACACGCGATATCCTGCTGCACCCTTCGACTCTTTCCACTTTAGGTGCACGGTGGTGATATCCTGAACTTCAACTTGGAGTTGAGTCGGGATGGGTGGCTTGCCGTTTCCAGCAATGAAGCTCCGGCCTCCCGCCGGAATACCACCTCCGCAGTCCGTCCAGGTACTGATCGCCAAACGATACCGATGACCTGCCGATAGGTCGGTGAATGTCGTGTCAGTTGTTCTCGCCGCAACAGTATTCGGGAAAGATCCTGGCAATGATAAATCTACGAGGATTATCTCGTATCGATCCACTTCGACTTGCCCTTGAGGCTTTTCCCATTTGACAAGAACCCGATACAGGCCAGGTTTGGTGATGATATTCCGAGGTCCCGGAGCTGTCTTCGGGTGAGCAATTGTTGAGACCGTAGAAGACCAGGCGGACCTAAGGCTCTCTCCATTAAAGGTCCGGACTTGGTACTGATACTCCTGCCCTTCTTGGGTCCACGTCGAGTTGTACTGGGCTACATCTGCTCTCGACTCATTCCACGGCAGGTTGCCATTATTGCGGATTCTGACATCATAGCCAATAGCGCCGTATACTCGATCCCATCTAACGGAAACTCCGTAAGGAACTGCTGCCGCAACAACATTTGTCGGCACTGGCGTCGGTCTTTGTGGGATTTCATGCGGTATAGTGAGATCTTTGCTTCCAACGAGAAACTTCTGGCACAAAGTTTGAGAGAAGGCTTTTGCAATTTGGAGTTCACCCAAAACGTTTGGATGCAATCCATCGTAACTTCCTCGGAAACAGTGGTATCCACGCCGGACTTCCACCAACTCGACCGGAGACTCGAGGGCTGCCCACTTTGAGACTGATAGTCGTAGAAGCTGATTGTACTCTTCCACCATGGGAGGAAGCCTCTCTACCCCATCAATTGGCGTCCGCATCGGTACATCAGCGAGAGCGAACTTAACATTTGACTTTGCAGTGCGTGCATTATCCACGAGTTTCTTCATGGCACCCAGAGTGTTTCCAGCATCCGCAACACCCCAGCCCATGTCGTTGAAGCCAAGCATAACAAGCAGATAGTCGGGCCTGAATCGCGCCACCTGCTCCTCAATGAGGTCTTTGCACTGTGTTGCCTGCCGGCCCCAACTTGAGAAGTGGTGAGAGTTGAACTGCACGCCTGCAGCATAGTCGCCATGGTCTATTGGCACGTCAGGTACTGGCAGCGGGTCGTCTTTCAGAGCCGGTGGTTGCGGTGGGCGAGGCTGATCCGGAGTCTTCGTTCCTTCATAGGGACCAACAAATTCGAAGTTGACGTTCTCTTCTATGAGCCACTGCCATAGCCTATATCGCCATGTAAAGTCCCCTTCGCGACCGTGGGACATGGAGTCGCCGACTACCATGATCCGAACTGGCTGGTCGCTCTCTTGAGTAATGTCACCCATTTGAAGACTTAGATTGGGGCATTCCGTCGGTTGGTGGGAGGTTGAAACCATTCTCTGTCTGATAGAGTCATCAGCAAATTCTCATGTTTGGCTCAAATGTCAGAGGTAACATTGTCAGGTGCAGACCGCCGCACTGAGGAGAAGCATTGGTGTCGTCATAGCACGGACGCCGATATCAGCGAATCGCATTTAGGTGCCTTTCGAATGAGACGCGTTTGCTCAACGGTCCTTGACTTCTCAACCAATGCGGAGATCGATTTACCACTGGAATTTGCTCTAGACCCAGCAAAGATGAGTTCAAAGTATTTAGCGTGGTAGACTTTTAGCACGTTGACCCTTGACCCTTGCGCAGTTGAACAGGGTCAGCCCAGGCACTTCTGTCTGACAATGGCCCTGGATGTGGGGTATCTGCAGACAGAGAATCTGCATCTCACGGACCTTACTCGTTTAGGGCAGAACCACAATGTACCCTAGCTTCATATTGCAAATCTCTGAGGCAGAGTACATCAACATCCGATATGGTGTAGTGGCCAACATGATGCCCTCTCATCTCTTTGAGAGGTTAGGCATAGCCCCGAGTTCGATTCTCGGTTTCGGAAATCTTTTGTTTTTGCACTATTTACAGTCCTGCCTTGAAGCAAGAAAGAGCCAGACGTGGTGGGTGGCTTTACATTCACAAATAATAGACCCTGTCGTCTCAGAGACTTTGGGTTAAGAGCTTCATGTTCGGCTTCGCATTGATTCAATTGATACTTCAGACTCCTCGATGTCTCCGAGCACACTCTTTGCCGCAGTTCAGCCAACAAAATCCACAGATCTTCGCTTCTTGCAGTCATCAACCGTTGCCTTGCTTTTACTTTCGTATGAGACTTCCACTCAATTTCCCTACTCCTTAGAAATAATGTGCGGGTTTGTCGGCGGGCCGTATGCATCAACAACCGTATCCTTCTTGGAGATGATGTGAGGGTTCGTGGGAGGACCGTAAGCTTCGACCGTGTCTCTCTTTGTATCAACAGCGGGAATATGCGGGTTCAGAGGAGGACCGTAAGCGTCAACAACTGTGTCCTTCTTTGAGATGATGTGAGGGTTGACGGGAGGACCGTAGGCCTCGACAGTATCTTTTTTCGAGATGATATGAGGGTTGACGGGAGGACCATAGGCTTCAACCGTGTTTTCTCTCTTGGACTCAACGGCCGGAATGTGAGGGTTGAGAGGAGGGCCGTATGCCTCAACGGCAACCGGCGCGGCGTAAGCCAACGAAGCACAAGCGGCGACAGCGGTGAGAAGGGTTTGGACACGCATTTTGAGGTTGAGTTGGAAGGACGGCGATAATTGAGTTTCAAAGTAGCGGGGCTGATCTCGAGCACAGTTGACTGATGGTGTAGGACTATCAGTCGAGATAGAAGCAATATTATATGTCTTTCTCAATTTTCTAATTCCCCTCTCTGGCCCTCTCTTCCGACTCGTCGGGATTATCACTCACGTTGTGAAAGTCGTAAACACCCCTTGCATTGACAAGACATAGCACGAGGAACAGTACGCCCGCAGAGCACAATGTGACAAATCCAGAATAGACGCCGCCAATGTGACAGTCAACCATCCTTCGTTCCGTTCCTTCGACTCGATTTTACATCTCTCATACCAAATATGGCATGCGTAAGGCTCACACGAATCAATGAAGCCATTCGCTCCTGGCTAGACTCACTTGTCTTTCTTCTGACTGGCTGTTCGTAGTTGAACAGGGGGCGAATCTTCTAGCCACATGGAGAAGGTAAGTACACATCCCACAATGCCAAGCACCGCACGACCCATACTTACCGAGAAGCCTGGGCAGTCAAGAAGACTCGCTGGAGATTGGTCTCAATCGCCAGTCGGCTAAGCATCTGCATCGTAGAATCAGTGCGTCTTTGACCTAGCGCCACCTCTATTCACCCTGGGTCCGGCCCTTGCCGCTATGGGATCAGTCACTGGGGCTCAAAAGGATCTGTTATCTCTCCTTTCGCCCCTCTGCCCCTCGTCTTGACACGATATGCAACTGCTTACTCCTATGCATATCAAATCCACCAGACAGAACCGAGGGATCAGTCCGATTCCTCTGCCCGAGTCTTGAGCCGACCTTCCCTTTTGCTCACAAGCCGAGGGCTGGCCCCCTCAGTGTCGCGGGATGGATCCCATTTTGTACTTAATTGTAATGTTCTTGGCAATCCTTCTCATCCTTGGCGAATCCTTCAGCCATCCTCATGTATTACTTGATTTCGAGACCGCCGTATCCTATTGAATTATGAGGTTAGCCTTGACGATGGGAACAAGATCTTACAGGCAGAACTTGACAGTATTTGGCAGGTGATACCATCGTACCTAACGATTGCAAGTGATCACGGCATCGTCGGCAGAATCCTTTCTTTCGCTATCGGTGGTAAGAACCCGATCCACCGCCGATATTATTCTGTTGGAAAGCGAAGTTCAAGCCTCTGAGTAAGGGATATTCTCGAACTGAAACCTGCCTCCGGCATCAACTGCTTCTTTGTCAAAAATGAAAGAGATCTACCAGAGTGTTCCGGACCAAGACTCAACAGACAATTTGTCCAATAGCGTAAGCTTACATCCATTGGAAACTCATGTCTTCAGAGGATTGCACAGTAGCTCACTGACAGATTCTAGTCAACATGGCATGAGCCGCGACAAGTTCAAGGACGATGGAGCCTCCAGTCAAAGGTTATTACTGCGATCAATGCGATATTATTCCTCACATCATGCGGAGTCCTCTTCGTCTCTTCGAGGTGGCTCGATGACCCTATCCATCTGATGAAGCGCGTGTCGCCCTATAGTATGACGATCTTCTCTTGCCTGAATTCAATCTCAGTCATGCTGAGATATTGTGTCATAGGTCCAATTCTCGACGATATTCCCATCCAGTTAGAAACGGTTGAAGTCAAAGGAACATTGTTCAATGATTACACACCCCCGCGTATATGGCGCGGGCAACCTAGTGAAGAGGTCGATAAAGCTTGGGATGACATGGCGCGGATAGAGTATTTCGGCGTAAGCGGCGACGCACTCAGGAAAATGGGCAAAAATCCTGAGATCTCTGTCTCTATCCCTGAGGAGTGGGGTGTCGGGTCGGACAAGTACCTCGTTGAGATCGACATGCAGCATCAACTTCACTGCCTCAATGCAGTTCGCAAGTATGCTTATTTTGATTACTACTATGGTAACAATTACAGGAACATGTAAGTTGTCTTTCAGGACCACCGATCGAAGGCATGTGAACATGTATTGACGATTGCACTAGCTCAATGGCGCCACAACGACACCAGGCACATCTGGCACATTGTGTGAGTTGGAAGCACATGCGGGATATATGCCACCCTTTCTGACACATTCAACAGATAGATATCCTCTTACAAGCTCTCACTTGCAACCCAAGCTTGGACTTGATCTCCCATAATTGGATGAGGACACAAGAGAATCCTTACCCTGATTTTAATATCAAGAGGCAGTGTGTCGCTCATGACCCAATCTTGAAGTGGCAGCATGAGAATGGTATCTCCGAGCAGATTCTAAAATACAAGAACCTACCAAGGCCAGAGGGGTTCCCAGAAGCAGAGCCGGAACCCTCCATCTTGAAGATCGGAGAAGATTTGGGTCATCATGAAGGACATCTTAGCCTTTGAATGAAAGCATGTAATGCCTGAAGGATACTTGCTTGATTATGCACATACAAATACACACAAGCGTTAGTGTGCCATATTTGAACATATCACGAGTCCACCATTGGAGGAAGTGGAGCATGCGGATTTACGAACTCAGCCAAAATTACTTATATAAATGGACTCCATAGAAATAACTCCAATGAATTAGTTGTAATTAGTTGCAAAACATCACGAACCAATCTGAAGGCAATTCCCTCTTCAGTTCGTTGTCTGAGACACGACTTGATCTGCGTGATCTCCGTGGGCCTTAAACCTCCAAGTGTTGTGGAAACACCTCTCTGCACAACCCTCTTCATGAGCTTGATGAGGATCATAGTGATCGCGGTTCTTCTTCAAGCATGCCTCCTTCAAGTTACCGTGATTGTTCTGTGGCTGGTAGTCTTCATCATTATGAAGTCTTCGGTGCAAAGACTCATGCAAGATCGCATCACGAGGTATGTCTCGAGGGCCGCCCTTGTTAAGTGGCCACTGGCAAAGTTTCCACTTTTTATCATCGTCGTCAAGCTCCCACCTTTTGATCAGAGGGCAATACTCTGCAAAGGGATCACGTCAGCTTCCCAATCAAGATATGGAGGATTGAACAAGCTCGTGACTTACCAAGTAGGTACCACATCATAGGCTTGAAGTAGCCCATTCCGTGCCCGAATCGAAGGATGTTATGGATCCATCCATGAAGAGCCTGCGACTGCTTGTACTTGTCGTGATAAATGCTGTCCTTGAAGCGGTTCAAGCGCCTTGGTCGCCACTTCAGGCCTGTCTTGCCCGTCTTCTTCTCGTAATCCTGGTCCGCGATTTCGAGCTCGCGAATCATCCAAGAAAGAGGTATGTCACTCAGCTGCATATCTTCCGTGTCATCAAGATCATCCTCCTTCTTTCCCCGTCCAATCAGTCTCAGAAAGCGTCCCCATAGAGTTGGATTGCGCAAGTAAGTGGGGATTTCATCAGTTCCGGCATCATCGTCTTCCAGCCTCTCATCCTCGATTCTCTGGAGCTCCTTAGCCTTCCAAGTAGGATCATCTTTGATAGCTGACCAACCACCACCGACGTCGCCATGGTTTCCAGGAAACCAAACCTCCTTGATATCTTCAATGTGTTCGTGTCTCTTCTTGGCACTATTGACTTTGCCAGTTTTGGGTGGTTTGATGATATCCTGTGCGAGGAGTGCAGGCTTGAACTTGACTCGAAACTCATCAACAGCGACAGCATGGCGGACGAACGTTGCGGTGCCCTTGACAGACGTCGGTTGCTCGCCGGCTTTCTCAATGACTGCGACGGAGTTCACACAGTCCCACATTCCAAGGAAGAAAACCTTGATATTATCTTTTCCGTGATCACTCTCTTCTTTTCGGCAAAAAGTCTTGCTAAAAGCATCCAGCTCGTTTCTCTTCTTCCTTCGGCCCCCCTTATCCTTGGGCTTCAGGTGTGTGTCATTGGGACTGGTGATTCCGTTCGGGAAGGCCTCGTCAATCGGTGTATCCGGTGGACTCGCAGGCGTTTCGAAGGTATTGACGGTGGGGCCTTTAGTGTCTTTAGTAGCTTGCGCATTGGGCGTTTGAACATCGCTAGGGTTGGTCGCGGCGCTCTTGTCTTCCTTGCCGCTCTTTTTGACCTTTGCTAGATGGTCTTGGTAGAGTTTATATGCAAAGGGTACCATCTCTTCATTACCCTTGCAGAGAAGACCGACGGTGTTGACCATTCGACACAAAAATCTGGCGGTGAAGGCGCCACGACTGAAGCCGAAGATGTAGATTCTGTCTCCCTTGAAATAATCGTCAGCACCTTGATTTGTTAAGTATAGCATTGAACCTACAGTCTCATAATAGCGCATGAGGAATCGATATCCAGCAATGACGTGGGAATCGAACGTGGTGCCAAAGCCCATATCGATCTTCTGAGAGATATTGCTGCGGACCTCGCTGACCCAACTCTTGTTGACACTGGTGTCGTCAACGTCGTACGTTCCGATACCGGCTGTTTTTAATGGCGTGTCAGAGACTACTTTACTCAGAGATCTTCAGCGTTGACTCTACTTACTCTGGTAATAGTGGTACTGGTGCTTGTCATTGCGGTCAAGCATACGTAAGAGCTTCACGACGTTGGTGTCAGAACCGGAGCCACTGAATGAGTTGCCTGTGCCATCGAAGCAGAGGACTAGCTTCCTGCTCTCAGTCGACGAATCAGTCTCGATAGACGCCATGGCGATGCTTGTCTCCAAGGAATGGAATGAGAGGAAGAACGCTACAGAAATCTCTGATTCTGGGTTAAACTTTGATTCTTTGAAAATCCCTTGGTGTTATGCTGGCCGAGTGAAGGCGCCTGCGTCCATATATATGCATTCTCATAGCCACCAATACCAATCCAAGGGACTTCATGTGAGCCGAGTTCTCGCACTCTTCTCCATGTTTTGCTTGCAACGAAAAATATCCAATCGCAAACGCTGCCAAAGTTCAGCCATAATTCCTCCGTTCCTTATTCACCATCCCGAAAGCATTTGGGGATCTCAGCCCTGTATCACAGTCCCGGAGACTAAAATGTCTTTCCGACCCTATCTTCTCACAACGGATCGTAAAGCAAATTGCGTTTTCAGAATCCGGTCTCTGCATGTGGGGAAGATCTTCCGCTTCAACGCCTCAGCTGGCCACGCCACGGCTGCTTCGGTAGTAAGGGTATGTTTGCTCACGTGCCTTCGCACTTCAGCCTGGCGTTGAGACAACGGATGCGAGACATGCCCGGGCTGTGAGACCTGACTTATCTCAATTTGGTGAGATGTCTCGTGCGGACTCTGTCGAATCATGAGGGTCTGATTGGAATTTCCTCTTTTCCCAAAGGGGTTACAAGAAGCAAATCACCTCAGACAAGAAGGCGCGCCGGACCATCCCATCGGCCGAGCCTTATGGGAAGTATGGCGAAAGGAACATGATAGGTGTTGTTTCGAAGGGTGATTTGGCTTGGCTCTCAGCAGTGGCCGTGAATGCTGGCTTGTGTTCACGCGAAACCTCACAGCTGCATCGGGGCCTGGTCTCTCAAGATCTCAGCAAAAACCGAGGCTGTTCTTAGCAGTTGCTGATCCCGGAACCTTGAACCTACGAGTGACACGCCCGTAGGCATATCATTGGACCCTAAAAAGGCGGGAATACTGACTACAGGCATATGGGAACCCTGTGAATGGTCAGCCTGGCGAGCTGGACAGATACAAAGAAACACTCACCGTCCACATCGTGTTGAATATCGCGCGACCCATATCACCGAGCCCAACAGGAGCCTCGTCTTCTGCACAAGGGGTGAGGATGACTGTGTACTCTTTGGCCAGGTCATTGATGATGCGTCGCATGTGAGAATACCTATCAGAAGCCTGCTCTCTCTCTTTATGCGTTGTTCTGGCGGTGTTCTCAACTAGCTCGCGAATCTCTGGAGCCAGATTGTCCTTGTTTATTCGGTATTCTCGAAGAAAGGATATCCGGGCTTCAGCTTGAGTGATGACTTCCTGGACTCTCTCTAGTTCCTCGGAACCCGACATTTCAGGTGGAAATGAGACCTCTTCAACCTTGATTCCTCTTTCTGTAAGGGTTACTGCGGCCGCCTCCATAACAGAAATGGTGCCAGACCCTGCCGCGGCCCACATTGGAGTCCCCATAAGCGCAACTGACATTTCGTTGGGCGGCGTTTCTCTTGCAAGCTCATCATCTTCGATGCCAAAAACATCAGCGAGGAGCTGCAAGTCTTCCACGCATCTAGTAAAGAATCCACATGTATCGAACGTGGGCGCGATTGCCTTTTGGCCTTCTGTCGAGATAGTGTTAAAGGTCGGTTTGAAATCATAGACTCCCGTGAATGATGCTGGGCGAATAAGGCTTCCTCCGGTTTGCGATCTGAGGCTGAGAGGAACATGTAACGCCGCTACGGCTGCGGCTGATCCGCATGAAGATCCGCCAGGGGTTCGCTTCGGATCACGAGGATTGGTAGTGTCAGGTCCCGAGTTCGTCACGGCGAACTCAGTCGTCGTAGTTTTGCCTCTTAACTTAGTTAGAGTCTGTATTAGCAGCAAGTAAAGGGATACTAGCCAAAGATTAGAGCACCCGAGGCGCGAAGAATCGCGACGGCAGCGGAATCAGAACTTGGCTGATGCCCCCGATAAATGGGAGAACCGTACTCAGTGGGCATGTCTAGCTTACATAAGCGTTAACATCATCTCGGAGCTGAGTCCTACCCTCGGTATTCATAATGTCCTTCACTCCGATCGCAAGCCCATGTAGAGGCCCTCTCTGGCTGGCAGGAACTTGATCAAGAGTCTGGGCTTGAGAAATTACAAGTCCAGGGTCTGTGAAATGTCAGAAGATTCTTCTTTTTTCAAAATTCCCAAACTCACCGAGATATGTCCATGCTTTGACGATGCTCTCAGTCTCCTTGACATGGTCTAGGAGCGCCCGCGCGTATGTCTCCACCGTGAGTGTGTGATTCTGGAGCAGCTCAATCGAGCACTTGAGTTGCCGTCAACTCGTGCAGTCTCGATGTCATTGTTGCAGCGGGGTAGAGATCAATCGATTGTAAACGCGACTGAAATGTGGAATGTTCGTTGCGAGAGGAAGATGGCCGATGTAGCAATCCAGCGACGATTGGGGTTCTTCGTCGAAAACAAAGGGAGAAGAGGAGAGAACAACATAGGGGTGTAGAGATGGAACATCCAAAGGGGCACGGGGTTTCTGTTTACAGTAGATATTCCTTCGAATGAGGCGGGAAGGAGAGGAGTTGGGCAGGGGTTATGGGCGGCAGACATGTTGTCTGTTACACAAATTTTCGCCCATCGAAGATTTGCGACTTCATATTGTATACAACCCAGGTGTATGCTATCTTGTGGAACGCAACGATGATATCAACGTAGAATCACAATGTTGAATATCTTAGATATTAAACGTAGACGCATGATTGTTGATATTGCTAGGAAAGCTATTGGGAAAGAAGAATGCAAATTTCAAAAGACAATATATCTCAATGACCGTTTTCCAACCTTGAATCCAAAGTGAAGCTGTCGCAAGCTTGAAGATAACGCTTCACTCACTCCCCCCGGTTCTATCACAAATCGAATGATGCACTGAACTCACTCCGACTATCGTCCTCCTGTTGTAATGAGCGTCAAGTTATACAAAAATGAATGTGATTCAGCATCAGCCACAAGGATTGCATCGCAAGACGGCTAACAGCATTGCTCTTCTCGGATGTCAAGTAGGAAGTCTCGCCTAGTTCATGGCAGCAAAGGCAACACCAGCAGCCGCAACGGCGACCATAACCATACCAGTCTCTCGCGGAGCCGCATTAGGCGCACTGGTCCCAGCAGTAGCCGCTCCTCCGGTACCAGTAGCCGCGGCTCCAGTCTCAGTAGCCGCAGTACCGGCAGCAGTCGTAGTCGCAATCATCGTAGTACCGTCAAGAGCCCGACTGAAATCCACCACAGCGGAGCAGACCGGGCCGTAGCTCTCAGCAAGAGAAGTGATCTTGCCGACAAAGTCCTCGTCCTTGCAAGCAGACCAGACAGCGCCGAGCTCGCTGCTGTGAGCGCTCGTCCAAGACTTCACCTCGGAGGTGAACGAGGTCAAGATAGAGCCGGGCGCACCTGTGAGAGTGGGCAGCTCGCAAGCATTCGTGATGGTCGGGATGTCGTCCTTGTCGACGCCTGTTGCGGATAAAGTGGGAAGGTCCGTGGTGACGGATCTGTGCTCCTTGACGGCATCAACGCACGCCAGGAGACCACGGTTCTCGAGGCCGGCTGCCATGGTACCGGCTGTGGTGGCGAGGAGTAGAAGGTTGGTGTAGCGCATGTTGGATTTGGGTCTGTTTGGATGTTGATGAAAGAGTTTTGAAGGTTTTCGAGACGAGCTGTGGGCAGCTCAATGCTTGAACAGGAAAGGCTTTGATGGAAGTTAAGTTGCTGGAGTTGTCTAGATGAGAGGATGATGAACCAGATGTTGCTTTGATATCCTGGGCGTATTCTCTCTATTTTATACTAAAAATACGAGGGGTGCTAGATCCCCAGTCAACAGTTTATGGCTTCATATCCCAACAGTCTGAGTGTTATCCGATCCTACGCTCCGCCTCATTCTTTCAATGTCCCATGTATATCCACTCCGAGAGCCACCCCGGGCTGAGCAAAACTGCAGATTCATCTCAGAAACTGCTAGATAAGTGAAGGCGAAGTCGTTGCTGACACTCTCTACCAGGACCTTCGATTCATGAGCATCATCACATTGGTCACATGAGTCCAGCCTCGTTGACAGCTGTCCAGAGGTCTCCTTCTTTAGGACTGATGAGCGGTTGATTCATGGCAGCCTGCCTCTGTAGGATTTTACAGTGCCACAGCGTGCTCCTCAATATACATCCATGAATAAATCCAGAGTCCACTTGTTCTATATCCCCAGCTGTTGCGGCCTGATTGATGTGGAGTCAGCCCGAGTGTCTCCTTTCCATAACGTACTTCTGCGTACAAACTGCTTTCTTCTGAACTCCTTAACGAGATGTATGGGATATCTGTTACTACGTTGAGTTGTTCCGTAAGGCTTTGTTGAAGAAATATGCCTCGCCACTATCCAATCTTTTCATTTACGTTATATGTCTATTCATAGGAGGTACACAGGTGAAGTCCACTTGTTGATTGGAATGTACAGCCTGACTGTCTCGGCGCCGAACATAATCTGTCATCTGGACCTACGTAGTACATCTGTATTTTATCTCCTGCTCAGCTTTCCTTTCCCCAATCAGCTACATCTCTCTGGTTGTACAAGCTGCGTAGCTGAGAGTATCTGCATTTGGTAAGACGCCACGGAACCATTCACGAGACCTGTTCAAAGGAATGAACGCGTAGTCTTTGCATCTGGTGACGAGGCCCGAATATGCTTTCTAAGCTGCTAGATCCCTCAGCGCCGATTCGAAACCCTTCATTCAGGCACGGGAATACAGGTAGATTCAGTTGCTGCTTGCACTACCAATGCCACTTCTGTGACTGCATGTGTATGCTTCTGCCAATATTTTCCAAGCAGGCAGGGCTAATTTGCTTTTCGAGCTGATGAGACTTATCAGATTGTTGCGATAGCTACCATAGCCTGCTTCAAGTAACCATCTGATCCTTCAGCCTACGAAATTAACCCCCAACTATGTGCTTCCAACGGGCATGCAACGTCTTTCTGTTCAGGACCAATGAGACGCGAAGCAGTCGCAGCATATTGACCAGGGTCTGAGTCCGAGTGTTGCCGGTCCAATAAATGCAAAGTTCTTTTGTTCTAGACCAATAAGATAACGTGGTAACGTTGGATGCGGCTCGGCCATGGTACCCGGCTCTCCCCCCGGATCCCGGCAACGTTATCTCGTACCGTCAGCAACTTACAAGCTCCCAGCTCACGAACTCTCCTCCTCTCAAACCTCTCGAAAGCGCGGCTCTTCTCCCCAATACCCAAGTTCCTCGCCTTTCTTTCTTTTTTTTTCAGCCCTATAGTGAATGATCTCCCATGTATTCCCCCATGGCGCATCGTGAGACCCCTCACGCGCAATCGGGTGTGACAATGTTTGCACCAGCAGCCGCCGCCACCTCTCACTACGACAACGACATGATACTCGACGCTTACTCTGATACGATCGGCATCAGCCTAGTCAAGGGCCCGCCGTACGCCACGGAAGAAGTCTGGAAAGTCATGCAAGCCACCATCACCCGACTGTATCAAAGCGAAGGCAGATCGCTAAGGGAGGTGAAAGCCATCATGGAACGAGACCACTTCTTCTTTGCAACGTGAGCCTACCTTTACTTGCACATAACCCCTGATAATAGACACAAGTTTTTCGTCTGGTTCAGTCGCCGGGCTCTGAATGGGCTAACAGTAGGCCCCCTCCGTAGAGAAAGAATGTTTAAATCCCGCATCGTTCGATGGGGCCTAGACAAGAAGCTCAAGGAGCCGGAAGTCCTGCACATGCTAGAGCTTAAGCGAAAGCGCCAAGCGACGGGGAAGGACTCGCACTTCACCATTGAAGATCAGGACGTCGACTGGGACCGCGTGGAACAGTATCTCAAGCGCAGACCCGACCTGCATACCACTACTACTACCAAGCGAAAATATGCGCCGGGCAAGAGTACCACCACCTTGAAACGCAAAATCACCTGCAGGACACCCTCGCCGTCTCCAAGCCAAAGTCCAGTGTTACACGCTTCCTCGTCCTCCTCCTCCTCCTCCGCATCCCCCATCATCGCTACACCCATCCCGCACCTCCTAACCCCGTCCCTAGACACAGACATCCAGTCCGATGTCCTCCTCCTCTTCAGCACATACCACACCTCCGCCTTCCAAACGGGCACCTGGGTCCTCGACGACGCACACCTCTGCGAACACGACTTCATACACGTCGTACAGACCCTCACCGAGATAGGAAAAGTCCCAGGCCTGCTGCAACGGAACCAGGTCCCCACCGGCCTACGCACCCTCCGCCGCGCGCTGGCATCCCTGCGACACGTCCTCCTGATCCGCGAGCCGCGGTTCTACTACTCCATGCTCGTGAATATCCTCACGTTACAGGGGAATGCCCAGGTGTTGGAGTACTCTATCCGGTATATCCACGCCATCCATAGCGAGATTCTAGGCGAGAGGCACCCGTTGAGTGTGGTGTGGTCTAAACTCAGAGACCTCCCGCAAGAGATCCGCCTTGAGACGTTGAGGAGCGTATTTGCTGTTATATGTCTGCAATTCGAGACTGAGGCTGTGTTCAATAGCGAGCATGCCCTCGATGTTCTCATCATGCGCTGTTCTCTGCTCCGGCTTCTCGGCAACGTGGACGGGGACGAGTTCCGCGCTGTCATCAGGGGTTACACCGCCGCCGCGACAGAGGCCCTGAGACAAGACAACTATGAGTTATCATGCAGGATCTTACTGGGTGTGGCGACTGCCCTGCTCGATGCCGGTGACATTGAACAGGCGGAGGGGACATTGCACCAGATCGGGTCCACGATCAGGATCCAATCTCAAATGGCTGCGCGTAATAAGAATACTACCAATAGGAAGCAGCAGAAAGAGGATGACAAACAGAAATGGTCCCAGACTCAGCAAGCTGACCGCTGCTCCACGAGCTCGCTATGCTCACACGCGACAAATCACAGTCAGGGTAAAGGAGCCAGCGAGACGAGGACAATCTATGGGTACTATAAGGGGCTATGGGAGCCGTGGAGCAAATGGTCTTCCACGGTGGTGAAGAGGGTTCTTGATACGCATCGCCGAGCGCGAGAAAGAGATGTATGGGCTGCGAGGCTGTGGGCAGACGTTTTGCTCTCTGTGAGGTGATGTCACAAAGTGAATCTAAAGCTTTACATTTCATGTCAGCCCAGACCAGATCAGGGGAAGGGGGCAGGTTGGTACACACTACATACACAACAGGATTCATTTCTCTATACTAAGCATCCTCTGTGCTTGGTCCACACCAATTTACTACGATCTAGTTTCCAGCAAGATAATGATCACATTCACATGGGACTACACTGCAATGGTGACAAAGTAAAGCCAATCTAAGTTTGTCTTCAATTCGTCTATACGTCTCCGCAGAGACAGGCGCATGCTACTTTTGCATGCTTCCAGACTTAACAAGTTCCTATTTCTCATTTCGATCACGGGAGTCGGCAGAAATGCCGCTGCCTGCGCAACCAAGCTTCGGCCGTAGCCGTAATACCCGCTCCCACGTCGGCCCTGCTCATATATCCTACTGTCCTCCTCTTGACGTTGCGAACACTTTCAAACGCCTCAAAAAACTCCTGTTCCCATGCCCCAGCCGGCAGATGCGAGAGTGTCCATGACCCTAAGCCTATACAAGAAGTCCATGTTTCGCAACATAAGTCCCCAAACCCAAGGCACCTGATTTTTTTGTTTTGCTGCTATCCCCGCTAGTCCTCAAGTGGCGGCGGTATCAACCCGCGCCCCATCCCGAGGATGGTGGAATGAAGGCAAAAAGAGCAAAGATCTAGAAAATGGTAAAGACATGATGGAAAATAGCCAGCGCTTCTGACAAAGAAAAAAATTGGTGCGAAAATAATTAAAAGCGACGTGTTCGAGGTGTTTCAATCTGAACACGCGCTACCAACGCTTACATACGTCAGCGCAAGGTATTGAAATCCATCTCCGTACTTATGCCAGAGAGACCGGGCATATCGGAATTGGCCCGCTGCAGAGCGTGGAAGTCTCCTACAGTGCGTGGTATCGGTTGTTGCGGGATAGCATAGCTACTGGCGCGCTGCGGTTGTTGACGCGGTATGGAATTCATTAGATTGTTTCCACCTGGACCCATAGGATGGGACGTCGGCATCGTCTGCTGGGCCTGGACTGATGATGGGCTGATGTTACCCATGTTCTGCCCTTGCTGAAGGTTGTGGATGTGATGCTGGCTCATGTTGGGCTGCATTTGCTGTGGCGTCATGCACTGATTCTGAATCATGTGATGCGATTGCTGGTGTTGATGCTGACTGTTCATATTGCTCTGACCGTTCATCGTCGATCCGTTTTGGCCGGCCGGGCTCATGACCATATCGGGCATCGGTGTGCACCCATAGTCGTTCATTCCGTTGTGGGGATACTCCATTGGTGGAGACATAATGGCTGGCGAACTACTGGCAAACGGCGAGTTCATATCCGCAGTAGTCGCTGGAGGAACGGACGATGCACTGGCAGATGTGGCGGGATTGGTGTTGGCCTCACTGCCGTTATTGTTCATGTCGGACACGCCATACTTCTTGTCGTAATCGGCAACGGAAAACTTCCGGTCGTAGTCGGTATCCATCTGCATCTGCATTTGAGATGGAGGCTGTGCCATGCCTGCATTGCCAAAGCCATCAAATATATCAATGTTGCCCATGTTGGAATTTTCGGGCGCATTTTGCAGCATCGGGTTGGTCAGACGAGGCATAATGTCGGCAACCTTGTTCAGCAACAACGGCAGGAAGCGATGATCGCCATGGCGGAGGACGGCAACAATGTTGAGAGTCTGGTTGAGTTGCTCCCGGGGACCGACAGTGAAAGGATCCCGTGCGGCGGGCTGAACAGCGAGGAAGTCGGTCATGTTGCAGCTAATTTCGAAAAGCTTTTCAATCTGCATATAGGGTTAGCAACAGGAGGGAAACAAACACAGGTCTGAAAAGTCATACCAAGCCGGAGCTCATCAACTCCATCCCTTGTCCAGGGAAATGAGAGGCGAGGGTCATCAGAAGCTCGCGAGACAGGTCGACTGGGTAGTTGAAGTTCATGTTGTCTTCGTTGGAAGAGTTTCCGTGAGTCAACTGCCAGACAGTGCTCTTGAGCCACTGCTGGTTGGTACGAAGGTCGGATAGCTGGCCATCTTGGCAAAGATAGGTGGGGAGGACTTCGTTCAATTGTTTCTGTAGGTTGGACACATAGAGGTTGGTGCGTGTCTTGTTCCAGATGGCTGTGAAGGCGTCGTCGAAGGGGCGGAAAAGGTTCACCAGCATGATGAAGCTGTTCAGCTGGTGGCTGAGCGGGTCGCTCGGGTCATCGGCGGAATTTGGCGGGTTGATGGTGGCCTGCAAAGTCAAAGGTCGCTGGCGTTGAATGGCGTGAGATCTGCAAAGACGAGCAGTTAGTAGATAAATAAATGTATGGTGATTGAAGATGGCAAAATATTACCTTTCCATAATGTAAAATAGCCAGAAAAGCCGCCTTCTCCGAGAAGACTCGGCGTTATCCCATTGGGGGCCGTGGTACGTCTCCTCCTTGATCATACCGTTGAGGTGCATCATGGTAGAAGCCTCGCGAAGGTAGAACCAAGCCTTGTCGTGCAGCTCAATGCCGTGGTAGCAGCCATAGATGAAGAAGTTTGTTGCAAGGGTGTTGAAGCTGATGTTGTCGAGATAGTCGTAGCCCTTGCGAACTTGCAGGGTCTCCTCCAAAAGCAACTGGCTCGCGACAATGGTAGCACCAGGCATGACATCGAGGTTGAAAGGATCGCCTGTTGGCATTGACATTCCTGGCTGCAACATCATGAATGCGCACAGAGAGGTCAGCAGGCAGTAGGTGTCGCGGTTCTGCTCCATGAATGGGAGTTGCTGATCGATTTGGCGACGGTCGAGGATAGGCATCTTTTCGTACAGATTCGCAAAATAAAAGTCGATGCATTCTTTGACGAGCTCGCTCGAGAGCAGACCGGGGGTCGGGGCCAGGCTGACAGGGCCTGGAGGATTCGGAATGCCGTTCATACGGTTTTGAACCTTTGCGGACAAACTGGTCTGTCGCTGTGTTTCCCTCAATTCGCTAATGACCTTTGCACGGGAGCCCTTGGGGCCCTTCTTCTGAGGAATTGCATTGTAGGTGCAAGACAGCTGTGCAGTGTGACAGTTGCGACACGGGTTGACGCCGTCACATTTGACCTTGCGGCGATGGCAAGCGTCGCAGGCCCGCTTGACGGCCTGTGTCATTGTGGCGACGTACGGTGAAGACGTTGTGGCGGTTGTTGTCGTCGGTGGTCGACGGTCGCTCTGAGACAGGCAAGCAGACCAGATGGGCGAGGATTATTCCGAGCGACGGCGACGGCTCTGTAAGGGCGCTGGCATCGACAACGAAGGTCTAGCGGGCGTTGATTGAGTTTTGCGGGGAAAGAGGATTGATAAGAGAGGGTGCAGAGTGATGGAAACGGGCTTCTGGGACAATAGGAGCGATCCGTGGAGTTGTGTTGGCGAAGGATGGAGTGTGTATTCGGCCCTTTCTGTATGCAGTCGCTGAGAGGGAAACGCGGGGGATGGTGCCAAAATCCGGGGCTGCGACGCCCGTTACAACCCTTTCCGTTTGTCTGTGCACAAAGCCTGCTGCGTGAAAAGTCTGCCCAGGAGTAAAATTTGTCGATAAATGTACAAAAGTGTCGTCGGTTTGTCGAGGAAGAGGCCCCAGACCGAAGACGATGAAAGGGGAGACTGGATGATTTTTTCTCGGTGAGGGTCGGTCGGGAAGGGAAAGTGAGTTGCAGGTTCGAGAATTGCGTGGTAGATGGTGTGTTTGAGTGGGCGGAAGGAAAGTGGACGGAGGAAGGAGGAGGAGGGTGGATGGACTGGGAAGGGGGAGGGAAATGGGAGTGGAAAAGAGGAAGGGACAGGGCAAGAATGGGGAGTGGGAACCTGCCGGGCAAAAAGAGACGGCGAACGGGAGACTCGAGAGGGACGACAGAGACGGCAGCCACAGTGCAATACCTGTGGAAGGTACCTACCAGAGGGCAGTGGCAGCCAGGAAGGAACGGAGAGGATGTGAGGGCCTCTTGCCTTGCTTAGGTTGTCAAGTGGATCCATTCTGTGCTCTGCTAGGCCTATTGCAGCAGGCTTACTAGTCCCGGTTAGGAGTTGCGGACTTGGAAAATGAGAACGGACCTCTTTCTGCACTGTGTGGATGCCAGGTGGGTGTCTGGTGACAAACTTCAGGAAATACTGGAAAATGTGCAGGAACAATGGGCAAAGCAGGTGGAAGGAGCACCATCTCCTGGCATGTTTCCCCACAGTGAAGCGTCAGGTACGTACTGTGCACACCTCCTTCCAGCTTTCTCCCCTCCCATCAAGCCCCATCGTTCTTACCTTAGGTACCTCCGCGCCGATGGGCCACCTCACCTGCTACGTACCACATTTTTTGGTGACTTCCTCACTTTCAAGGCATCCCCCGCCATCGTCTTGTTGTTCATGATTTCCCTCTTTTATTGTGCCAGACGCAACAAATTTCCACGGTCAATGCAGAGGATCCCAGGGACAGCAAGCTCAATAACAAACCAGCAACACTACACTACGGATGCCAAACATCATCGGAGTCAGAAGTCTCCCAGGCCAAGGAAGGGCTCAGCCAAGTGGCAGCAGGCAGGATCCGAGGGGATTATTGATGTGACGACTATACAAACACACGGAATACGCCGCCTGCAACGTCGTACGAAGGCTGGGGCGCCCATTGTCCAAGACCAAAAATCGCTTACAACGCCCAATCCAAAACGAACAAGCCAATCGAGTCCGCTTTCGTCGTCGGTCACCGGTGTCCGTTGTACTGGGGGGTGGAAACCGAGGTACACATACACTACCCAAACCAGCCTGTCGGTTGGCACACTGCAGCCTGCGCTGCGCTGCTCCCTCTCACCCACCTGCGGAATGGGATGAGTTGCATTTCGGACGGAGCCCGTCACTCTGAACTTTCAACAAGTACCTCTCTACCATATTTCGGCGCATACGGTACTCTGGCATCTTTGGCCGCCGGCAGATGGCAGATGGCAGTCGTTGCCTGCCGTTGCTGTTCTTGCTCTGGCGCTGTACCCGACAACTACGTTTCACTCGCAGTCGGCCGAGGCGCATCTTGAGGTCGATCCGAGGTTTCCTATTCGCCTCACTTTAACTGCTCTATTACTATGCAATTCTCTGGGCGGAATACTTCCTGGCTCCTCGTTCGGATGCAAATTTCGTGCCCTACGGATACACACTGCCGACATCATAATGTCTTGTCTGTCTACGACATGCACACCTGATTGGCAGGCCACCTACGCTGACCGTCTCGTGATAGCCCTCCGCCGTTCCTCGACTTTCGCCCAGTCCGACTTGTCATCACCGCTAGAATTTGCCCACCTAGACCACGGCACCGGCACGCAAAGCACCTGGCAACTGGACACGATCGAGCCATGCGAATACCCCAGTGCGCCACGCCGTCTCTTTGTTTAATTGGGGCCGTCTTGCTTTCAAGTTTGCCGCCTATTGTCTGATCTGATCTGGACTCCCGGCGCTGGATCCTCAGGACTTGCTAGCGGTAGCCCGTCATCAGCTTGCATCGTCCCTGTAATGTTGCTAATAATTACAGTGTCCCACCCGAATCTCCCGTGTGAGCCGTTCACGATGGCTACCCAGTGCCGGTTCAATTCTTGGCTCTTGTTTTGATGAGAGTACAATGGTAGAAAATTAGAGGCACACGAAACAACTGTACGAGGGACATCCTTCGCCGCACCTCGACAGCCACAACGTCGACAGCAGCCACAAACACAACGCACTGATGGCTAGCCCATGGGGGTTAATCGACGCTGGGACGCTGCTTGTTCCCCTCAACCTCCTCACAACTTGCTGCTGACAGCGTCGATAGCGCGCGGTACAGATGGAGCCCTGCCAGGTTCTGCCCCCAAAAAAGCCCCTCTCAGCACTGGCGGTCTCGTCTCTCAATGGGGCTCGGATCAAAGCCGCCCATGCTCGAGGCCACTATTTCCCAGTAGTTCAACAAAGCATGAACTTTGTGTTGGTCTCGACAACACATGGTGATCGTCCGACACTTGGGATGGCGGAAAGCGCGAGCTCTGAGCACCAAACGTGCAGAGACTATTACCACTGACCGAGCGTTCTACTTAGTGCTTTCACCTTTTTTTTTTTTTTCTTCCTCTTCAACTGCTCTGGAATACTTGGTAATCCGGAAGTAGAATACCAACCACGTTGCTTCAAAGTAGGTACATACGGATGCAGATATGGCACTACCCCTTGGGAACTGCAGCAAGCTTGCTACGAGAACCCACAGAACGGGATCGAGATCGTTCTAATCGATGCCGGCTGGTGGGTTATTGCTCGATGGTTACAGATGGTCGGTTCTTGTCCTCGCCCACCAAAATAGCAATCGTGGCCATCTTGAACTTACGCTGGTTGGCATTTCCACGTCCCGGATCCTTGGACTTGGCAATCTTGCCGAATCGCAAGCAATCTTTGCTTAGGTAGTTCTTTGCAGAAACTCACACTGACCACCCTCAATCATTCAACCCCTGGGCTTGCCAGTCCCCGGATCGCCCTAGAATGGCGCATGAGGAAAACCTTCCATCTTTCCAAGCGTCTTCCACCATGCTTCCATTCGCTTCAGCCCACCTATCAGACCACGACTCCTCGGTGGCCACCCTCCTTCGCCAATGCAAGAAGCCGTTTGCAGCTTGATCATCAGTGCACGAGTTGGCTACACTCAGATTTTGCTGCTCAGCTGTTGTTTGTCACCAGGGAGTCCATTTGCATCAGCACAATACAGTGACCATTTGGAATGCCATTGAGACCGATCGAACTTTGAACTTTGAACGCATCTCAGATCGGTGTCGTGTGCCCACATCGGGGCTTAAGTTTTGTCAATAATTCAACGGCACCTCCAGTCCCAAACAGCCAAACAGGGGCATTAGCAGCAGCAGAAGCCCCGTTGTGGCGGAGACCAAAGAAGCAGCTTATGAGGCAGCATTGTTAGCTGCCGCCGCCTCAGAAGCCGTCGACGCTAACAGGCATCAATACTGCCACCGTCTGCAAATGCCGGTACACCCGTGGACGAGGGGAGAAGAGCAGTAGGCACAGCGGACGAGGAATTTGCTCTTGTCAGCATGAAATGGCATTCTCTGAATAGCTACGCACAGCAGCTGGGCCCAACACATCAGACAAGGGGCGACAATTTTTTATCGTTCTCGACCACTGGCTCTGGTAACTTGGTCACGGTCCTTGCATTGGACAGGTTACATCGCACTACCCTCTGGTTTCTGAAAGTCTCTGGCAGGGCTGAAGAATCTGCCCGTCTCCAGCCCTCGCTCTTCTCACCTTGTCCACCTCGTGGCACCGGAACTGTTGATACCCGCTGCGGTTTTCCTAGGCCTGTGAAATGGGTTTTCAGAAACACCGTTCACTCGTGTTGGCGGCCTGTATCTGTACGAAAAAAGTCCAGGGCGATCTGAGCACCAGAACGGATTTATGTATGTATACGGATGCAAAAGCGACCAAGGAGCCCTTGCTCTGATCATGGTCGATGACAGCGCCCAGAGAAATGGCCTGCATTCCGTCGCTTCTCCACCCCGTTTTCCCCCTTCTCCTCAAATGCCGACAGCGAACCAGCGCTCGAGCAAGCGCCCAATGTCGGGCCTGCGGAGATGCCTCGACAACTTTCCAAAGAAGCCAGGCATGACAGGACGCTGTACCACGCCCAATCCGACCATGGCACGCTCGCATAGCACCATGCTGTGCTGTGCGTCGGCGTCCGTCTCAGCCCACTCTTCCACCTCCACACGCTCTAATCCAGATCGGCACAAGCGTGCGCTAGTTTCGACGGTCGGTCCGATAAGGCATGCATCCGTGTTCTTCAACACCTCGCCAGTCTGCACAACCCACCACTCCTGTCCCGAGGGCTGCATGCAAGGCTGGCAGGCTGGTAGGCGCAAAAATAGAGATATCGACGTCTGAGGAAGAATCCTTCGTGTCGAGGCTAGAAGCCGCGGATGGGGTCAAGACACGTGCGAACAAACACACGAGCATTTTTGGTGCTGTTCAATGGCTATCTGCAGTCAAATTTCGGAAAACGCCGCTGCAATCTGCGAGAACCGCATGGTCCGCATTTGGCTCTGAGTTTGGGAGACAGCCATCAGAGGGACGGTTAGACTTCATCATCCCATATCAAAGGACGGTTTCAAGTTGTTCTTCGGTATTCCAGCCTCGTCGGCGTTAGGCTATCCGAAAAACTCCACGGACAATTACCTCCAAAGAGAAGGCTGAAACACCAGAGTCATTTGCCGACGGTTTTCCAACAGTAGAGTATTGAAAATGACCGCATCGGCAATGCCGAGCATACCGAGTTTTATATGACAAGTTACTTGTTACAGCTCAACTGTCGGAGACCATCACTTCAAGTCTCGGTCCCGGACAGAAGGAAATCACTAACGACCCGGATCAAACCACCCCCATTCCCTGTCCAAACGCCTGACGAGTATTCCCAAAAGCCGATATCCCATTATGTAAACCAAATATTGTCCCAAGAGCATCGTGCATGTCATATCCACAGCGCAGTCCGAGCCTGACAATGGCTCTATAGTTCCGCATTCTGGCAATTGCCCTTGCATTTCTTGGGAAGGTACCTGACCTCCTTGGCACAGTTACTCGCATCACCGTAGCTTCCCAGGTCGCTCGCGGGAACAAACTGCCCCGTCTGCAGGCTCCCCATTAGGGAATAGCTGTACCACGCCTCGTGAAGTACATCGCGCCCGCGTCCTGAGCACCGCAGCACCACGCGGCCGCCGCTCAGTCTCTCCAGCGTCCTGGTCACCTCGGCGAGAGCGTAGGGCTTCGAGGTCGAGGGCGTGATGCCGGCCCTCTCGAGCGCCGTGAAGGTGTCGAGTTGGCGGAAGAGAGAGAAGGCGCGGGTGAAGTAGTCGACGACTTCGATGCCGGGGTTGTATGCGGTGTCGTAGCAGGATGAAGAGAGGGTGTTTATGCAGCTTGCGTGTGTGTTGTACTCGGTGGCCCAGAGGTTATTGTTTGTGCCGCTGCGAGGGGGTGTGTTTTGTTAGCATTATGTGAATGTTTGGGTTCGGCCGATGATGGGCCGGAAGGGAACTGCTGCTTGGTCCCGGCCGGGGATGCACGGAGACGGGGGCGGGGACGGGGAAGAGGGGGGGCCGGAGTGGGGGACCACGGGAGGCGGAGAGGCTTACTATGCTGCTACCCAGTATCTCTCCATCAAAGCCAGGAGGTCATCTTGACCGTAATGCTTGAGGATGTCGGTAATGTTGGTGAACTGAGGCTCCATGCCGTAGAACGCTTTGTAGCTCCCATCGCATGGTTCGGGCCTATTGCAAGGATCCCAGTTAGATATCCAATCGTCTTTCAAAGGGGAGTTGACTTGGCAGGGAGCAATCGATTATCCCAGTTCAATACAACTACAATCACGAGAAGAGGATTGTAGGGATGGTGATTAGATAGAACATACCATAACCCATGAAGCGTCCAATCCTCCTCCGCGCCGGGGGCATGAACGGTGTCATCCCAGAATTGGGTGAGGAGGAGACGGCTGGAGGGGTAGACGTGGCAGCATGCGCTCTTGACGGAGCCATCTATTTGGCATTGTGGCGCGCCGGAGAGGGGTTCGTAGGTGGTTGACGGTGCTGTTAGAGTTGAGGTTGTGCTGGTGATGTCGTTGGTGATGGGGGAGAGGTGGGGGAGGAGAGAGGATAGGTTTTGGAGGAGGGCGCGGAGGGAGGGCGCCATTGTGGCTTTGTGTTAGTCGTATCCTGGGTTTAGTTTTGTTCTTCAAATAGATGATGTCTGGTTTGGGTTGATGGTGATAGGAGTGGGGGTGTGAAGTGGTTGTGGGATTGAAGGTGTCGGTACCGTTGGTTGCGATATGGAGCTTGAAGGTTGAGGGCTTGGTCCGAGGCGGAGCTTGTCTGGGGATTCTGCCACGTCAGGTGGGGACTAGTCATGGCTTGGCGGGCTCACCGCTTTCAGATTGAGGGATATCATTGGGTGATGAGGGATCTTTTGAGATTTGTGGGGCTGATCGCTTGTGTGGAGACTGTGGGGTGCGGTGACATGCTGCTTGTTGCGGTTTGGATGGCAGACGGGCGTTTGGGTGAGGACTCTGGTTTACCTACGCGCGAAGTTGGGGTTGGCTGCACTGCTCCCGGGTTATTTATTCATTCTGTATCAAGGCTGAATTGTTCTTGGGGTCTGGTTGAGCAGGTAATTTCGCTGTGAGTGTTGAGTAAAGTCTTTGGTTTCGATTACGCGAACATGGAATTACAGTATGAGACAAATCAACTCGGAAAATCGAAATGCTTTCCCTACGTAATGCAATATCCATATGACTCCTCTAGGACACTATTTATGACGTACTCGTTCTTTCCCTTCAGACGAGCTGCTTTAATTCTCATTAAGACCTAATCATCTTACCAATAAGCTTGAAGGTCTACCTTCCGGCTCCCCGACCTCTTCGCTCCCGACGTTACTTGGACAATGCGAAGACATGGACTACTCGCCTCTACAGAATTATGAAGACACAAGAACGACACAAGTATCAGTTCAAGTGATGAGCAAGTTCTAGGCGATGCACAAGCTTGCTGGAAACGAGGCTTGCTTAAGCTCAATGGGATATGGGAAAGGCTGGCCTACCTTATGCAAGGGAAGCTGCTAATACACATTTGGACTACGCTTATGTGCTCAGCAAAAGTTCTTTTCACCAGAATTGACGTTACGATGAGTCTTGGACTGGTAGCTTGCTTGCCCTCAAGTTTCCAGACCTGACGGGGGCAAGTGGAGAATGCGGCTTCGTAGAGGAGGGGCAGGTTAAGACTTGTTGAATGAGTATGAGTGTGCCATTTATTTATCTACATGCAAAGACGATGAGGTATGAACTGATAGCCTTTCTTGCGAGGTCGTACGTTGATGGGCTTTGTTCATCTTCATGCTAGCTCACACCCTTTTCGTATGAGTCTCCGTCCCAGACTTCACGATCCTCTTGCCATAATCTCTTGTTTAAAGCCAGATCTCTTCCTCGTACCTGGTAACGGATATTTTAGGACCATTTAATTGAATCGCAAATGCAAGTCAATGACCTTAAAGAGCAACAAGCTGTTCAATTCGATCAGATATCAAGTCAAAATCAAAAGATTTTTTCAAACAAAGCTCGTCTCTTGAATTCATTCCGCACCGATTGTTCTAAGCGAATATAATTCTACATTTAATGACAACACGTAGTTACTGAAAATATATTCACACAATTCTCTCCTCACACTTCATCCATCTAGGGGTTAAGGGTTTGACTTGGTGCAGGTTGATTCAATACGGTGACTGTGAGAAGGAACGCCGTGCCCGACACTATAGGACTACTTGTAGATGCGAGAGTAGGACTTGTAGATCTCGTATCTATTGGGAGGGGACCCGTGGTTGGCAAAGTGCTGGTACTGGATCCACTATTTGTTGTCGAGGAAGGAGACGTGGGTAAAGATGAAGCGCTGCCGCTCGACGTCTCAGAAGGAGTTGAAGCGGGAACTGAAGTAGGGACTGAAGTAGGAGACGTTGAGGAAAGCGGTAGAGTTGTAGGAGAGGATCCGCTGCTGGGAGCGCTTGACACTGGTGTAGTCGAGGCTGAAGTGCTCAAGGTCGCTGACTGGCTTGAAGTTGTCGCTAGTGAGGTTGTGTTTGAGTAGTAGAGCGAACCGATGCTGCTAGATGACCCTTGAGGCGATGTTGAAGATGATCCTGGAGGCGATGTTGAAGATGAACCTGAAGATGATGTGCTGGAGAGTGTGCTGAAACCAGAGGTCGTACTGGTTCCAGAAACCAAAGTATCTGTGCTCGACGAAAGAGAAGACGTAGTTGAAGTAGAGGAGACGTCCGAAGACGAACTCGAACTCGTAGAGTTGAGGAGGCTCTCGTCCAGCTGGTACACGGTGTACACCGGCGCGCCCAGCTCAAATGGAATCGCACCGCCACAAGGCGCCGAGGGCAACGAACTGCATGGATTTGTGCAGTAGTTATCGTTTGGGAGAATTTCCGATGAAAACGGTGTTACCGCTCCCGGCACCAGGATACTGCAAATGCAGAGAAACTTTGACATCATGGTGATTGTTCGCCTGTTGGTCTTGCAGTACTGTTGACATTCGACTGGTTGGTTCGCCACGTAGGGGTTGAAGAGGAGATCGACGTCGCTGACCATGGAGTTATCTAGGGGGCCACAACCTATGTACCGTGCTGGTGCGAGGGGGGCGGGAACTAGGGTGTTGACTGGGAACGTTGGGATGCTTCTTGTCGTTGAGGTTGTTGAGGTTGTCGAGGTTGTCGAGGCCATTGAGGTTGTCGAGGTCGTTGAGGTCGTTGAGGTCGACGTTGTTGAGGTCGTCGAGGAGGACGAAGATGACGAGGAGTCGGAGGAGGTTGATGTCGGTGACGACGTTGTCAAGGGCGTGTTTGTGGTTGTCTGAGAGGTCATCGTCGAGGATGAAGACAATGTCGTGGCAGTGGTACTGCTGGTTCCGCACGTGGTAGTGATAGCAACCGCTTTGTACAGATTGAGATAATTCGGGTCACCACCACATCTTGCATTCGAGTCGCCTAGGCACACTCTGTTGCATAGAGATTCGGCTACTGGAATGATGACAGGCGCTACCGTCTCGGGCACAAGTGAACATCTGCAGTAGTAACCGTCGTATAGGCTTCCGTACGTCGAACCAAGATTGCTGCAGAATCGCTGGCACTTTCCAGGAGTCAAAGCAGCGTCGCCCAGTAGACGGCTGAAGGCCGTGTTGAAGTTTGGGATGAGGACACAGCCGACGTATTGCATCACGCAAGGGATGCTGTACTGCGCCTGATCGAAAACTTGGGCGTTGGTGAAGGCCGTTGCTAGCAATGCCAGGAGCAGCCGGGCTACTGGAAACCGCGGCATTGTGCTGATCGTACGTCGTTGTACGCCGCTTGATGTTGATATACTTTGTGTAGAGAACTTGGCCGATCGAATGGGTAAACTGAATATCTTGCACACTTTCGTTTGTTTCTCTGGAAGTGAGATTTCCGGTCAAGGCCCAGTGCCGTAAGTGGTGTTCGTGGGAAGCCTTTTGAAAGATGAGCTAGAACAACTATTCAGGGGCCTGCTTCCGGTTTGAGCAGTGGCAAACCTCTACCCTCGTGCCTCGCATCGAACTGATGAACATAATCCATGTTACGTCAAGCCCGCACTGGGTGGACGCGGATTTGTATATTGGCTTCGGAGACAACGAAACTGACTGCGCGATGGTTGGAGCCTGACTCCTTCAGAGTATTGGTCTCAACTCTCAAGAATGTAGCGATATTACAGCTCAGGTTGTTTGTAACACTAACAATGGCATTTCAGGGAATGGGAGACTGCCTATGCTGGCATGCTGACTTAATTCAATATGGGTACCTTGGTAAGACAGAGAAACGAGACACTCCTCTGAGGCAGCTTTCTGGTCCTTGTCAGCAGAGAGGCTTTGAGGATCGAAAAGATCAGTCCCTCATCCTGGATAAATGCATCAATAATCGAGTCGTAGAGATTACTATTTGGTAACCAGTAAACACACATATCCTGCCAAGCATGCAGCTGGAGCAACAGAAGCACATTGATGTGGAGTTCAACATCTCTCCCATGCTCATTCTCGTGGAAGAAGTGTGCGCCTCATCCGATATGATGGGAGTTGAGCAATTCCTCAAGGCGGTGGAGATATGCACACATGAGCAGATGCCGCGCTGCTTCTACCCCAAATGATGATCCCCTGGCTTGCAGTGCCTTTGCATGATCGTGTGTGCAGGGGAGGCACGCATGTCGTGGAAATAGGATTACCACAGCGTTGGGACTTTTGGAATGGCTACCTGGTCCTCCCTATGATTGATTTCCGGGCTGGATTCCCCCCTCGGACCCTTCACGAATCACGTCGCTTGAATTTCGAAAGTGTGTCTCGGATCTTCAGCCTTCTGGCAAGGGGCTGGCTGGACTCGATCCGAAGACTCAAGCTGCATCTTGGCAGGGAAGGATGCCGGCCAAACAAATGGCCCCAGAAATGTCTTGTCTTTGTCGATCTTAGATCACGTACGTTACGCTTGTTGTTTGCGCTAGTGATGCCTCGACGTGGCTGAGAAAGGGGCCCCTGGGATTTAATGAACTTGTATCTGCATGGCAGATGCAGCTTATCGAACAAAATTCGAGCGTGTGCTTTCTGAACCAATTGCTGCCTGGGGAGAAACTTCTAGGTGCATTATGAAGTTTCAAGGCTTGGCCTACACCATTGTGTCCGAGACGGAGGCAGCACGTATGTTGCCATATTTCCTATTATTACTCTGCTTATTTTCAAGTCTTTTTATCTAAATATCAAACGTGAACAGGATGCAAAAATCAAAGAGATTGCTATTATCTTCTATATTCTGACGCCGTATAGCATTCGATGTGAGAGTGGTACACAAACTGGAGCCACAACGAAGCGGATAAACGACATCAACAAACGATAGCTGTAAGTCGCACTATTTATTTGTTACTGAAAGCTTAAAAGACGGCCATGATGTCTAGGCATATCAATGGTTAGGCCCGTGAGGTTAATGATATGTCTTGGCATATCGCTTGACGCATCAGTCCTTTGAATTTCGAAGCATGTGATAGGTGAAAATCATTCTTGTGGTCGCCGTGCAGGAGCCAGCTTGTCTCGTCCGATCTGATGTTATTCGGGCATAAGCTCGTCTGAATGTCCGTGAATGAGCAGTGAGATTGCTTGGGCCTTGTGGAGAGGGCAATTTGAAGACCAGATCAACCCCACCTGGAGGTGTATCGTACAGACACACTGTGTTGAAATGGAGATCCTCTATCTGTAGTTTGTCGTCAGCTGTGCACGCAGCGAATTTTGCCATATCATCTCCCATAGTTTTGCGCCTCAAAGTCTCGGAAATTGCATCTTACCATGACTTAGGCGAATTCAATGATCCACTAATCCCAGGCTCGAAGGTGAAATTCCACAGTATTCTGAGTTCAACACTCGAAAACATGAAAAGTGTCTTTCTCGACTTGTAACATCTCGAATGCCCGCACGCAGACGTACGGAGGCCGAGACGATGTTCTAAGCCTTCGCTAATCCTATCCGATCATTCGAAATGAGAATTTTATCGTGCATTATGGTAGAATGTCCTCAGTTCCCCGCAATAATGCCCGCTCACGATCGACAATGAGGTTGAGTGTAGCCGTACGCACTTGGCATTGCTTGGTGCCCGACCCAACTTTCTGGTACGCCGAGGCCTGGAAAGATGTCAATCTCATGGTTGAGCAATTTCCAATGAAAACCTTGTTTCGCTTGTGCTGCTTCTCTTCAAATCTTAAACATAGAGCCAACAAGCCAAAGTCTACCACTCGCAGCTCGCAGCAGAAGCAGAAATGCTGCTTTGACGTGGTTTCAGCTCAGATGATCGTGATGCCGGCCGCAGAACCCGGTTGGATAATCGCGCTGGTATGCGAGTCCTCGGGGCAAAGCGCGCACAGAGAAGTCCATTCAGGAAAAGTGTTTCCCCTCCGCCGTCCCTCTCGGCTCAGTGAACCGGCGGTAAGGCGGCAGAGGTATCCACCACGAACTCCACTTTTGGCCGGGCGGGGTCCGCCCTATCGGGCTCGGGCCGCTCGCCCCGCCCGGCCCGATATTCACTTGAGACACCGTCCTTTCTTTCCACCAACACTAAGGCTGTGGACTTGACTAATGTTGGGCCGTGCTACGCTGACTACATTCTTTCGACAGAGGGCTATCAATGCGGCACTTTTCTGTACATTTACTGATCAAGCTGCACTTCGGATTCGGTTTATTTTCAGTAAGCCAGATGGGATGTTTGGTGAACCAATATCAATCTACCTTGAAGAAACCTGACAGTACCATCCACAAACGCCATTTACTCTCTAACAGTCATTGAGAAGTCATTGTTCTGTCATTGACATTGATCTAGAGACTTGGGACATGCCGAAAAGCCGGAGAAAAGCGCCATCGTCATCATCGACTGTCCAAATCTCACCTTCTCACACTGCATCTCTGGCTGGAACCGGCACATTTGTCAAAGTCAGGAGAGTATCCCGAGTGCCGCGCATAGCCTTACCGTCTTAGACTTCACGTACCCCGCGCGCCTCGCCGGTACCCCGCAACCTTCATCACAACCTTGAAAGCCTCGATTGCTCTATACCGATATCCAAGAATTTCGAAGTACTTGTGTTTGTGTCGGTCTGATGCGGTTATCTTCGGGTGTTTTACGAGCCCAGAAGAAGTAATTCAATATGAAGCTTAAGGTCGTAAGATTGTGATGCTTCTCTGCAAGGAGACGGCAGCAATGAAAAAAGCCAATGGAGTTGGAGAATCAATGCAAGAATGAGGGGTCCAAAAACCTAAGCAAAAAACGGCCTGCATTTGTTGCGGGCAACATTGGAGAAATGGAGTAAGACGCCACCAAGTCCGCGCTGCCACGTGGAATCAAAAGTTTGCTATTCATCGGTAGCATCAGTGGCACATAGCTTTCATGTCATAGACCCGACATTTTGCTCACTGTATGAGTCTAGCTCGGTTGTCACTTCAAACCGGGCCAGTTCCCCAGCTTCTTCCGATGTTGCCGCCGCAGAAGGATCCCTGCTTCAGATCAGCCTTTGAAGCTGCAGCCTTGAGTTTGTTGGGACTGATTCTCAGCCTCATGATGGCCCCATGTCTACACGCGGGGAACATGCTCTCTCGAGATCTGCTCCCAACATTGTAACCCCTCACGGACTACTGCACGATGCTCCTCTCAGGGTTTCAGTGAAACCTACTTCGCGGGGCTCTGCAGAGAAGTCTTGGTCGTGCTGACAGGCCTCTCACGGACTTGGGCACGAAAGAGTCGTCAGCCTTTGACTTTGTCTAGCGTCAAGCTCTGCTTCAGCATCTGAAGCTGGCTTATTTCACATGTGACTGCGAGACTGAGGTACATTGGCGATACTCGTCGACACTCAGACCAATCGTTCGTCCACGTTGCGAGATGAATACAACAACGAAGACCTCACTGCTCTGACTTGCAGAATTGAATCCGACGCTGGAAAGTCTCGGCCTCGTGTATGTAGCTGATGCTCTGATGTGTGTTCTTTGTTGCCCCGCAGCAGACCATGCGAAACCTTCGCACGATGGGCAAAGATGCATAACACGTACGAGCTGTTTGAGTTGAGGTTTACGCATTCATGATTCACCTTGCAGAGCCGAAGTTTGAGGCATAGTTGGAGAAAAGTGTGATCTGCTAGCCTGTCTGAAAAGCTATAAAGACCCATCAAAGGTCATGCAATTATAGAACCAGTTAGCTCAGCAGCAACAAGTTTTCAGCTCAATTCCAAGTCTTCAACACTATCAACAAATCACAACATCATCCTAGCTTATTGCAACATACTCTACCTAACTCTTAAATTCAAAATGGGCGACATCCGCGGTTCCGAGAGAGACAGCAACGTTATTGCCCTTGTCGAGGCTATCCTCGGCCACAAGATCGAGAGCATGCCCGGCTCTTCATCTCAGAGCACCATGGAGGACTATGAAGACCTCGTCGACATGAACAGGGACCATGAGTTCAGCAAGGATGGTCCCCGTCCCGACTCCCCACCCAAGAACCCTTGCGTCGGCGCCGTCAATCCCTACGCTTTGGCTGAGGCTCTCATTGGCCGCAGAATTGACCGTCACTCGATGGCTGCTGCCCAGATCCTTCAAAATGTCCTTCAGACCGACTATGATGAGCTCTTTGACATGCGCCACCACTCTGTTCTTTTTGCCGGTATGAGGCTGAACGAGAAGGAGAGAAAGGCTGAGATGTACGATGAGAAGGATATGAAGATTCTCAACGAGCGGGATCTCATGACTCCCGACTTCTCTGGTGTCCGCAGACTCGAGGACCTCGAGAAGGTCGGACTCAAGGATCTCAAGGAGGCCAAGGTCAAGATGGCCCGCATGAAGAACGGCAAACTTCGCCTTGTTCTCCACGCTCACGAGCTTGGCGACACTGTTTCCAACCGCAAGGTTACCATGTCCATCAACGAACTCGTCACTCCATTCAGAATGCAGAAGGGACGCTGGCAGCCGCCCAACGCCTCATGGCGCGACATGTACGACTATTTCTTCCAGAGCGTCAATAAGCGCCTGATTTCCGACATCACCATGTTCCAGCTTGGTGACCGCCGCGAGACCAACCGCCAATTTGACGACCCGACTCAGGGCTGCTCAAGCAATAGTTGGTTCGTCTCCGCTCTCTTCTCCGTGTTCTGGTCCGACCCCAGTGCCATCAACCGTGCTACCCGCGTCCACACCCACGGCAACGACAAGAAGCGTTTCTTGTCTGTCAAGTTCCACGATAAGGGTGGCAAGCAGAACAACAAGACTGAGACTGTTGACGTCAACTACGAGATCCCCATCAACAACTCTGACAATGAACCTCTGTACTGCCGCTCCAGCGATGGCGCCGACATCTGGCCCTCGCTCTACGAGAAGGCTTTCGCCAAGTGGATCACTGGCTCCAACTCTGAGCAGCCGGATATTACCCAGACTCACTGCGGTGACCCCATCAAGGCCATGGCCCAGATCAACGGCCGCACGCCTCACTACTACAACTGTGACAACCACTCTTCCCACACTCTTCTGGGCTTGGTCCGCGCCAACAGCGTCAATAACAAGACTATCAACCCCATGACGGCCTACACCTATGCCACCGGCCGCGAGTTCCACGGTGCCAACATTGTTGCCAACCACGCCTACTCCGTTCTCGGCTATTGCGTCATTGGCGACAAGCAGTACATCGTCCTTCGCAACCCGTGGGGTGTCACCGAGCCCCAGGGTCTCACCAGCTACACTGGTCTCCTCGGACGTCTCGAGCCCGAGATCTGGAACCCCGCCACCCTCCTCGACCACGGCGGCCTCTTTGCTCTTGAGGCCGACTCCTTCAAGCGGTGCTTCTCCTGCATCGGTGTTGCCAAGTAAACGTTGCAAAATAAGTGACCGGTCACTTATTTTGCAATGGAATTTCACGGCACTTAGTCTGGCAACTTTGATTTGGAGTATGGGTTCGCTCGTTTTTTATTCTGCTTTCTGTTGTGTCGCAGGCTTATTCTTGGGTTTGAGTCTCATAAAAGTTGTATCGTTTCGCTGTTCTTTCCGCCTAATGCTACCGGAACTGGGCCAAAGCAGCTGGCGGTGTAACACAAAATGGCGGGAAACTCAAAAGCAGATTGAAAAGTTGGTTTGGTACTCGTTTCGATAGCAAAATTTAATCTCAGTTGCCAAGATTGCTGTTGCTGGTGTTGTCGTGAGCATACATATATGCAGATCTTCAGTGAAGTGTGATGGCCGCCCATTCGTTGTCCGTCTGACAGAGGCTCTTCTCATACTCATTGATCAAGCATTCTCCAAAAAATTTGCAATAACCAAGAAAGGCTACGTCCACGAGACCAAACAAGTCGAAGCCGGAGCGGAGTAATGGTTAAAGGTAAGTCTCTTCCACGTCCATCGCGACACGACTATCGGCCATCGGCTGAACAACAAATGGTACTCGCGCCCACGTAACGAAACTAGGAGATCATTCCTTCTCGCCCCGGGTGGTAACACAAACATTGTAAAGTTCTGTAAGAGGACCGACCGTTCTATGGTAAGCGCCGGGAGACTTATTTTCGAGCATGCTTATCCTGTCAGTGACTCTATTTATGACCTGCTCACCTTCTCCAGACCAGGCAGCTGTCTGTCGCCCTCTGGAGAACAAGTGACTTTCGACTGTGTGGGACCCCATATTCTGAGTATTGCCTCATGATTGAAGGACAGTTTCCATACTTTCCCAATGGACCAGAAGGTAGTCTTGAGTCGTTGTGGGTCCCTCCATATTTCCTTCGGTGTTTCTGGAGAAGAAGCCGAGCACATCTCGCCATGATTCTCCGACGCAACACTGTGGGGTCGTCGCATTGATTTTCGATTGCTTGAAACGAAAGTTCGTCGGCTCCCCGGAGTCTTAGGCCAGGTCCGGCGTGCGTTATGGTGCCAACCACTGAACCAATCGTCATGAGGACCTTATTGTCATTGAGCCACACCATGCTCTTGGAGGCTGTGTCTTGCCGTCTTTCACGTTTTCCATCTTTCTCTTCACTCAAGTAACTCAGGGTTGTTGGAACTATGGGGTTAGCGGGTCCAGAGGTAGCGAGTCCCCGTTGAGTTTGGCGGCATGCATGGCCATGAGCCGCTACCCTCGAGCGACCTGGCTTGCATCCCAGTCAGGAACCCACAAAGGCAGTGCATCAGCTGAACTAAAGCTGCGTAAAGAACATAAACCGCTGACAGAGTGGTTAACATAGCTCAGCATGTCAAAACTCTGAAATCCCTCCATGATGTAGCTGGCCAAATCAGTTTGTATCTCGGCTTTGGATTTGCCATAGGTAGTCAACTGCCATCAGTCTATTGTCGGCACCCACGTTCGTTGAAATCCCCAAAAGAGCAAAAGTTTTGTCCCGAGGATCTTATGCTTCAAGCTGACGAGCTCGGGCAAGCATATCGATGATGTGTGCGCTTCTCCCACCATAGTTGGTGACATAGGTGTGCCAAGAAGGTCAGAGTTGGGCCAAATAATGCGACTCTGAGTAGGTACAGCGGGCCTGAAACATGTCGCGGACGATATCGACTCTTTAGATGGCTTGCATGCTGTATCCATAGCGATTGTGGTATCGTGGATTCAGCCAAGTCATCTTACAGAAGTCATTCTATGGGACTCTTCGATGACCACACTGTATCGATACTTTCCTCGATATCAAACCCACTGACATAGAGGAAAAACGAAGTTGTCTGCGCAGTCTTCCTCTGGATGGTTTCGGACTATTCATCGACTAGGAAGGCTCAGATTCGTAAACAATTTCCATGAATAGTACGATCTGGGAGAAGTTGAGGTAAATGTTCTGATAAGGTGCCCTTTGAACCCCGCGGTCGCGACTCATCATCCAGTGTAGACTAGGTAGTACTGAAGCAAAGCAAACGAAGGAGTCAACTGACGATGAATGAAGTGACTTGGGTAAGTGAGTGCTCCTTTGTAAATTGTAAATGTCGACTTCCAAGGAACCAATTTGAAGTCATGACCTACAAGCGATCAGAGGAGAATTGAACATTATGTGTACTAGTACTGAGCTCGCGCACGCACACATCCAAGAGACTTTTTCTGCTAGAAGGCGGGTTGGTTTTTCTGGACCAACCGGAAGTCCGCTAGCTTCGTTCTAATATGTAACTTTCTGCTTCATGAAAAAGCAGATGATATTACATGGATGCTAGTCCACGGGGTCAATGTTCATTGGTTTAACAGGGGGCCGAGTCTCGTTAACGGGTCGCGTTGCATAGGTCTTCAGTAGCAATAGGAATGAAATATTGAGATGTAACAAGATGCATAATTATTCTGTTGCCAAAGATACCGCTAATAAGCTGTGGAAGGATCCGCGAGGTTGTAATGAGACCCGCAAAGAGTGAGCCAGATCTAGGCCTAGATACTGGTACATAACTGCACGGAGAGACAACCAAATCGCTCAAGCAGATGATCGCCGTTTTCCACATCAGCAGTAAAACTGTGCAATTATCTCGGCGACTAAGAAGAACCTCTTTGGTCTGCGTGCATAGTGCAGGCAGATTTAGCCTTTAGCCTGCATCAGACCAGTGGTATGGTATTCCGATATGAGCACAAGCCAACTGCCCGCGTGTAGCAAACACCTTGATTGAGCAGTTGAACAGCTGAACAGCCATATATGAGCTGATCAGAATATCATCTCACAAAATCAGATACTCCTTCTCCTGTAGTTAAAAATTCGTTTGCATGTTTCTCAAAGTCTGTCCCACGAAATGTCTCTTCACTCCGAGAACGTGAGCCTCGAGACTGTCCGCCGTGGCGAGGTAGAAAGCCAAGATGGAGCCTCGAGTCGGCCTATCCGCTCCGCAGACAAAGGATTGTCTGCTTGGCTCTTCATACTTGCATCTTTTGTTGCTGAAGCCGTTCTCTGGGGTATGTCCGTCGCACGCCGAAGTCTTCAGTAGCTTCATCTCAGATACTTACACGAGTATCTAGGCTTCCCGCTGTCATACGGCGTCTTCCAAGACTACTATTCGAAGCATCCTGTCACCAAACATGACTCGAATATTGCCGTCGTCGGAACCGCTGCCACCAGTGTCTACTATCTCGGTGGACCACTCGCAACGCCCTTTGCAGCACGTTTTCAGGCATGGCAGCGACACATGATCATCATCGGCTGGTTGGGATGCGCCCTGTCGCTCCTGATCGCCTCATTTGCGACTTCAGTGCCTGGCCTCATCGCAACCCAGGGGTTTCTCTACGGATTTGCATTCCTCTTCGTCAACTACCCACTTCTCCGAATGCTTAATGAATGGTTCATGGGGCACAGAGGTCTCGCGTACGGAATCATGTCGACCGGTGCTGGTTGTAGCGGAGTCGGCTTGCCATTTCTTCTCGAGTCACTCCTTGCAAAATACGGATATCAGACAACGTTACGGGCCATGGCTGTGGCACAATTCATCACCTTACTTCCCATGATCCCCTTAATCAAAGGACGGCTTCCAGTCTCGAGACGGGGTGTGCTGAAGAAAGACGAACTCAATTTCTTCAAAAGGCCGCTGTTCTACTGCTTTGCCTTGACCAACCTCCTAGAAGCTCTCGGATACTACATCCCTGCTCTCTACCTACCAACATACGCAACATCGTTGGGTCTCTCGGGAACGATGGGTGCGCTGATTCTAGCCGCGAACAATCTCGCCACGATCTTTGGCCAGCTCGCCCTTGGCTACATCACAGACCGCGTCAACAACGTGCTCATCCTCGTCTTTAGTTCCTCATTCATCGCCGCAGTTGCGACGTTTGCTATCTGGGGTTATGCCTCATCTCTTGCACCTCTACTATTCTTCTCGGTGGTGTTCGGGCTGGCGACGGGCGGGTTTCCTTGTCTGTGGAACAAGTTCGGATCGGCCCTCTCGGAGGATCCGGAGCACGTGTACAGCTTCATGGCCTTTGGTAAAGGTGTCGGCAATATCTTGACGGCCCCGATCTCTGCACCGCTGGCAATGGGTCCTCTGACACGTAGTTACAGTCTTGGGCGGTTTGCGCCGTTGATCTTGTACACTGGATCGATGATGTTGGCTTCATCAATTGCTGTTCTTTGTTGGCCGCTGATGCGACACGCTGGTAAATGATAGCTGTTTGCTCACATTGACACCTGCGCCGCCTTGTTTGTTTCTCACAGCGCTGGGTCAGGCCTGCATCGCTACCACAATATTCCTGCCACGGGATGTAGATCTGGCTCAAGGTTTGAGGCCTGGAAATTGAAAGGGAGACTTTTAATGGACTGCCAGTATCACCGCAATGATAGGCACAACATTTCTATGGAATATCAAAATATGTATAGTACTGGACATGAAACACAATTTCGTGTCGTCCGGAGGGGTTGTCTGGGTTTCTTGGGGAAACATGCGACACCAATAATCACACAGTTGCTAAGCCGTGCCCAGCAGCTGAGCCCTTCAACCAGACAGGCTTCAACGCCGAGAAACGTGGCGTAATTGTGGAAAGCTGCAGAATGATACCATACATGGACAAAAGCCCGAGGTTTAGAGTGGCTCCTGGTCAACTCCTCTCAATTGTTTGTCCCATGGAGAGTGGGAGCCTTTTCCCAGCTGCAGCGTAACTAAGCCCGGCCGTCCCGTACGGGGTTATCACCTCACGCCCGCAAACGTAACCTATCACACGTGTTGCTTGAGCCAGGGACCGCGGAACACTCCGCTTTAACTCTGGGCGCATAATTATGAGCCAATAGCAAGCGTGTATCTGTTGTGCAAGCCTGCGCTGTTGGTGCAGGCGCAAGTTCAGATGCCTGTTTGAGAAGTGATTGATGGGACTTTACTCCGCCGATAAACAGCAAGTCCGGCACTAGGAATATGTTGGAACTTGGGAAATGCCACTCCTGGCGGTGATTTATTTAGAACGCACGTTCCCCTCCTCTACTGAATGTCAACCTCCTGTGCCTCGGACTGAACTGCCCTTTCGTCTTGAATCTTGTCTCGGTTACTACTCATTGACCGATCTACCCTGGAGGTCCAGGTGTATTTGTTGTTGGAAGTGTACTCCCCAGCCGGGCAGACCCATATCTCACAAAAATGCAGCAAACCGAACATATTCACGCCGTAAGCTTGCTGAGTTGTCCGTTTGGTTTATGTCACGACTGGCTGTTGACAACAATTTCAGGAAATTGAGGCAGATGACGGAATATCAACAGGTGACGTGAGTCCGGGCATTTTGGTTTTTTGTCGGAGTTTTTGAGTTTCCAGGACCTCGCTGATTATTTCCCTATTCGTTCGAAGCTTTACGAAGACTCCTCGGTGACTTCACTGAGATCAAGCATTTTGGAGCATGAGGTTGAAAACGGCCGCACATATCACTCCATGAGCTCTGGAAGTACGTATATTTTGCCAGTGAACTTGAAATATCATCAGCATATTGACCGAGCTCCTTTCAGAATACCAATACCCGAATGATGAGGTGAGTACCTTTAGAGTGGCCAGTCTGGGGTACTCTCGCAACGCTCCAGCAGCAGAACATGTTCACTGACAGAAGAATCAGAAAGAGAATGATCGTTTAGGTAAGTCCAAGCGCACATGCCTATCCTGAGTTATGCGCTGCCACGTCTATTACTTGACCACGATGCTGATCGATCCAGATTTCCAACATCATATTTGGAAACTCACCTTAGGAGGGGCGCTCGCAACTGCCCCTGCTCATAAAACCGCGAAGCGTGTCTTAGACATGGGCACAGGCACTGGTATCTGGGCTTGTGAATATGGTTGGTGTTTTATATTCCAGCGCTTGACAGCCATTCCTTTGCTAATAAAATTACTCAGCGGACGAATTCCCATCTACTGAGGTATGTATGCAAATCTTATGGAGACGCTCTTCGGTCTTTGCTTGAGTCCTTGGTTGTCATGCTGACACAACACCAGGTCATTGGCGTTGACTTGAGTCCCATTCAGCCCGAATGGTAAAGTCAAGCTATACTTCGATCTGTGCGCCACTGGACTAATCAGACACTATAGGACACCTCCGAATTGTATATTCGAAATCGACGATCTTGAGAAAGAGTGGACTTGGACTGAGCCGTTCGATTACATTCACTGCCGTACCATGGAGGGCTCATTCGCAGATCCACCAAAGATCATCAAGAAGATTTACAAGTAAAGGAGACCATTACAACCCAGTTGTGCATCTTGTACATTGCAAACTAACGCCTTGATCAGAGCTCTGGAGCCCGGCGGATGGTTCGAGGCAGGAGGTTTCGTACTTCCCATGGGCTGCGACGACGGCACCGTCCCCAAGGATTCGGCTCTCGCTCGTTGGCATGATCTTCTCGCCGAAGCAGGCGAACGCTGCGGTCGCTCCATCGAGAGCCCTTCGAAGTATACGAGCGCCATCGAAGAGGCTGGGTTTGTCGACATCGTGAACAAGCAATACGTTTGGCCTCTCAACTCGTGGCCCAAGGACAAGACCCTTAAAGAGATCGGCCAGTGGCAATTCGTTAACCTGGACTTGGGCATCGAAGCACTTTCTATGGGCTTGCTGACGCGGGTAATGAACTGGACAAAGGAGGAAGTTTATGCCTTCTGCGCCGAGCTCCGGAATGACCTCAAAAAGAAGGAGTACCACGCCTACTGGAGGGTGTAAGTCTTCCTTGATGACTTTCTTACGCACCTGTGTCTCTACATGATCTTATGCTGACACTATTAGCCACGTCGTCTACGCTCGCAAGCCGCTGACTGAGGAAACTCCTGAGGAAGCTCCTGGAGAGTGATAGGGATCACGAGGGCTAGGCCTCGAGTCTTGACACTGAGAGATAAGCCACCTGAACCATATTCAATCAAATGCCCACTGGCTTCAGTTTTTGGAAAACGAGGAAATATGGCTGTGCTTCAGTCATCGCTGTGGAACCTGTCAGAAAAGTAGTTATGAATGATCACTGCAAGTCTGTTTGTAAGCAGTGAAGGCCAACAAGACTCTCTGCACACAGCACGAGACACCTGATTTCTCCCAAAGATATTATAAACATATGGCTGTGAGCGAAGTCCGAATTGCGGCTTGAGTGAGCTTTGCCTCTGAACACAGTGGAGTAGGTTTGCAGTCGATGAGGTAGGCACTCTCGATCGACGGAAACCTGCATTGGCTACCACCAAAACAATATGCGATCCAGAAAATTCGAGACTTCAGTTCTTACTGAGCCAAAAGATTTAAATTCCAAGACAATAGTCGTACGTGTCACTACGAACGTTGCATCTATGAGAGCATGGGCTGGGGCGCAAGTGGGAACGCTTGCCCACGCCGCACGGACCAGACATTATCCTACTTAATATCTGTAGGAGCTGCTTCATCCAACCAACTATCTCTGGATGCCAACATCCACCAATCCCCGATAGTCTAGTGGTGAGGATATCTGCTTGTCATTGAAAATTCAACGATTCGCAGGGGACCGGGGTTCAATTCCCCGTCGAGGAGTCATCTTTTGCTTTTTGTCCAGATGAGCTTTATATTTAGGATTCTAATAGTCTAAAGATTGTTTTCGACGCACTTTAGAATGCTTTCGCCCGATTGGACTGGCGTAACGAGGACTTGAATGCATGGAAGTTTGTATGGCCTGCTCCATGACATCCTCCATAAATGAACCCTTTTTCCCCACTGACCATCGCATGTTGAACTCGAGCAAAAACCACTTTCAGTAGCCTGTGAGGGACGTATGAAAACACATATATGTCGTCGAATTACATACCAAGCTAAGCTGGTGGACACGAGGATGTCGTTAAGTCGTGAGTCGGGGAGTCGATGCGCATCCCACCGGAACCGAGGTTGAGGAGAGTCAAAAAATAATTAGGATAGCCAAACTCCCCATTATCGGCCGAAAAGATGAGATCATTTCTTTACCCGTGCCGACCAATCTTCCAGACGAAATGACTGGGTTCAAAGAGACAAGATGCACGAGCGTTTCCCACTTCCTATGGCTAGAACGACATGGTCTGACAGACGCGGGCCTCAAGCTGTCAGGAATACGTTAAGCTTGTTCCTGGTGAGAGGAGGGGTCATGTGTTTGTCTCCTGCAGTCAGCCACGAGTTCAGTTAGACTACGTAGGCGTTGATGACCGTGAACCTTGGCGCAGAAGCACGATGTGGTTGGTTCTGTCGACCTTTTCAAATCTCGCTACGACGCGAATAAGTGTGATGGCAACGCGCAGACTTTCAATAAGCGCTGCGTATATCCGTAGACGTGTATACGTGACACAAACTGACTCTCGTAGTCGAATACACACAACAAAAAGCCGCTCAAGATTTATATTGCAATTGACACATTATGCGGCGCATGTCTTGCTTGTCAATCCCATTATCCCCCAAAATTTGCCTCATTCGCCAAGGCGGAACAAAGGCAACCCCTCCTTTTCTTATAGCGGATCGTGGGCCCGCAGCCTCCGAAAGCCCACCTCGCGTTTGTTCCAGTCTGAGACGCGTTTCCTCGTTGAACCCGCTCTTGGAAGGGAAATGAGATCCAACAGAAGGAAATGCGCTGGATCCCTATTCCCCATCTGCTGTTGTTAATAAGATTTTGAAATCCTGATTCACCTTTTCATGAAGTCGATCCGAACGACATTGGCAAAACTCCACGTCTAGTGGCAAACGAATTTCTTGCTGCTTTCGCCCGTAGGCTCACCCATCATGCGTCTTTCCAATTTCCCGTCCTGCCTACGGCTCCTGCGGGGACTTTTGTCATTCTCACCGGGGGAGAAAGGAAACAAGCAGCGAACCGCGGTCGTAGAGGATATTGAGATTGCGGCGCGGGCACAATTCTGAAAGTCATGACATGGGCAACGGCCGGATCGGTGCAAGTGCATCACGGTGAGAGTCAGACTGAATCGTTTGCTTTGTTGAATTGGGTTGACGCCACGCGCGCCACGCCGCAAAGGAGCTGGCGAGAAGTCGGCCGCCATGAATTGGGAAGTTGGCTCGACTGGAAGCAGGAACACATCCAAAATTACCTGAAGGATCGCGGGATGGCGCTTGACGGTTGAAATTGGGTAGGATTCAGGAACCGTTCAAGAACCATTCAGGAACCGGGACTGGTCGTGGGAAAAAGGAGTTCCTGGTACAGCACCGCACACGCCCAATCGAAGCCCCTGCCGACTTCTGGGCGCCCAATAGACTGGGAACAGGTGAACTTGTGAAGCAGTCAGCCGTCCGGTTTGGGCCAGCAGTTCCCCCTTTTTCACTCAAAACACCAACAGACAAACCACACCAGAAAGTGGTGAACCAAGCAGCCACCAGAGGCCGAGCAGCAAAGCCGGGCTAAACTGTGCCGCAAACTGCTTAAATGCTCTCGCTTAGGTTGACGCTACGTGAGGCCACTCTAACCGCTCCAAGAAGTACCATCCGTGCCACGGTCCTGTCTTGAGTGACATGCCCGCCATCGTGAACCGCCCACCTGGCACCGACAGCCCCCTTGCGAGTAAGAATCTCTGACTCTCTCTCTATGTAGGCGGCCTGCCAACGCCGAGGCGCGCCGTGGACGATAATACGAACTTGCCTTTTGTGTTGGGCCCTTGGCTCCGCGTCGTTCGATGGAGATTTCACGGCCGAGAGGATCCGGGGTCGACTCCACCCCTTTTGCGGCGCGGACGCAGCTGATGCCTATGGGCAATTTCCCGAATCCTCGACCTCCCAAAGAGCACATAATGGCCGCGATGCCCCCCCTAAACTCGCACCGGACTCTCAGGTTTTCCCTCTTGCTCCCTCACCGATCCCAGTCACTCTTTTAATACTATCCGGATCCGAAAAATAACTCCACCAAAAATGCGTTACTTCTCCGTTGCCCTCGCCCTCGCGGCCCCTCTGGTTTCCGCCATCGAGTTCACCAGCCCCTCGGCCAACTCCACCGTCGCCAAGGGCAAGAGCTACGAGCTGTCGTGGAACACTGTCGACACGGACCCTTCGACCTTCAGCGTCTTCCTCGTCAACTTTGTCAACTGGCCTCCTTCCTACGTCCTCTTGGCCCAGGACCTCGAGACCGCCGCCGGCTCTGCCTCCATCGACGTTCCCTGCTCCACCCTCAACTCTGACGGTTACCAATTGTGAGACATTCTCTTTCTTTTGTTTGTCATTCTGTCTCTGGCTCTGACGCCGTTTTTCCTTTTTCTCTCTTGTCGAGTTGTCTTGATTCTTGACCCTTTGCGGTCTCGAATTCCCATTTCTACCCCTGAACTGTGCCCCGATTAGCCTGTTCTGGGCAGGGGTAAGAATCTGACGAGTCATGCACTGCAACGGTCATTTTAAATGAAAAGCGGAGTGAACCACTCCAAAACAGAAAGAAAGAAAACAGGGGGTCGAATAAGATTAAAGTGAAGGAGGGAGGGGAAATATGTGGCTAACCCGAAATTCAAACAATCAGCAACGCCATCAACGGCACCAACGTCTATGTGATCTACGCGCAGACGCCCAAGTTCTCCGTCTCCGGAGCCGACTGCACCGATCCCACCACGCTGCCCCCGGCTTCGCCCTCCACCTGCGCGCCGCCGAGCACCGTCACTGTCACGGTGAGCAAGACCCTTTCCAAGAACTCCACCGCGACGGCGACGGGCGGTTTCTCGGCGGCCCAGAGCAGCTTCATCACGACCACCGCCGCCGTCCCGGCCACCACTCCCGATGCCCCCGTCTTCCATGGCACTTGTCCTGACACCATTGGCTGGGCCTCAGACTACCATCACCCCGTAACTCTCACCAAGCCCCCTCACCACCCCGAGGCCACCGGCGCTCCCTACCCGACCGGCTCCTTCAGCGCCAAGCACGATGAGGAGGTGACTACCATTTACCGTACCACCTACCTTCCTTTGGAGCTGGCCCCGACTGGTGCTTGCAAGTGTTAGAGTAACCTAACCTGACAATCACACTGACAAGACTCTCCACGACTGATTAACAAACGGCCTTGATGTGAATTCGCGGTCGAAACCGGGAAACGGAAAACCGGGAGGAAAATCGGAGGTTATTGCAGCTTGCGTCGTCTCCTTTGAGGCAAAAACTTTCTTGGACGTTGGTGGTTTGGTGTAATACTTTTTGGGCAGCAGAGAAAAAAAAATGGAACTGAGGTTACGAAGTGAAGGCCGATATTCGAAATCACTTCAGAACCCTCTCTCCTTAAGCCCTCAACTCATCCCACATCAAGCCTATCGCGTCTTCCTTTTCTCTTTGTGTATGCGCTTTACTTCTTAATGTTTAAATGTCTCATGACAACCACAAAAAAAAAGATACCATCCAAATCAAGAACATTTTGGTCTCGCTGAACGTGATTCCAGACCCCATCCCATGACTGCACTTCCGGAAACTTGCGAGAAAGTTGCAAAACATAGAAACAACAGGCAACCCCGGCAACGCCAATAATAGCCCGCGCTGCCGCAGCTCCGTGACGCCAAGCCGTGCCGAGATGGTGGAGACGGTACCACTTGCGGCGCCGTCCGATGTCACTCAAAACCGATCCCACCTCATGCGCGCCAGCCATACCGTGCCGGCCTGGCCTCGTGTTTGGCGATGGTTCTAGCCACATCCTCCAACTTGACGTGCGTTTTAATAGCATCTCCCCCCTAGATCTTGCTTACTTTTTTGTCTTTCCACTACGGTTGCAGGGTTTCCTCCATACCCGGCAAGTTGGATCGGCGTACAACACGCCTAAAGTTGAAGGTTTTGAAAAAAGATCCCCCCTTCGTAGGGCCCGAGCACCTAAGGCGAGTCCCTGTTGCACTAGTAGATAGAGCTTCATGCGGTTCAAGGCAACTCTCGATACCACGTTCTACGGCCCGGGTTCACGTCCACGTCACCCTGCCAAACACGGGGACGGTAGAACTAGCTAGCCTAGTCCAAAGTAAGCATGTTCTTGTATTGCGGACACTGGGGAAACGCATTTCTGACGACATCCGATTCCATATGTCGTTCCCTTATTGTCGCTCCTCTTTTTTGGGTGATGTGTGGGACTGTAAGTGACCGGTTCCCTCTTTTTCTCTTTTCCCCGGACCGTTCATCACTTCATCTCGTCTGTCGCTTGGTTCGTGATTATTGTCGTTCTTCTTATCATTTTTTCATCTGGATAGAATTGAAGCTTGATGCTTCGTGGTTTACTCTTTTAATTCATTTCATCACATTCTTTGCTGCTGCGCAGCCCTATCTTCACACTTATCAAACTTATCTTTCTTGTCTTTCCTTGATTCGTCCTATAAAAGATGCGTTTCTCGTCCATGGTTGCCGTCGCCCTCTTGGCGCTTGGCGAGACTGGGCTCTGTGATCGCCAAGAAGGGCAGTCAAAGTTGTTCTCTGTAAGCCATCCTGTCCAAGCACTTCAGTACTACCAAGAGATCAGATCATGTCTGGGTATCCTTTGCACTTCTCTCACTGCGATCTCTAACACGGCTCTTCACCATAGGGTAGTGTCGCCGGCCGCGCCGCGGTCCTCGTGAGACAAGAAGTCGAGAAGCCCACCGTCGAAAAGAGACAAATCAGCTTCGAAAACGGAGGCATCAGCATCGGCGGCGCGGGAGGCCTTCAACTCGGCGGCAAGGGCAAAGGCAAGGGCAACGGCCAGGCCACGGCAGGTCAACCCGGCACCAATGTCGCGGGTAACCGAACCGCCAATAACAACGCTGGCCTGACCATTGGTGGCATCAACCTCGGAGGTGGCAATGTCGGGACCACTGGGGGCAAGGCCAACGGAGGAACCGGCAATAGCGCGTTGGACGCGTTCCTGAACGCGGCCAACGGCAAGAAGAAGAACAACGGCACTGCTAATGCTGGCGAGGGAGCCGCTGCGCCGGGTAAGGCTGCTGGTGGCGAGGGACAAAAGGCTGGTGCGGGTGCGGGTGCTGCTGCCGGTGGTGGAAAGCAAAAGGGCGAGGGCGGCCCTGGTGCTAACCCCGGTGAAGCTGCCAAGGCTGAGCAGGGACTCGGAGCGAACCCTGGAGAAGCCGCAAAAGCCAATGAAGCCGCGAAGGAAGCGCAACGGAAGGGTGCCGGAGCCGGGCTCGGGGAGGCCAAGCCGGCCGGTGAAGCTCCGCCTGCAAATGCTGCCGAGGGAGCCAAACCTGCTAAAGGAGCCGTACCTGCTGAGGGAGCGAAGCCTGCTGAAGGAGCGAAGCCTGCTGAAGGAGCCAAGCCTGCCGAAGGCGCTGCTGAGGGACAACCCAAGGCAGTGAAGGAATCTGAGCAGTTCAAGGACAATGCCGGCATCACTCTCGGTACTGATGGCCAAGCTCAGAACAGTAAGCACTCGATACGGCACGATGTAATTCTTGATGGCTAACAGTAGACATCAGTCGGAGGCAATCTCGGCATCACAAAGGGAAGCGACGGCAGCACATCTGTCGGTGGCAAGTCTGGTGAGACGTCTCTTTCCCGCCTTTCGTTACGACTCCTTTACTGACTATCGTCACATTAGGTATCAACATCAGCCCTGGTGGTGCTCAAAGACAAGGCAAGGGCAAGGGTAACGGCCAGCAGCAAGCAACGCCACCGCCCGCCGAGGGACAGCCGGCTGCCCAGCCTCCAGCTGCTGCTCCGGAGGCTCAGCCGGCAACGCCTGCGGCTCCGCCTGCTGCCCCCGCTGCTGAAGCGTGAGGTGTTTCTCTGCGATTATATAGCACTCTGTCACGGCACAATAAATAAGAATGAGTAGCTTACTTCAGAGGGTGGACAGTGTGATGCTTGACTTGTTGAGGATTATCTAAACAGATCAGGACGGACGTGAGGGCTGTCTCCATGTCTGTCATCGCATCGCAACAGCATTCCGTATCTCTTGTCGCACCTCTTGCAGTACAAAGAAAAAAAGGCCTTTCTGCCCACTAGCTAGAGTACCCACGTATGCCAATTCTTCTGAGCCACAACCAACAATCTGAATACCCCATCCGTAACACATCTGCGCGTGTGGCGTTGGAGTTCCTCTCTCGACGACTTTAAGTAGAAGTCGCGGAAGCTTGAGAATCGCCGATCTTACGGCATTCGCAGTCGACTGGGCAAGTGGGCGCCTCCAAGGTGCGCAAGAAAACCCTTTTCTCGGTGAGAAGTATCTCAAAGACCGCCTTCCGGATCTCGCAGCCCCAAGCGTACACCGTAGTGCCCTTCTCCTTGAAGATCTTGCAGAGAGTGCTGTAGTTTCTCTTGTGCATGGTCATCCAATCAGCCAAGTCCTCGTAGTCGGTGCGACGAAGAGGGACAATGCCGGCGTGCTTGATGGGATGAGGACGGCGTGGGCCAAAGATGGGGGTCATTGAGAAGCCCAAGTGAAGCTCCTTGAGGTTGGGGAGCACCATGGCAGCGTGGACGTGGTTGTCCAAGCCCTGGGGGAGCATGATTTTGAACTTCTGGATGCATTTCATGAACTGGAGTCCCTCGGGAGTAGGCAGGTGGAGCGCCATTCCAAGGAAGTTGGCGTAACGCTCGAGGACTTCAATATGTCCGCCCAGGAATTTGAAGGCCACGACAAAGTCGTCGATGGAGGGAAGGACCCAGGCCGTCATGAGGAATCCGACAGTCATTCCGGCCGGGCTCATGATGGATCTGGGGAGGCGGCGGTATGTCTGGTGGACGAGGGCGCGGGACTTTTGGTTCAGCTGGGAGGCCATTCGGATGCGAGAGAATCGTCGCTTCATGGCCTTGACGTGATCGACATCGCTCATGTTCATGTCGGTAAGGACGAGCTTCGAGGCTGTGTCTTGCTTGTATGCGATGCCCCAGTTCAAGCCCGCCTCCTTCGACGCGGCATCGTTGATGAGGGCGTCGATGATGAGCAGGACGATGTCCATAGACAGAGAAGCCGGTCCGGTCTTTCCAGGAGGAGTAGGCTGGAGACCCTTTGAGAGGGAAATAGGCTTGGGAGATTGGGTCTTGTGAGCCCGCGTGCCTTGACGGCTCTGGTTGTGCTTGTTGTTGTGAGGCATGGTTCGTGTTTCGGATATGAGAGGGATGGGTTGTCGAGGAAGGTTCGCGTGGGTAATTGATGAAATCTGACAGGATATGAATTAGCTAGAGCTGAGATGAGAGAAGCCAATGGTCATCTCACCGGTGTTTTGCTGGATCTACCTTTGCAATAGGAGCTAACGGGTAATACTCCTGTAGGTGGATAGAAGGAAGACTCACTCTTTTTTCCTTAAAAAAGTGAGCAATGGAGAGGAGAAGATTCTTGGAGATAGAAGTAGCAGAAACCGCGAGAGGGTAAAGGATTGAGATCCTCCATATACCGTGGTGAGTGAAAGATCAAGTGAGACAACCTAGGGAATCAGGCAAGCCGCAGGTGAAGCTGCAGAGTACTTCACCGCCCTACCACCCGACAAGAAAGGTCCGTTTGGACACACCGACTTCAGATATCTGCTTGACCTACTTACAGTAGACGCGTTCCTACTTTATGCATCAAAGTTGTGCCTTCCCGTCGCTTCTCTTTGATCCTTTGTGTCTTGTTTGTTCCTGCCTGTTTTGACCGAGACCATTGGTGCCTTCCGCTTTCTAACCACATTAGCCGTACCTTCCCATCCGATATGTTGATGCCTTCCTGAGAAGTTGTACCTGATCTACCGGTCATGTGACTGAGGTACGTAGGCAGGGAATTCGGGAAGGAAGGTGCTGCTCATAGCTCACCTGCCTTACCTACTGGGTAGGTATTTACTTTGCACAACGGCAGTGCCGCCTTGGCCCTTCAAACCACCTATTCAACCCATATCAGCTGATAAATATCTTCCTTGTCTTCTCTTCTCTCTGGAAGTCCTCGTCAATCACATCGTCAGAGAATCTTGGGTTCATGTTTGGGTGCCGGTTCTCTAACCAAATTGCCGGTAGCGGTCGAGATATCGGATATTTTGACCTTTTCCCAAGCACCGTGAGAAGAACTGAGCATACTTTTCTTCTCATACCCACGATACTGACTTCCGTCGTTGATACCAGGACAAGCTTTTCGAACCGTCACAAACTAGCCACTACCTCACTACCACATCAGTGACCGGACACCATCAACATGGGCGCCGCCCACGAAGATGCCCATGCGCTCAACACTGCAGCGGCCAAGCCCAGCGCAGCGGCTACTCCCCCAAGACTTGATAAGGCTGCCACTCTGCCTTTCGAGCTTGTCCTCAACATCATGGGTCATGCCATTCTAGAAGCTGAGAGTGACGACTGTTCGGAATTAAATTGGAATGTTGCGAGAGACGACAGCCAAGCTCTTGGCGTCTCATTCATCTTCGCAGAATTCGCTCCGAGCCTTGGTTATGCCCTACAGCGTCGGTTCAATGGTATTCGCACTTTACTTCAGACCAATCGGAAGATAAGATCCATGGTCCTTGGCAAATCCTACTTTTTGTGCCCACAGGCGCAAGAATGGGACGAGTTCTCCAGCTACGTCTCCTCCAACTATGTCTTAATCAATCCGAAGAAAGATTGTCTTATGGTTGTCGACAACCGTGTGTGGGATGCTGTTGGGCATCCTCGTGCGGCACTCAAACCACTTGTCGAGCGCATAAGCAAAGTCTTTATTGGGGACGGCAGCTTCTTTACGCCAAGCAACTCCAGCAATTTCGAGATCCTCAAATCTCTCCCCAGCCTTCGTCGGGTCGACCTAGACATTGGAAAAAAAAGATGTCTGTGCCTCATGATGGGTCCAGAGGACGGACTGGTTGAATTGGAAGTCGGATCCGGTAACTGGAGAATACACTCAGGATTGTTTCCGGATCTTGCAGAATGGGCAGAACGCAACAAATCTACCTTTCCTACCATATGGCAGCCATTCAAAGAAAGAGGAGTCAGCCTCCTGGGTTGGCAAACAGGAAACGATTGGTGCTGGGATATCTGGAAGGCGAGCAAAGAGGTCTGGCTCAACACTTCTTCAGATGGCCTTTTCATGAATCTCTGCGAGGGCTCAGACTACTATTACTGTGATTGAGTCCATTGTGGGGCTGGTTGAAACCACCGAGGTTATCCAAGAATCCCTGAGAGTAGTCATTAGGTGGTTATTGGTCAGCAGTGATACTGAAAGAGCCTGCCTTGCCTACGGACGCAGACGTCGGGCTAGTTCACCGTCTTACGGTCTTAGCCTTGGACTCCGCCATAAGGATATCTCATTGATGGTCCTTGATTTTCGACTGAGTTTCTTCCTGTAATGCAAGCTCAACATGGTGTACAAATAATCCCAGTTAATTTTCCTCCAATAGAGCATGTAAGCGTCATTGCAGTTCTCGTGATTCTCAAATCATACTTGGTGCTCTGTAGAAAGCTGGGCGACTTGAGAAATTGAAACTGAAAAGGTGAAAACTAATCTAAATTCGTGGTCTGGACTGCTGTAATTACCTCCGCTGTAAGGCCCCGTGAGAACAGTAAGTTACGAGCTGGGCACTTCTGGTTACGTAACATGTAAATCACTAAACTGTCAATTGGAAACGAACTTGATCGGTGGTATGCTGAGCGCTACCGTTACTACGCGGCCCAGTCCTTCCCGCAAACGGCAATATCATCAGTGATGATTAATGTGTATGGAAATCAATAATTCTGGCATTGAATACTGATTTACTATCACTCAAACGATCTCAAACTTTTTTTTGTAAATGGTTGGTTCTGATCCATCCACGGAGTGCTGGTATGGGGATTGGGCATCCTCCCTATTTGTCTAGACCGGGTGATGGCGGCTCTTCAGCTGACCTGTTAGGCTTCTTTGAAGACGCAATATGTCATGGAGCCGTCGAATACTCATTCTAGATATATCTTTGGATGATGGATCATGCATTCTGAGATCCTGTGATAAGCCAGAATCGTCTGGTTCGACATCGAACATGGGATTACTGAGGCTACCGCCTCAACAACGAAACACCATAGTTGTCGAAGGTACTACAGTTGAAACTTTGGTAACCTGAACATGTCATCTCGTCTGGAAGCCCAATCGTTCGGTACTGTTTGTGACTGATACAGAAAACAGCGTATACTTCAGTCATTACGTATCAGCAGTCATCGAATGGACTCCGCAGCCAGCCTCCTGCTCTCGTTTCGGTCGTTTGTATACTAGGTCGTACTCGAGTCGCGCTGTTCGGGAATTGAAGTCGATGGTTTGCGTCGGGCATCGGAAAGTCGCTCTATAGCTTCTGTGTCGTTCGGTGACTACTTGAGGCTGGAAATCGATGTGCTGCCGCGCGTGTCCGGTTCCTGAGTAAATTGCACCGAGCACTGAATAACGAATGAAGAAAGTGTGCAGTCGGTTCAGCAAGTAGAATAATAAGTCGCAGTCGCAATACCAGGGGTTGCTTTTAGATAGAGGGTGATTTGGGGTCTTCAAGGATATGACGAGTGAAAGTTCGGGCTTAGGTCAAAGTTCTCGCGCCAAGTGCGCCAATCTACTGACGGGCCGGGTAATGCTGTTCCGCGATCATGACGAGAGCTTTCCAGTACGAAAGGGTCAAACCCCTACTTCGCCGTCTGGACACAGTCTTCAAAAATTCGTCTGCCGTCCATACGTGGTTCAAGGCGAATCGAATAAAACAAAGACTGAAAAAATGAACAGCTTCGACTCTACATCGGAGGATGGAAAGTTTTCTGACCACAGCAATAAAGAAAGAGGGTTATGACCTTCAAGATGATTTTTGACCAACCTCCATGTCTGATGCCCCTGAATGAGAAGGGTACATGCTCGTCATCTAAGGCGCTACACGATTCACGAAGCCTGCTGAACGGAAACGAGACCTGGCAGGACTCCAGCAAGTTGCAGCAACTATCACAGCCTTAGTAACTATCATATATGATACATCAGGCGGCCGGGATTCTTACTCATGAACAGCACATCATGAATTTGAAGACCAAGGTTTGGAAGAGATCGCGATGTTATCCTGCAGGATACAAGGACGAGGTGTTGTTGTGTTCCGTCCAATCAGATGTGTTGCGGACCTGCGGGGTGGATCCCTCCGCAGTCCCGCTTTCTTCAACCTCCTGTCCATCTACCGAGTACCAAGAAATCCGAGAACCTTCATCGGTTCAGCTCCATGGGTGTTGTAACTGTTGTTTGCCTATCTGGGCGGACCTGAGTACCCCGCAAGCCGGTATTGACCTATAGCGCGGGAGACATCCGTTGAACGTTGTCCATCACTTGGCCGCACACCAAAAGCGAATGGCACTAAGCCGGATCCTGAGATGTCTCGACTTGTGGGTTCTGGAGTGTTCCGGTAGCACAGCTAGAACAAAAGCGTTTGCGCCAGAGCGTTTAGCCTGAACCAAGGCGCGATAACAATCGCTCTAAAGAAGAGGGCTGGAAACCACATATTGGATCATTGGCTCACACTGACACCAGAGCATTAATGGCCACGACGTGTCGGTGCTGCTTTTCATATCAGGAACTAAAGTTCCAACGCCTTTGGGACGGGCTTGTCCACTAATTACAAGCTAATCGTTTACTGTACATTATCTAACATGGATCTCGTGGTGTTTTCTCTCGTCGAACCAAGCCCTACGCCATCCTCGAGATCTCAAACGTAGTCTTGACATGGATATTTCCCGTATTACTGCGAACCTCCTCGTCCGAACGCTTAGCCGAAACGGACACGTCGTGCAGGCTCTTCATGATGCGTTCCTCGCTGTCGTTATCAATCTCGGTCCACCCCATATTCGCGGAACGGCCATCCTTGGTCAATTTATCAAGACGATGGCTGCTGCTCTTCGCGCCAATGGTGACAATGTGGTTAGCTGACTCTTGGCCGCCCGTCTTGGAGCGGTTCTTTGATGTGCGGGATCGCACGGCCGAAGCGTTTTTGGCGATCCAGGGACCCAGGACTGGGGCGTTGACGGCTAGGATTGCGACGAACTGTCGGGGGTGGGAAAAAGCCAGGGTCAGCGGGGGTGAACGAGAACGGAATCAGAGTTTGCCGGATCGGAAAGGGGGGGGGGGGGCCAAGGTAAATTGGATTGAGGAACGTGGGCCTTACTGTTTCTCTGATGGACCAAATGGTGCCCAGGTTGATCGACTTTGCATCCTGCAGGCAGAGGATGCACCTGAGAAGCGTGGCAATGATGATGAAGACGCCTGTGCAGAGCCACAGAGAACAAATAATTTTCCTGTTTAATATCAGCAACTAAATCAAAGCTGAATTTGGCGCTGAGTTCACTTACTTGGCCATTGGCATCTGAACAGACCACAACAAAGGTATCGGGATGTAAAGAATCATCATGTCGGTCCTGTCTCTACGTCAGAACTCTTTCCACAAGCCATATGATTTCGAGGTGTGCATCGAAAAGACATACGCGACGTTCGTAATTGCCAGTGCAATATAGTTGGGAATGTTCAGCGCACAGGCGTCTGTGTTCGCAAGTCAACTCAAAGTCCATCACAACTGGGCAAAGAGAGAAACAAACCGCCGGGGTATGGATAAATCTGCCAGTTCCTGTGTACTGGCATGCACTTTGTCATGATAACAAGGACTGTGGCGACGTAACACAGAACGCAGGCTCCGGCAGTTATCTTCACCATCTTTTGCTGCCGCAAATTAAGTCTATTCCCCGTCAAACCACAATGTCAGCTAAACTTCCACAAGAAGACAAGTCGATGGATCGTACGTGAGTCTCATGTAGAGGAAAAGCATGCATGCTTTCAAGCACCAGATCAGGGTAACGTAGAGAACCCATCCTGCCAGAAGGCATTTGCTTCCAATGACAATTGACTGTTTCTGTTGGTCCGAAAGCGTCAGAGCAATCGCATCGCTCATTCCGGTGATGCTACCATATCGACCTGAAGCGGAACAAAGAAAGTTAGATTTCGATCCGATCTCGCGAAGTAAGGGGGGCTGTCAACGGAATCCTCACCGATCATCTCAAGCATCAACAACTCGCCCTAGAAACCCAAGGGTCAGCTCCAAACTCTATCTTCGAAGCGGTCGTGCGCTAGGCGGTGACATCCTTACCGTCCAGAACAACACCGCGATGGCCGCGAAATAATCATCTCCTTCCCAATTGGTCCCAACGAGTCTCGTCCGATAGACTATGCGTATCAGGAGCACGAGCAAGCCGATGGCATACTCGGTCCAAGCCTCGACTTGGAACGGCGTCGCCATGGTGTGTGTTGGTGCTGGTGGTGGGGGAGTGCCCTGGTGGAAAGATGCGGGCTATGCAGTTGCGGTGGTCTCTCGTCCGCAAGTTTCGCCCCTCACCTCTGCAATGTGATGTGGCCTCCCTTTTCAACCCAGGAAGCAAAAAGCTTCTGCTGGGGCCAGGCATGAATTATACAAAATTCCCGCTGTCCAAATTCAGTCATGCCCTAGGCGCGTGTCTGCCAGTTCTGGGATCTTGGAAGCAGAAAAGCACTATAGAACCAGGGGGTCAAACTAGGACCTTGTGGTGCCATGTTGACACTTTGAGTTGCATTCCGACATCTTGCCGTGGGAAAAAGGGGCCTTTCGAACAGAATCCCCATCCGAACCTGAATCGTGAAAGTCGTCTTTGGGGGACTAGTGTCGGGGCTCGCAATATAGATCTGCGCCTGTCTTTGCAATTCTGAGGCTGCAGCTGGCTGGGAAGCCTGGGAAGGCCGTCCTTCTGCCCACCGCGGGTGGAGTTTGGGCGTTTGGTGGAACATTAGTCGGGATGTCAATAGTTTGCGACCCCTGCGAGAGGGACCTTTCCGAGTGCTGCCCAAGACGTGACGCGCAGTCATATCTATCATGCGTTTGCCGTCCCGCTGGAGAATGTCTCTTTGTTATTTCCTGGTGCGGAGACGTCTCGGTGCGCCATCTATTTAGCGTAAAGTCAGTGCCCGGGGAAGTCAACCGTCTCTTTCTTAGCTCACTACCGTCCTCGTGGGCGTAAGACATTGGATTGTTAGCCATGTGAGATAAAAGCCATTCGGAATTGGGTTGGCAGCAAACAAGGCAGAGATGGCTTATAGTCGTCAAGATAGCAATTCGGATCTTCCGACATGCTGGTTCGTCCCATGATGCAACCGCGGTTCGAGACTACTCCGAGTTGGGATTCGGAGCCGCAACTAAGGTTGAAGAGACAGACCCCATCAATCCCAAGGACTTGATCGTTTAGGAAACAAGACGACCTTTGCCGACTCCTTCTCGTCAAGCATCCCTGTACTTGCATCTCAGCATAGCATTTCGACTTGATCCTAGACCATCTTCCCAAGATGCGGCCTTCTTCCTCCGCTTCTTGATATCTGCCAGGTCCCTAGCCCCTTGGTGTGGCTTAAAAGCATAGTCCCCCGACTCCCTCTCCTCGGACGGTTACTCTCTATCCCCCCTTGTCACCAATCCCATCACCCGTATTACGCAAGATGCTTGTCTCCGCAATCCCAGAGCACCTCCAGCAGTGCCCCCGAAAGATCGCTGCCAAGACACCACCTGACTTTCAACCTCCTTTCCCAGCTTATAGTGCCAGCTTCCCCAAGGACACCAAGGACCTCGTCTTCGCCGTCATCGGTGCTCAGTACACCTCTGCAGCTAACGCAGATGGCGCCGCCGTTGCGCAGTTGACCAAGTTCACCACCTCCAAGGCTGTCGATGCCGAGGCCCGCCCCCAGTTCGCCGAGTGGGCGTCCGTTACCGACAACAAGGGATACTACAACGTTGCTCACCTGGCATACTGGCCGAGCAAGACAGCCTACGAGAAATGGGCCGTCGACTCGGGATTCCAACAATGGTGGGAGGAGCTCGACGCCGAGGCACACACCAACGGATGGTTCCTCGAGATCTTCTTTCCGACAATTGACCGGTTCGAGACGGTGTTTTCCAACAACGAAGTGCCCGAGGGTGCGGCACACATGAGAGAATGTGTTAGGGGCCCGATCCAGGAGCATGTGTACTGGGGTAGCATGCGTGATCGCATGGCTGCTGCTCAGGATGACGAACTCGCTGGAGAGAAAGTTGAACGAGCCAACCACACCAACCACACCAACCACACTAATGGCACCAATGGCACGGAAACCAACGGACATCCGACATCATCACCTCGCAGAGTCAAAGTTGGCGGCAAACGCAATCTGGCCATCATTCGCTCCGGCCAAGACTGGTCTGACACTCTGCCCGAGGAGCGCGAGCTCTATCTCAACACTATGCACCCTGTCCTAATCAAGGGAATGAACTTCCTGCGCGATCAAGGTGAGGAGGTTGGTTGTCACAGTTGTCGGTTTATGGATCTGATTGATCCCGTGACGGGCAAGGCCGATAAGGATCGTACCTTTGGACTGGCGTTCTTCGATGAGCTGGGCTCACTAGAGGGATGGGCTAAGCAACACTCGACACATTTGGAAATTTTTGGAGGCTTCTTGCAGTACGCGAAGAAGCTGGAGAACAACGTGTCGCTCCGTCTTTTCCACGAGGTGCTGGTACTGAAACCTGAGCAGCAACTGTTTGAATACGTTGGCTGCCACCCGGGAACTGGTTTGCTGGCTATAGTCTAGTCGATTGATGGAATCGAGATACCAAGCGTTTTTTCAAGATACAAATGTCATTATCCTAGTCTCGGCGGGTGCTACGAGTGACGTAGCCGTCATACGAACGCGTGCTACCACAACGATGAGTTTGATGTCTGAGATTCATACTATGCCGCTAGGAGCTTTCTGAATCAAGTTAGGCTGACGTAGCTCTTTCGAGTGAGTGTCTCCCCTTATCGTGCGGATGTCACAGCCCCGCAAGCTTACAGATACTGTGTGGTTCCAAATTGTCGGAATACCTCCATCATATGAGTGACCCATGGTATCAAAGAACACCTGCTATTATACAGCCGTATCAGGCAGGTCTTTCAAGGTTTGAGCGTGAACTTGTGATGCGGTGACCATCACGAACCTACCGCCGAAACCCGATTCCGACGATCCGGTGCCAAGTGGGTCTAGGTTCCGACGAGTGGGTCCCGAATCAGCCGGCGAGCTCGGGGTTATCGAGTGAGCCAAGAGTTCATGAATGGCGAGATGAAACAGCGAGCGTCCAGCAGCTCGTAACTTGCGACACTTGTAGGGAAATCTGCCGCCCATTACCATGCTTCAGTCATGTTGGAGGGACAAACGCTTCTTCGCCCGACAACTTCAGATCAATTTTGCTAGAAGGCGCGTTCCGTTGATAACGGCTTACACACAGCCGAAGTGACTTGCACTACTACGTATCTCAAAACATGAGATATTAAAATCCTGCTTGCAAGTAATATTCGAGCTCTGAGGCGGCTAGGCCAGTAGTTTGCTTGATGATTCATTTCCCTCATATTCTATCATCCTCAAGTCCGGTTTATTCCTGAAGAAAGCAGTAGCGCCAAGCGGGATGCGGTCATTTTCAATAAAAATCTCCTTCTTGGGTCCTTTGAAGATGGATATCACGCCAAAACCTTCTTTCCTCGTCCACAAGGGAAAGACTGCGATAGACGCCTCCTCACCCTCGGCCCGAGGAGGTAAAACTTTTCGGCAGGCAGGGCTGGAAAAGGACTGGATCAGGATCGTCAGCAAACCGAAAGAACGTTAAAAGTTGTTAACGTACAGCACAGCTAAAGTCAAGAGCCACTCCAGTAGCCGAGACGTTTGCACCTCCGTCAGTAAGCATTCGACTAGGGCGATACTTGGACACAACGACGTGGATCTCTTCATCATGCTCATTCACGACCCACACGCAGGGGGGAATGCCTTTTATGGTCCGGTATATGGCGCCAAAGCCTCCCTGTTCACATGTTAGTTTGCAAATACTTAAAAGACATTCTCTCTCATATGACAAAAATCAGCTCTTTTGCCAACTTACCCGCGCTGCCTGGTCGAGATACGGCGATCGTGGTGGGAGATCGCACGCACCGATGACCTCCTCCGAAAGAGGGAGCTCCTTTGCCAGTATCAGTCGACTGCAAGAATCCGCCTCTTCTGGACCCTGATGAATTGTCCCAAACCCTCCTTTGGAAAGCTGCGCAGTGCCAGCTACCTTCATTTCGAAGGGTATCTTCAGGACATCAAAGCGTAGAGGCTCACTGATGTCCTCACATGCCATGTCACGTTTTGCACCGGTTGCGAGGCAAAAGCTCAGCTGTTCGAGAGAAGAATCGCCAGCACTTCCTCGACCATCAGCCCCAGAATCACTAGCTAATACGGTAAGATCGACGGCTGAGTCTGTCAGAATGATAACAAGACTCTCTGAAATCGGCTGGTCTTTGTCCATGTCTTTGGGCCAGCTCATCTTGAGCCCATCACCCCTCGGGCGCTCAATTGTCCGACCAGCGCCAATGTGATAGGCCCGTGTGGCGGGAATATCGAAGGAGGATACCTCTGAAATCTTGCCTCTCACGTTGATGTCAAAGGCAGACGCGCGTACCGTCCTGTGGCCGTTATTTCTGAGCGAGACGTAAATCTTGTCGCCATCCATAACCACGCCTCTGCCGTCCGTAGGAATGATCCTGTCGGGTTCCCTGCCTTTCATTGTGCCAAAAGTCACAATCAAGCCGTGCTCAAGCTTCTCATGTTGCTTGCATTTCAGGTTCAGCAGGTGGTTTGCTCTCGCTAGCTGTTCTGCCTGTTTGACAAGGGCCTTGCTTGCGTTCGCCCAAGTTTGAGGGTCATCATCGGAGACTTTCTGGGACAACAGCAGGCGTCCCTTATCGTCGAGCAGGTTAAGGCCATGCTCGTCTCGCTCGAACTTGGCCAAGACGTCGGTATGCTGTTGGGACTTTTGGGAACAGAGATACTTCGACTCGTTGATAGAGTTAAGGAGCACTTTAGGTCCTTCAGGGTGAGCTACCGGTAACTTGCGTAGGCTCTCCTTCGTTAAGAAGGCCATGACACCTTGAGCTGGGATACGCGCCTTCCCAGCTAACAGAGACAGCTCAGCTAGCGACTCTAGGGCGTTAACTTCTATCACCGTTGCTTCCCCAATCTTCCCCTCGTCAGTGACGCGCTCTGATCCCAGAGGCATAAGCGCATAGACGTTGCCCTCTCGGACACCCGACACTCGCCCGGCTTTGAGGATGCCCAAGCCTCCGTCAGGAGTCAAAACAAATCCGTTTGTCTCAGACTCTTCTACGGAGAAAAGCATCCGTTTCGAAGGACCTTCCACAAATGGGTTCTGCTGAGGGAAACGCATGTTGACCTGCTCCTTTACTCTCATCATGATCTTCTGCCACGAAACTTGGTTGCCGCCGTTGTCAGATTCCCAAGCGTCTTTCAATGCCCGAGCTAACTCTCGAGTCATAGCCCCGGCACGCCGTTCGCCGTCCCCGTCTTCCCATGCCGTCTCCGTAGCGCTGGCAGCGGCGATGCGCACAGCTGATGGGTTGCCCTCGCTGTGTAAAGGTTCATCTACCGGAAGCTTTGCTGTCTCGCGTAAAACGTTGATCTGCCGAGAAATGGTCGCGTACTGCACATTTGGAAGGTTGCGCGGCACGGCGCCAACGTGAGAGGGGTCACGAGCCATACGACCCGAGTGACAACAGTCGAAGATGGTGGTTACATTCTGAGTGCGATTTGTGGTGAGGCGCAAAAGGTGTTCAATCTCGACGTCCAGGATACCGTTGAAAGAGTAATCCGCATTGAGATCGTCAGAGTCTGGAGGCAGAAAGTCCACTGGCACGAGAAACTGGTAGCGCCAGGAATGTTGGCTAGGGCCGTTGTCTTCATCGATGCCTGAGTTGGTCGTATTGTCCTCGACAATCCCGCCATGGCCTGCGTAGTAGATGACGACAACGTCTTCAGGGTAAGAGACTTTTATGATACGTTCCCACGCAGTGAGGATGCCCCCACGGGTAGCATTATCCCCGCAGCACCTCGTTATCTCAAAGTTCTGCTGTTGTAAAACGGTTGCCATAGTTTCGACATCATTGAGCGGGCCTCTGAGGCCTCCAAAGGGGCTCGCAATGAGTAGGGCGCGCTTCATACCCGGCATATTGTGTAAAGGGGCAGGGCTTAAGGAATAAAGTGCTGTAGGGACTTGAAGAATGGAGAAAGAAATGGTGATGATTGCTGTTGAACTGACGATTACACTACCTCAAGTCGTGGTTTCAGCAATGAACATAACTTTTGGCTACGGACATGGAGCTTGCAATCAGGACTCCGAACAAGGTTCATACCGTATTAGTCACCGAGATGCCCACAACCACGTCAAGTGACTGAATGCAGAAGCGCTGTCATATTCGTAGAATCGCGACCGATCTGCAGCTGAGTGGCAGACCAGGATTCCGCCTTCTCCTATTGGATCAGGTCCGAAGTCTATCTACCCCCTCAGTCTTCCATTTTTACACATCGCGGCAAGGCCTAGGAAAGTCAACCCGGGCTGAAAGAGGCCCGAATTTGAGCTTCTACCATCAACGTGAGCAGTGTCAAAAGTGAGGCGCTCAATGTGCGGACATGACCTCCGAGACTTGCCAAGATGCTGTATGAGTGACACGTAGCCAATACGCGATGAGATGGAGTCTGGATCGGGCATCAAGGCTTTGACACTTTTTAGCTCCAGCTCTTCCAAATTGTCAACTGACCGCGCCAAGCGGCGGGGCGCTCAAGCAGAAATACCTTGCATCTCGGTAACGACTCACAAGCAAGAACTTCAGGTCAGAAGTCTGCACGTGCACATCATCAATCTCTGCATTAATATCGTCCTCTTCGGTAACATTGCGATACATTATGGTTGAAACACATGTGCAGAGAAGCTCTTACTCCTTACACAATCGATGTTGTTCTAGCAAGCAGGCAATGGTTGATGCTTTCTACTGAGGGGAAATGCGTTCTGTGCTAAGATGATCTTGCCTCTGCAAGAGATTTCTGTCACATTTGGTCTACGTACTTTTCCACTGAAAAGCATCCTGCTACGTATGTTCCACAGCCTGCGTCAGTGAGGCCTCTTCGCAACTCGAACGGACACAAATATGCAGCGCCTGAAATTTCAGCTGCTGCATCTCTTTAACTTTAAGAAGTGGTTTCCAGCGATTGCGTTATATGGCTAAGCGCAAGAAGCGCTTCTATGGCATTTTCTATTTCGGAGAAGCCTCCGAGACGTTGCCAGGTGCTCGCTCCTGGTAACCTGTGCCATTGCGGGCACCCCTGTCATCGAGAGGTTTTTTGGCGTTTATCGATACATACAGATACAGTAGAGCAGAACTGAAAAAGAGGGACCAGGCAACCCAACTGAGTATAACCTGAGATGCGGATCCATAACAGGTTGACGATCCCTTCCCTTATGCAAAGTGTTGCGCACGGTAGCAGCGGAAGGTTCTACCAGACAAGGTTAGTCAAAATCCTCATCCTGCACATGAGGTTGTCAAACTTGCGCTCAGCCGCGATACTAAATAGACACGAATGCGGCGAGGACCGTGTTGAAGCAGCATTGCGGATGTTGGCGAATAGCTTCCTGCCCAACCGACACTGCCGAGCAAGGGAAGCAGATCGAATTGAATTTCACATGTCAGGTGATTGACAGTCCAGCTGAGCCAATCTGAGTGGTGATAATAATTGTTCCCTGGAAATGGAAGGATTGGATCTTGCAGTCTGGAAAGGCATTTACCCAGGTGGAAACAAGGAACACAGCATGTGCGTTGGAATGGCCACGCTTGTCCAACATATTAAGAGGCCAATACCATTCAACACTCTCGAATGGAATTTGAAGCCTCGCCATGGTACCTTTACCTACCTTACCTTACCAACACTCACTTATACAAAACCTTACAAAACATGCATTCGATCACGCAAAACCGATTCTCTTCCATGCCATCGTTTTTGGTGGGCAGCAACGTAATGGACGACAGCATCATCGGTCTACAGTTGAAAATCAGTGCAGTCGTGGATGGCAGTCCTCAGTCTCTAAAGTTACGCCACCGACTTGCTTTGCTGCTTTACGACAAGTACCAAACCTATGGACATGCCGCCGATGACCTTGCCGCTGCGATTTCCCAAGCTACCATAGCTGTTGATAACGCAGACGACGTTGAACCCGCTGAGCGAGATGAAATGGCCGTTCATCTAGCCCAGATGGTATTTCAACAACATGACCACCTGAAGACGCCAGAGAGTCTAGAAGCTGCATTAGAAAGAGGCCTGCAAACAACCTCTCTGCTTTGCAACTCCTCTCCATATCTCCCAACGCTATGGCACAATATGGCACGCCTTCTGATCAACCGCGGGAAGTTTGAAGATGAGGACGATCTAGAAGCCGCACTCAAGTATGCTGAGGATGCAGCTGAACACCATCAGAAGGATGACTTCGAGTATCCCTGTTTTCTCTACACCATTGCTGAAATACAATTTCGGCTATCATGTCTAAGATCAAGACAAGATGATCTTGAAAAGGCCATACTTCAAGCCCTCGCATCGAAAAAGGCGATGAGAATCGGCCATCCCATGGAGAGAAAAGTACGTGGAGTACTTTCTCAGTTCTATGTAGAACGGTACGGCTACACCCGCGACGGAGAGGACTGGTTCAAGGCATCACTCTACGTCGCGGAATTCAATAGTATGCCACCTCCCACCTCGGGCACTGTTGATGACCAACGGCTCAGCTGGATGGACTACCTGCGTCGATTCCGTCTCTCAGGGCAGATCTCTGACCTCGACGAAGCAATTTCGCAGACTAGGAATTACATAAGCTGCCTAGCCGAGAATTCGTCTGAAAAGGCGTCTGCTGCATTGGTATTGGCAGAATTGTTCAATATCAGATTTATTCAACTTGGAGAAGTGAAAGATGCGAGAGACGGGATATTCCTTGCGAAGGAAGCACTGGCACTGGCGTTCAAGAGCCACACGGAACCCATCGGTGCGCTACATTGCCTATCCTGGTCTCTCGTCAATCACAACAACGAGCTTGATGTCATTGAAGACGTGGAGGATACGATCAAGACAGTCGAGCGCATACAGCCGTTCTTTATTGGCGGAGAAAACTACGCATCCCTTCTCACTACGTGGGGGATGATGCTCAAGCAGCGATTTCAACACGACCACCAGAATGTTCGAGCCATCGAAGAAGGCATGGCAAAACTCAGAGAAGCTTTGAAACTGCCTCAAAGTGAGGAGGATAGAATTGGGACGCTTGATGTCCTCACCGGCTGTCTCCATGACCATTTCAACCGTACCGGAGATGAAGACAGCATGAACGAAGCTGTTACGACTGGGAGACAACTGGTCAGTCTTACAAGCCAAGAGAGTCGACAGCGAAATCAGATATTGGTCCAGTTAGCGCGCCAACTAGCCAATCGCTTCTTCAGAACCGGCAATTTGGCTGAACTCGATGAAGCCATCTCAATCTACGAGGGTGTTGATAAGGCATTGCCGGAGCATCACTTTCTACGCTTGCGGAATTCTGATGCTCTGTCGATTCTATACAACAAACGGTTCGAGCGGAGAGGGTTAGAATCAGACAATGAGAAGGCCATTGCTGCACTTCAGCAATGCATCGACCTGACGACACCGGGATCCCAGGAACGAGCAGTCAAACTTCTCAACTTGGGATCCGGCTTATGGCGTCGCTTCAGCCGGAAAAGATCGCCAGTCGATCTCAAAGATGCAATGTCACGATATGAAGAAGCGCTCAAGACACAATTCACAGAACCGAATCAAGACGTAAAGTCTAGCTGTCTGTCCGGCCTCGCCCAACTTCGATACGAGCAGTATAAGCTGACGGGCGACACGACTCTAATTGCCAATTCTGTGGAAGAGTGCAAGAGGGCTGTAGCAGCTCTGACGCAGGGTCACCCAAAATTGGCTACTGCGCATTACGTGCTGGGGGGCTGTCTCGAACAGCGAGCAGAAGCAACGGGAATGCTTGAGGATATCGATGCGGCTCTTGACAGCTTCAAGACTGCATGCGATCTTTCTGCTGGCGAGCCACACCAACGAATCATTTCCGCACGTCGTGCGATGAGAATTTTGGGCGGGAAGCAGAGATGGGCAGAGGCTGAACCCATTGCAGATCTCGCCGTCAGTCTCATACCACGTGCCTGTACGCGGAAGCTCACTCAAGATGACCAACTTCACGCACTTCACGACATTTCCGAGGCGTCTGCAGAAGCCTGTTCCATTTCCCTGCGTGTAGGAAACGTTGGAAAGGCCCTCCAGCATATCGAGTTAGGACGCGGATTGGTTCTGGGTTACCTGATCGATGGGCAAAACGATCTTTCCGACCTCAGACAGCGAGACTCGTCTCTGGCTCACGAGTACGAAGGTTTGAGAGCCAGAGTTGCCGGTGCGAGCACTGGATTGGATGAGATTTATCAGGAGTTGGACAACTGTGAAGGTAAAATTCGTCAAATTGAAGGATTCGAAAGGTTTTTGCTGTCGCCATCTTTGGACGAACTGCAAGCTGAAGCTTGCGGCGGCCCAATAGTTGTCGTCAACCTGTCCAGCTTTGGAGCAGACGCCATCATTGTCACCAAAGACAATCTGCAGACTCTCGGACTTCCTGGAATGACTGTCAATTCCATGAGCCGGGTCACAGTGGCAAAGATGACACGGGAAGGGCGTGAGCGCGACATGGAACCGGAACAAGCTCCACGCCTGGGCGTCGAAATGTTGGAATGGCTGTGGTCCTCCTGCGTGCACCCTATTCTCAACAAGATCACTGAGGACGTCCATACAAAGCCAAATGGCAGCAGCCTGCGCCGTATTTGGTGGATTGGCACTGGTTTCGCGAGCACACTTCCGTTCCATGCAGCCACAAGCTCCGACGGGAGTACTCTGGATCTGTCCATTCCGTCGTACACTTCGACCATCAAGGCGCTGCAGAATGCTCGAAAGCGATCATCGAAGGGACACAAGACAGACGACGCCGACCCATATCATCTTTTGATGGTCACTATGCCCAGCACACCGAGCCAGACGGATCTCCCAGGTGTTACACGCGAGAAGCAGGCAATCAAGGCAGCTGTCAAAGACAATTACACGATCACGGAGCTTGAACACCCCAATGCTCAGCAAGTTTTGGACGGCATGCAAGATGCGCAGATTGTGCACTTCGCATGCCACGGAGCCTCCGACCCGAAGAACCCATTGCAAAGTCATTTGCTTCTGCAAAAGTCCGATCAAACTTTGGACAAGCTCACGGTCAAGTCACTCCTGGCTGCAAAGGTCAAGACAAGGGCTTGGATTGCCTACCTATCCGCATGTTCAACAGCTGAAGTGAAGGCGTTTAGTCTGAAGGACGAGGGTCTACATGCCACGAGCGCCTTTCAAGTTGCTGGGTTTGGTCATGTAATTGGTTCATTGTGGCCAGTCAGTGATGCGGTTTCTATTGAAGTTGCGAGGCTGTTCTATGAGTTCTTGAGTAGACCCAAGGCTAAGCCTGTATCGCCTGATAGGCTTGTTGCCGAGGCGCTGAGGAGCGCCTTACTTGAGATTCGTACTCGGTATCCCGATAATGCCGATATTTGGGGCCCATACATACACTATGGTGCATAGAAAGTCATCTGTTTTGTACATCCATACACAAATTGAAACCAGCCTTTGCTCTCAAGACACCTTTCTGCGACTTCTTCCACCACTTCTTTTGATGATCTGACTTTGCCACTGGCTCAAAGTATCATGTTACGTTCGGTGTAATCAAAAGTTGATCGGGCTCCAGCAGCCAGGCCCCCGAGATACACCCAGAATTTTGTACGTTGCCTTTTGATGATGGACTAAATGCTTGAGAACTTGACAACTTTCTCAAGTACATTTTCAATAAACTAGGGAAGAGACACCCTCCTTGTATCGATAAAGAGCAGGGAGACACGTTACAACATATCAGTATCCGGACAGCAAGCAGCTTGCCTTAGACTTGCCCAGTTCCTCCTCCGTGCCGCAGAGCCCACCATCTCCACACTCATGATCCATAACACAATGCTCGTTCGAGTTGGCAACGCACGACGAATTACGTAATCCCCGATGGCACAATTGGCTAGCGCGTCAGACTGTTACGATCGAGGTTGTTCACTGTGGGCAAAAGAGATAGATATCTGGAGGTTGGTGGTTCGAGCCCACCTTGGGGAGGTCAACTGTTTTTTTGTAGTTTCCTACCACAATCATCAGATTTCTGGTAAATTACAGTACACGAATAGGTCCTTGTTAGGATTTCTTCTGTTCGCAATTTCCTTTTGAAGCGTCCTTATAAAAGTACCGGTAGATAATTCCACCACTCTGAAAGTTCACTTTCCCAACACGGCGCATGGGTAGAGTTTCTCATGTCCAGTGGAATAGCAATAAAAATTAAAACTCATACAGCATTCTGAATGTGGCAAAGTGAATATGTACAGTATGGTTGCGCGAAGATGCTTTTGATTGAACCCGTTATCAGGGCATTGGAGTTTGGGATTTATGAAAGCGCAAAGGCTCTTATTTCTTTTGGCAATTTAAGCCCGAGTTGAGTAGATGACTGTACCCTATCTATGAAAATAGATTTCGGCCCGGGTAAGTCAAATATGTGTACATGCGCTTACTTGATTGGTTCAATTTTAGAAGTCAACACAAATCATGCCAGGATGAATAGTCATACGATAATCAACTTCAAAACAAGCTTCCTAAAGCACAAGACCTGATCGAATACCATCATTGCGATCCTGAATTTCAACACCGAAATATCACTTAGATAAAACACCTAGACTAAGGACTCTTCGATTTCACCGAGTCAAACGTACGAACCACAACACCCGCGTTGCGACAACCTGAGTTGCGTAAGAACTGCAAACACGCAAGGAACTGTCGCTCATCTCTTACCCACAGGTTTCCATCGACTGTCAAAAACTCATCTTCTTCCATAAATCCCACACCGAAGTGCTCATCATTGCTCAAGATCTCAACCAGTTTCCGCCATGAAGGTTTCTGTGACGTATCCAGGATGTTTTCCAAAGCCACAAGCTCCCGCCTCTGAGGGTCATCAGCACGTCCAACATTGAACACGAACTCTGCAGTGTGGTGTTCACCGCTAGAAGCCTGTGAAGGCAATGTGATTGTCTCTCCGGGGCACATTCCCTCACTTCCTGTTGGAGACGTTTCTTTATCTGTTTCGAGGGAGACACCTACATGAGCTTCACTGTAATCGTCGTCAGATGGCTCTGGTGATGAATCAGGCGGACAAGACGCATCTAATGTGTTGAGAGACGCTGAAGGGCTAAGAGGCATGTATTCAACGAGACCTGTTAAGGACACTCCGGCGGTAGAATCTAGCTGGAAAGCTCTGGCATTGCCAATCCGGCTCCGAAGTTCTCGTCTGGCTGTTGCTTCCATCTGAACACACAAATTGGTGACAATTGTTTTGTATGTCCTGTACACCTTTTTGTCGGATGTCGGTGGGGACCTCCATGCCAAGTACAGCTTTTGGTGGCAGGAAGATACAGAGAAGGATGCCGGGTGGTCTTGGAGAAATCTATGACACAAGAAGCAACTCTTCTTACTTACCCCCATGAACCGAAATGACGGCATGAGCTCAGGGTTTTGGTCGTAAAAGCCGATAAGTTGCATCTCAGCATGAACAGCGAGGTCAAGGCGACAGGCCTTCCGAAAGCGCGGCTCTGGATCCGTGACACCCCAGATTGTGGCCAATCTCCTCGCGAATTCCTCTTCTTGGCCTCCCGCAATTCTCCGTAGAACATCTCTCAAAGGATGTTCGCCCTTTGTGATAGAAAATTCAAGTCTTGAGATAGACTCAATAGTCTCTATTCGCATAGGACAAAAAAGGGCGCGGAACTCCGCTGGAAGCTTGCACAAAGCTCTTGATGCGACCCCATATCTCCCTAGCTTGTAGATACTGTATATCCAAGAAGGCAGGCCAGTGCCCTGGGCAGAGAATAGAGCCTCGATATAGGTGGAAAGCTCCCATTTGGCCTTTTCTGCCCATAAAATGTAAGGCAAGAGCTCCGATGCAGTCGCTTCGGTTGCAATGGTTGTGATTTCACTGAGGTTTTCCATCCATGTAGCGAACCTTTCGACTTCGTTGACCTCAAAGATGGATGAAAGCTGGGGTAAGAATTGCTTAGCCCCCAAAATTCCTGCCCTATGTCTTCGGAGTTCCGTAAAATACGACCAGATTTTGGCCATGTCGAGACTGATCATCTTCAATAGGACACTCATTCTCCGTTCATCCGTGAGACCTTGCCTCATAGTCAGCATGAGTCTTCTACAACAAATTAAGAGTCACTCTTTACCCATGGCAGATATTTCGTGAAGAGTTTCCATCACTCCTTCGAGATGAATCAGTGTCGACGCGGACACCCCAGCATTACTAGCGATGCGAATGACTGAGCCTTCAGGCGCTCCTACCTCTAAGGTGGCCGCCGATACTCTATCGCCATCTTTGTGGGTTGAAGCCAAAAGAGCAAAAGAATCGAGAAACTTCCTTTTTAGAAACTCTTCTCGGGACACAACCGCGTCATGGGGATGCCGATCGAGACCGTATGCCGTCGGACTACCTCTTACCGGGTCCAGCTTGTAAAGCAAAACGGCATCTTGCACGAACCGTTTCTGAAGGTTGCCAGTGATTTCTAGGGTCATAGTCATCCGTAAATTCAGCCAGTGGAATACTCTTGATCAATAAGAGGGGTAGTTCAATGCGTCGGGTCATCGATGTCGTCGTGTAGCGTGGACGATGGCTAACCCTCATATGAGCTGTGGGAGCAGGCTTTATATTCCAACTTAGAGTCTTTCCTTAGCTCTTAAGCATGGGAGTAATATACTTTCTGCTGCATGTGATGACAACAGACTCCCACAAATCACAATTACTGATGTTCGTCATCATTATTAGGAGGGTCAAGTGATCGGTATCAATAGGACAACTCCGCGCTGCCACTCTTTCCCTAGTACATACTTTATGTCTTGACCATACCGCCTGTCCTATCCGCCTTGTTTTCATCTCTCATAGCTCGTTGGTCCACACCGCAGGCGCCTTGCATGCAATTGGGTGTCCAGACGATGTCGCGTTAGGGCTTACAGGCTGAGAGATAAAGGGTTCAACGGCCTCCTGCATATGCTGGCAAAATGAGGCAACAACCTACCCTGCTAGCGTGGTTTTGCTTGCCAACCAAAAAGGAACAACCTGTATTCATTTGAGCATGTGTCTACGTCAGCGACCCTGAGAATAAAGTACCTCGCAGGCCAGCCATGTAAATCACCTATCTTCGCATTCGCAGATGCCCAAATACCAGAATTACCAAAGAGCTGTGGCGATATTTTGGCTTTGCCGTGCACACATGTCCAGGAAGTTAAGTAGTCGTCCCAAACCCCAGCAACACTGTCTGCCAAGTTCTAATCAATTGAATGGAGACTCGTAAGTAGTTGGCAGCATAAATCTGAGTACGACCGCGCCTTTATGTCTCTGGAGTACTCTCTTAGCGAACTCCACCTCGCTGGCCAGGGGCCGATAGCAGAGCGAATTTTTGACTTGATCAGAAGATTGGGACGGGACGCTGAGAAGGTTGAGGGATACAGTTCTAAAGGGCCAGACAGCAGTATCTGCACAGCGACTAGTAAACCGACGCTGCGCGTGCACCTGAACAGCGGCTTGGCGTATTCGACCACCGCTTCCCGTGAGCTTGAGCGGCTCCATATGAAGGGGTCTGAGAAGATCTTCGACAATGTCAGGCGTCATCTAGTGAATGGATGGATTGTCGGTTTGGATTGGCAGTCGACGTGATGGGGCTCATATAATATAGCACCTTTTCCCATGAGCACCACTCTACGCTGTGAACAGGATGATATACCAGGAAAGTCCTGATCAGACCCTCTTTCCGTAACTATCGGCTTTACATTGAGGGTGATGAGGCCAAAATATTCCATCATTAGCCCACTTGTGCTCACAGCTGCCGCTTACTTCTGAGTCAAGGCCACTTTCCATATCAAGATGTCTACATCCCACTATATAGAAGTCATTCCAGGATTCAACCCCATTCTTTTGTATGAGTTGTATAACATGAGCAGAAGTTCTGGATATTCTACCCAGCTGTCGCGATGTCCGAATAACCCATGATCATCATACGCTGTCCCTGGCAGCGGCGTTTGAGATAACCTCGCGTATGCGTGATAGAATTAAAGGAGACATTCCAGCGAGAAAAGAACCACTGATTCCAGGCAAGAGGCGAAGGGGCCCAACCCCTATGGTCTCCTTGAAAGCTTACTTCAGTCGGGCTTATGCTCGTCTAATTGCCGGTTGCCTCGAAGCTAGAAGTGTTTTTGCAACCCATTCTTAGAACTAGGTTCAGGCTTTTCAGTTCTCATATAACACAGAGTCAATCTTTCTTGGGATCCTATGACCTTCTACGAATCACATAAAAGTGGGTGAGGGCATTCACTATTAGCAACGATAATTCTTAAGATGTTTCACCTGGTGATGCCAGGCTTGGCATCCCGAGAGCTGCGCCTCGAGGCCTAAAATCGAGAAACTAGCCAAGAACATAGCATGACTCGCCCAATTGCGCGCGGCATGTTTGGCTAGACCTCGCACGAGACTGTCGGCATACTCGGCTTTCTGTTGAGTATCCCGCTGACTGTCGGCGTCCGGCGGCCAGGCGGCAGTTTCCTGCCGATTCTTGATTGGTAGACCCGCTGGGAAACGAAATGGGCCGAATAGCTCTCTCACAAGTTACATATCGTTAAGAGTCCAACGCGACTGGCCCAAGCCTAATGTTCGTCTCGTATTGAATGATTGGACACCACTACGTACTCATCCTTTCTAACTCGAAGCGATAATTATCTCTAAGATAACTTTTCCATCTTGCCCCAGCATCATCTCCTCAACAAGTTCCCGGACATCAGTTCGCTTCAGTCAACAAAGATAATGAGGAGCTCTACCAATTGGATTTACGCACTGGTACATGTGTTGCGTTGGCCATACTCATACACCAGAAGCGGAGTGGTATCAACTTGACTTCCAACAAGGTTGCGGAGGATTCTTTTTCGTCAGGAAGGGAAATACCACGCGGTGGTCAGTGGTCTTTAAATAGCTCCGAGCGTCAATTTGATGAAGATGGCTTAAACCTTATTACTGCCCTAACGAACGAACGCAGCCGATCGGAAGAGCTGGCCCCACAAGGCTCACAGATGAAACCATGACAAGCAAACAGGCCTGGTGAGAAGATTATATATCAAGCTCGGACAATATATCATGATTCTAGGCCTGCGAGGCCGGCCAGGCCTACACAGCCGCTTCTCTGGGCTGCTAGAAGGGGTGCCCTAGTCTTGCGTTAATTTGGTGGCTCTCAGAGAGCTGAAAGCATGATGATGTAGGCGAACTGTCGCAACTTTATTCACAGCGTGCCTGAAAACCCCTGTTGCAACTTGATCATGTCTCCTGCTCCAGATACGGCGGGCAGGTGGAGCTTGTGAGCTGTTGCTAGCGCAGGTGAATTGAATGACTACAGAAGTACTCTGTGAGCATGTTCGGATGATAAAACGAACGTCAGCCGCCCTACGAGGCGTTGGAGCTCTACTTTGTTTGGACAGCTTCGGCCGTTCCTTCTTTCCGTCACTCTTTTGACCATAACATATAACCAGTCATTTGAGTCTTCTGCGTTCCTTATTTGAGTTGCTTTCAGCCTTCATCATGGTGAAGTCACGGGACTCCCTTCGGGGACTCATTGGTGCCATTGGTCTACTAGCACTTGGAGCCAACGGCCAGACGGACAGCACGGTTGAATGGGTTAGCTTCCTCCCAGGACCACCCTCTACCAATGATACAAGAAGCACGATGAAACTAACTCAAGCCATATGTATTGATTACAGTCTCTCGGAATGCCACTCAAGCTCTTTGCTACAGCCGAGAATACCCCATCATGCGCCGCAAGCTTCCAAGACGCAACAGGCGACGCCAAGACGTTCACACCAGTTCAGTCTAGTACTGACACGGTGATGGCGGGAGGCTCGGCTGCCGACCTAGCTACCACATTTTACTTGACAAACGGAATATTGGCTGGTGGTAAATCGTTCACTGATCCTTCGGGTATCAGAGTTGCCGGAGGAGGCTCCGGTGGGGGCTGCTGGGATATTTCCAGCGGTACTGTCAAGGTTGCTGCATGCGATCTGGCCAAGAACCAGACATTCTATGTGAGTTGAAGTTTTCACTTACTTGAAGTATCAAGAGATTTCCTAACAAAAAGATTCATCAGGTTGGTATTCCAGGGGACAAGCAGCCCTTCTTTATCTACTCCTCGACACTAGGTGCCCTCGAGAGGCCCTCCACCGCCGGCGATGCCCTTACCTTCCCCTCAGCCAGCCAAACCCAATTCTGCGCGTACGCCAACGACACCGGAAAGCTTGTGATTCCTCCAGCCAAAGGAACGATGTACTACCCCCAAGCGCAGTTGACGAACCTCACATCCACCTCCTTCGGCACCACCCCGCCAGCATCGGAAGGCGACATCCCCCAGTGCAGATTTGCCGACCAAGGCAACACCTCAACATCCATGCTGGAAAGCATGGGATCGACTGACTGCATCGTTGCACGTTCCTTTGCTACCATTCCCAGCGGCTGCGATGCTAATCCTTCCAACAAGACATGCATCCTCCACTTGTGGCCTGCCTTTTGTCTGGATCTTCCTGAGGTTCGCAACGGGGCCAACGCGTCGGATGCGCTTGAGGTTTGCGTGAGGAAGATCAGCCAGGGACCTTGCGTTGCCAATCCTTCAGGAGCCGCTTGCGCTTCTAACTTGTTTGCTGGGATCAAGTATGTTGGCGGTGTTGGTGGCGGAGGGGGCAGCGCGACCTCGAAGCGTCAAACTTCGAATGATCCTCTATTCGGAAACCCCGAGTCAAATATTCCTCTCGAGGACCAATTTTGGATGGGTAAGTTGTGACTGTCTCTAATACCAGGAGAACTCCCATCACTAATACGAGGCTTATTTCAGGCGTAATGAAGAACGTCATCAACTCAGCTATCGGTGCTTTCAAGTTTCTAGCCACGCCTCATGTGCAAGAGCTCAAGGTTACATGCATGGGTATGAGCCATCTGACCAGCATCTTTGAGGCAAGCGTCGGAAAGACGATTCGAGAGGGATGCAGAGACGCATTCAGAGCCTTTGATGTAAGTAAACACACACTCAGGCCTCGAGGAAAGCCCCAGTCGACTGCTTTTGCTGACGTATAATGAAACAGAGCATCCACGAACTCACCTACGACAACGACATTGAAAAGGCAGGCAGTATCTTCGCCGATGTTGTGGGACTCTTGAGTCTGGCTAAGGATGTCGCAACTGCTGCAAAGGCTGTCGGTGCCGTCGACGCTGTATTGGCCAAGTTTGGCAAGACTGCCGCGACCGTTGGCGAAGGCAAGGGGCTCATGCTGGAAGCCAAGGAGGGTGAGAATACCGTTCAGATCTTCCGTGATACCGGTGATGGAAAACCAAAGCTGTTGTACACCGACAGCGACGTTGCTGCCATGGAAAAGTCCATCGAAGAGGGAGGTGAGTCTACGCAAAGCTAACTCTCATTCATCTGATCAGGCCCCAGAACTGACGTCAGATAGGATTCGATAACTGCAAGATCTGCATCGAGGGAGGCGGTGCCAAGGTCCGCCGCCAAAAGGGCATTCTTCGCAAGTTCTGTTGCTTCTTGAGCCCCCAGACACTGGAAGCCCCAGAGCCCGTCTGGAACGACCAGACTGGCCTGGCAACTGGCCTCGGCACATCCGAAGCCATCCCCTTGGCCAACCGCGTCGTCGCCACTCTCTCCGAGACCGCAGCTCTCACTGCTGATGAGAAGACGCTCATCACTACCATGAGCGAGGGTTTTGCCAACTGGTACACCAAGGCGCAGTCCGTCTCAGCCAATGTCGATGAGATCAGCGCCGTGCTGCTAGAGGCGAGAAAGAAGACCGCCGACTGGGGCAAGATCGCAACCGCGACGTCTAAGGCGTATGGTCTGAGTGATCAGGAGAAGTGGGCTCTCAAGACGTGGATTCAGTGGTACATGATCAACCCTGAGTTCAACAACGCCCTGTCAAAGCTGCCTTCTGCTACTGGCCTGGTTGTCCGCTCGACTGATCTTGATGCTGCCACGGTTAACATGCTCAACAAGCTTGAGTCTGGTGTGATTAGCAAAGGTAAGGCGGGCATCTACGAGGTTCAAGGTTAGTCACGCTAAATTCTGCGATGCTACAACTTATATAGTCGCTAACAAGTCGTAGACCTTGTTCTCAACGTCAACACCCCTTCAGGCGGCACCGGCGAAGTTCGCAAAGTCATGGCGACGACCCTCAACCTCGGCGACGGCATGTTCACAACCACAAAGGACTACCTCTTCATGATCAACTCCAAGTCCGGTCGCTATATTGAGGCCGTTGCCAACTCGGAATATCGCGAGACCTCATTCGTGCAAGGGATTTCCGGAAAGTTCAAGCTCATCGGCAAGCAAGAGTTGAACGGGGGAGAGGCCGCAAAGGCGGCGGGTAAGCCGGGGCCATATGCCGTCTATTAGTGAGTGAATCCAGCGTTTGTTCCCTAAACTTGGTATGACTGACAAGAGAATAGCTTTGACGAGATTGAGGCGCCAGCTTCTACCTCGAAGGCGACCGTCGCGAATGTCAGAAAAGCCCTCACTGATGAGGGCGTAACACTATCTGGAGGTTCGGCCAAGCGTGGTTTTGATGGTCTACTTGATGCGCTTGAGAGAAGAGTTGTTGCCACCGGGAAGAAGAGGCATGGCTTGGATTATCATGTCCGAAATCGAGTGGTCCGTCACTGAGTTCTTTAAGACGGGAGCCTGGGCTGTTGGAAGCAGGTAACGGTCTCATGTTCAGATACTCAAGTTAGCGTCAAAGGCTTCGTCCCAGTTTTGTTCAGCGTGCTTCCGTACCTTACCATATCATCAAGACTATCAGAGCAGACGAATGGATGTTTCATCATCACTTTGATCAATATGCCTGCTTAGTATCGTCGCTTCTCTCTGATCAATCTCTTGTCAAAAAAACGAAGTCCCATCAAGGCTGTTGCTGCAGCTGAACCCAGATTCACACGTGCTAAAAGCTCTGTTGTCATCTTTCTGACTCGAGCTCCAAAGTAACCTCAGATTGGCAATGACTATCGTGATCCTTATCAGCATCGTACTCATTGACCCATGCTGTTGATTGCAAGCATGTACAGATGCATCCTCTCTGGCCAATCGGGCCCCAAGGTCTTCAGGACATCCTGCATGTCTATCGCATCAGGTAAACGTCCAGTCCCGAACTTTTGCTTGATAATCTCTTGAATTTCCCGTACTTCCCTCAATGTGATCTTCTCGGCATCTGTCGGCGGTCGCACCGCACGAGTGGGAGGCTTAGTCCCGGTGTCATCAAAGAATTGTTCCATGTACAATGGAGAACCGCAACAGGGGTCAATGAGGACCTCGAGCCGGATTCTCTCATGTTCCTTCTTCTCGCTGAGACACGTTGGCCCAAAGAGGATTCGCATGTTCTCCGGCGTGTCCTTGCCGGCGATGATGAGGCGTCGGAGTGGCAGATCCATTCCTGGGCGGACTGTGATAGGATTGATATTGAGGGACCGCAATGGGATTTTCTCGCTATGTTGTTATAAAAATTGAACGTAGGGTCCATTCTGAGCGATGTCGTTGACGGAGCTGGGACCGGACGATTGGCGACACAGATCCCTTTATGCTTCTTCCAGTGCGATCGCTGGCAATCTTGAGAGTGATACCACGCCTTCTGACACCCTGAACACTTCTTCATCGGCGAAGAGAAAGTTTCTGACGCAAGCGCGCACCCGTGGCATTTGGATGAATCACCAGGTGACACAACGGATGGAGCTGCGGCACGGCCGGACGAGCCCTGGGTGTCCGTATCCGGCTCAGACCAGTCGCCGCCCGAAAAGCACATGAGTAGGTCTCTGATCTCCGACCACACCTCTTCGAGGATCATCTTTTCTTTGGCAGAGCAAACGCGCACGTTCTCCAAACCACCCGAGATTCCCGCAGCAGCCAGCTCCAGCCCAATGGTGTCAGCGAGCTCGGGGTTGTCCGTCGACCAGCCCCAGGGTGCAAATGGGGCATAGTCAGCGCCGACACTGCCTCTGAAAAAGGCTTGGAGAAGGGCGGTGACAGTCGCCTTGGCTCTTTCACGCTCGCTAGACCGGAAGATGATCTGGGTTGGATGGCCTTGCAGTAGTAATCTGCTGGCAGGGTGGACGGCGACCACCATATCTCCAGGCGGTTTGAGATCGATGTGTCGGACACCGAACACCCAATTGTTATCTAATCCTGTCGGCATTTTCTCTGATCGACTAAGGGTCTTAAAATTCCTAACTGCCCGCTCCATTTTGTAGGCGGGATTGATATATGTACTCTGGTGCGGTCGTCGAGTGGGCAGGATCTCTATAACGGCCGATTATTCAGAGGCTAAAGGATGACAGATCGCGCCTATGCAAGACGCTATATGTGATTTTGATACAGTAGGTGGTGCTTGAAAGAATTGACAATTCCAATGGCGTACTTTGCGAGAAAGAGACTCGGGAAGGCTACGTCTGGACGACTACCATAGTGAACAATCTCCTGAACGCGGGGTCAAATCCAAAGTCAATGGCTCCCATCAAGCGGGCTCGGAGCGGGGGATGTCTTCCTCCGAACCGCTTGATGAAGCATGTTTTCTCCTCCCCTTCGTTTGGCAGGGATCGAGGTCATCATGAAGCACTGGTACTGCAACTCTTGTCCTAACCCGGTCGAAAAAGTCACCCTGACTTCTTCAATATAGTACTACAACGCTCAGAACTTATCATAACTTGGCGCCCCTATTTACAGCTGCACCAATTTCTTGCCGAACAGCCAAGTCCGTGATAATCTCCTCACTTCCACCTCCCACTATATTTACTCGAAGGTCCCTGCTGATCTGTTCGACTCGAGCCCCAACGCCGCCACGCTGGTACCCAGCACCCCCAAATATCTGTTGTGCCTCTCGATTTGCGAGCTCTAGAAGGCGTCCGCCATGAATCTTGGCCATGGCGATCCTCGATGCAAGTTCCGTGCCCATGGAGCCGGTAGTATGAGCATGATACGCAATCTGCTCGAGCCAAGCCCAATGCGACTCGATGTAGCGCGCCATTGTGATGAGCTTATGTCGAATGATCTGATGATACATGAGTGGCTTGCCGAATGTGTGGCGGTCTATGGCATATGCCCAGGCGTCTTCCAAGCAAATTCTGGCCTGGCCGTTCATGAGTACAGCAAGGATAAATCGTTCTTTGTTGAAGTCTGTTTGGTAAGCATGAGAGTCAATATTCAAACTCGTCTCTCACGGAGGTACTCACTGGTCATAACGTACTGAAACCCGGCGTTCTCTTGCCCGATGAGATGGTTGACGGGCACTTTGACATTGTCCAGTGTCACCCATGTACTGTCCCCAGCGTTCCATCCACTATTACTGATCTTGCGTCGAGAAACACCGGGAAGATCGAGAGGAATGACCAGGACTGAGATACCCTTGATTCCAGGGCCTCCAGTCCTTACAGCAGTTGTCATGTGGCTCGCACGTATCGCACCAGTGATCCATTTCTGAAGGTTCATCAGTTGTCAGCCGCGAGCATTGAAGAGAAGCTAAAGTCCATCGGTGCAGTGTTTGTATCTTTCACTTACCTTATGGCCGTTGACTGTGTAATTTGTTCCGTCATCGGATTTGATCGCCGTGGTCTTCAAATTCGCTAGATCGGAGCCACCTACACGCCTTTAATCACAACATTTTCGAAAACGCTTCGCACACAACTCACCAGTAGGCTCGGTGCAGCCGAGACAAAAGCTCGTTTTCCCAGTGACAAGCCCAGGAAGCCACCACCTCTTCTGCTCTTCCGTGCCATGATGGATGACTGGAGGTACGCCGATTGTGGTGCCGCCGTTGAGTCCCACGGACACGCCAGCAGCCCATATTCTACTGGCCTCATAGCTGACAACAAGCGAGTGAAAGATATCCCATTCTAGAAGTGACGTCAGAAGACGAATCGCCACAATAAAGCATCTTACTTACTCTCAGCTGGAACGTTTCCTGGCAATGAAATATCGCCAGCATATTGACGCGGCAACTCTGGAAAAGCCAGGCCTGATTTGGCAAAGTGGACTCTCGCTTCATCGGGGACATGTCCCTTCTCTTCCCATTCTTGGATGTTGGGCGCGATGTGCTCCTCAATGTACTTGCGCACGTAGTCCCTCACCCTTCGATGGCTATCATCGTAGTAAGGAGAAGCCAGGGTATTGTACCACGCCGGCTCCGCAAAGGGCGCAGGGTTACCGTATGGCTCAACGACGGAAACATTCTTTGCTTTGCCTGACATTGTCTCTTTTCAGCTCTCGTTCGATTTCTGCCCAGCATTCTTGTAAATGCCATGACTCTTGTCCATCAGTTTCCTAAAATACATGTGCGGCCCGGTGCACGGTGCGGGATGAGCCGAGGTCCGTCTTGGGTACAGCCGCTTGCCCCGCGCCATCCACGTAGCTTCTTGTCACGTCTCGTCTCTACCCCGCGCTTGGGGATGTCGGGGAAAGGGGCCTTGAATTGTTAGACAGGCTTCAGTGACCCGGATGTGCGATGCGGTCGGACTTGGTTACCTTTTGGCACGACTCGTGTCGGTGTTAGGTAACGGCGACAACACTTGAGGCACAAGCTGGCACGGCTGGGTAAGTAACGCCTAGGTTTCGGCCGCAAGGAAGCAGGCCGCACATTCTTTTCAGCTGAAATGCGGTTGGTACTGCAGGCAAGATCCTGTTACTAGCTTCGACGGAGAGAAATGCCAAAGTGAAGGCGATTTGGGTGGTTTTTTGCCGTAAAGTACCTTGACCACTGGATCGCAATGCGGCAAGTGAGGTCGATGGTTTGTGACAGGCTCCAAACAAACCCACTTGATCATCGACTTTACCTACTGATGTTGCATCAAAAATGGGACTCTTTAAACCATAGAGTCGACAACAGAGGAACCCTTGATCTGGCATCGAAGAATGCAAACACCATGTATCATATGATAGAGCATCCTGGCCGTTGGACGGAGAGATGTCTGCGACAGCCAAGCGCACTCCCATGAGCAACTCGTTCTCGTGAGTTTGAGGAACCCGCAGCTTCACATCTTACAATACCTCCCGAACAAACCAAAGAGGAAATATCTCCTTCCCTTATTCTCGGCCTCATTATCTGAAAGAAGTATGTAAAGCCTCGGACTCGGCGAGTCATTTCGGGCCATCGGCTTCGTGTTTGACGTCAGCGGTAGGACCTCTCCCTGTTCATCCCTGATTGACTTTTAGAGTTGTACAAGCGCACCTCTTTCCTCTTTTCCGCGCGTCTGGCTGGCCACCTACTCTACCGGCTATCAAACACGTGTATGTGTTGGCCGATCAAGCTGTCTCCAAATTGTCTGAACACAATGTTCCCGGCGTCTTGGGTATTGTCCGAAGAAGTCGAAACGCAACGGAAGGAATGTTGCACGTGGAATATCCGGAGAGAAGGGAACCAATCAGTCGGCCCACTGATACCAACAAGAGTTGCAAGAAGTCGGGATCTGAGCCGTCGTAAGCGAAGTTCTGCTTAGCAGAAACTCTACCATGTCAACGTCAAGCCATAACTTAGAGAGTTCTCAGTCAACTGCTCTAGATGAGTTGCAGTTGGTGGAATAACGCGAGATTCACGCGTTAGCAGGCAACCAGCCTGCTTTCCTTTTACCGGAACATGTAGCCCTCTAATTCAAAGCCCGGACATTCAGCTGCGAAGGTGGTCACACTTTTGACTTTCCGTTATCGTGTACTCTGTCAAGGATGGCAGCACACACAAAGTTCCCGTCTCGCAACCCTCCTGAATGCCTTGTGTCGAACTCTATTCAGCTTGGAAAAGATCACCCACCGGCACGACGTTTCAGAGCTTGTCCAATTCAATTCATCCCCTCCCCTCCTCTTTTCTCATTAACTTTCCCAATCAGGTGTCTTTTCTTTCCCTTCTAGAGCCCTTCTAGTGCTTCCTCAGCGTCTGCCCCTGGATGTCATCACCGCTGCTGCCCTTCCCATCAAATTTTCTCCTCCTCCTCCCTGTCACCTATGGAAGCGTCGCGACTTATTGTATCGACCGACCGACCGATCGATACCCCGGAGCCGGCATCGCGATATGTCGTTCTTTCGGTCATTGGACGCGGTCAAGGGCATGCCTCTCATGACGCCGGAGCGAGAGGCTGCTTTTAGGGCAGAAAACCGAGCGGGAGAGGTGTATACGATTCACATCATCTTCTTTGTCCTCTCGATTCTTTCGGTTTGTGCCCGGCTTGCTGCGGCGAGGCAGTCTGGTCGAAGGCTGGCTTGGGATGATTGGCTGTCGGTAACTGCTCTGGTGAGTTTTTAATGCTTTAGGTGAACGAGTTGATGAAGTTGAAAGTCTTGAGATCTTCGTGGATTCCCCCATTCTCCTCTTGCATTAAATATAGCTAACACATGTTGCAGGTTTTTATCGTCGGAGTGTTCACCGGCACGATGTTCTGGCTCAAGTTTGGGCTCGGTAGACACGAAGTGGTTGTCCACGAGGAAGATCCCATGAACATTACTCGATTCTACCAGACGATCTTTGCCAACGAAATCATGTATCCAATGGGACTCGCAAGCGCACGGCTATCACTAGTGATATTATATCACCGCATCTTTGGACTCTTCAGTGCAAGATACTATTTGTACGGTCTCATGTTCTTCATCGGAGCATGGGCAATCTACGCAGTAAGTCAGGTTAAACATCAGCAGGAGTTCCAGTCTGAGAAGGGTCCACATCTGTCTCACAAGGAATTTGATATAAACATATGCTACATGGAACATGGCAAGGTGTGATTGGATACATAGTTTGAACAAGTGCTGACACAAGAATTAGACTATTCCAACGATTGTAGCTTGCATACCCGTGCAAAACTTCTGGACTACACACAAGAACTGTCTTGACCTTTCCAAACTATACATCAGCATAGCAGTTGGCAGCATCGTGACCGATTTCGTGTTGATCCTCATTCCAATACCTTACGCGATGAGGTTGACGATGTCACCTTTCAAGAAAATGCTTCTCATCTCGTCATTTGTATTCGGCGGCTTGTGAGTATCTCCTTTCTTTTCATGGTTTCGAGCAGACAGAAGAAAAAGACTTACTAAAGTTCTACGACTAGCAATTGCTTCATCACCATCATAAGGCTCGTCAAAGTTTCGACCTTTGACTACAAAGATCCCACATGGGGAACCGTCGATTTGATGATTTGGACAGGATTGGAGGCTTATTGGTAGGCACTCAACGCCCATATACGATAACTCCTGTCTAGAGCTTACACTAATTCTCGTAGTGCCGTGATATGCTGTTGTCTACCGACACTTCGCCCCTTACTCCAAGTTCTCCGTTCCAAATCCTCCAAAGACACCAACAAAAATGGAGGTGAAATGAGTCGGCCTGACGTCTATCTGAAAATGCCACCGCAAATAGCCTCTCGCTCATCCGAGGAGGCACTTGAGGAATACGACTTCGTCAAGATGAGTCTCGCAGACCTTCAGCAGTATAGCCGGCGCACGATGATCGAGACGGGAGGGACGGCGCTGGTGTATAGACAGCCATAGCAGGGCTAGACCAAAGCATCATTCTAGAGCTAGTGTTTAATATCAATAATTAGAATTCATCACCTCAGTCCGAGACTGCGGTTGTTCGGCAAGCGAGCGTTCTGACATCGAAATCACTTCCCAGAAGACGACTCAGTAGCTTGACCGAGTGACAGGAACAACAAGATCTCCCTAGATGATTTAGGTCTCTCGAAGCCACTCACTATGTCGGCTATGAAGAATTCACTAAGGGAGGGGATGCCTAGACTTTAGTGATCTTCTCAAGTGACATCAAAAGTACGTATTCGCAAGTATCTGTACCCATAATCGACTTCTAATAGTTAGACGTTATTCAGAAGCTAGACTGCCTGCCAAGGCTACCGGTTCAACAACTGTCACGCTAGGAGAATGAAGGGTTCTTCGAGATACGCTAATTCCCGTCACTAGTTTTAGTCACACTATTGAACCTAAACTCGCCTTTATCACACCAGCTTCCGCCGTACAGCCGTTCCGAGCAGAAACTCTATTAGGATATTATCTGCTCAACGGGCGGCCGTTTACAAGTCAAGGTAACTATCCGCAATCCAGCATTATAGTCCCTGGAGTTGGGACTATTTTCGCTTAAGTAGTCTCCTTTAGGCATTGATCCTTGCCCATGGCTTGCTTGCAAGCGATATTTTTGCTGCCCTTGGCCAATTTGTAGTCACGTGGAGTCGCGAACCAATCTCCAGACTCCAGTTACCTCCGGCGGTTATGGAAAGAAGCGAACCAGAGTGGTGTCGACCTCGTCCCAGCAGCAACTACCCATATCCGTATCGCGCTCCCATGGATCTGTATCCTTCTAAGGTACGTTGCAGACGGAACGCTACTGCGTCTTAGACTTTCGTGCTCGAAGATTGTCATACGATTTCGAACTTAGTCACAAGATCACATTTACATGCACGCGATCAGTAGAGCACGTCTAGCCGAGATGATTCAAGCTGATGATACTAGCTACAGATACTTAGAAGGGAAGAAGGAGGCACGGGAAGAGAATATTGTACTCGGGGTAGGCCTTCAAAGTAAGATCATGTCTAGCCAGATCTGATGAAGTCTGACTAACAGATATCAATTAACAATGGCCTCGATTAAGCAGAGAGACCATAATTAAACCCCCGGGATTCAAAGGACACTCAGAGAGGGAAGTGCCCCATACTGCTCATCCAGAAGAGAATTCGTTTGCATGCTATGAGATACACAACTCGCAGCCCTGGAATCTTCCAATTGTGGCGTGGCATGACGGCCCTTGGCCACCCAATTCGGAGCTCAAACAGCGCCCCTGGCATATTGGGATGTCGACGAGTGGGACGTCCTGTCGAGTACGTCAAATCCATCGATGTCCTTCCCAAGTATCTCACATGTGGTATCCGTACACACGTTGGTGCCTGGCAGACCCCATCAACTACTGCGTATGCGGGCAATAATTCCCAATACTCCGGACACAAATCAGGTCCTTTCAGGCCGGGATCCTTTCCAAAGCCCTGTCGACAACATGGAAGCCATGTGAACTCTCGAGTTCTCGACCAACTGGCAATGGAGTTCTCTCAGGCGCAGACGTACAAGTAAGTCGGTTCATCACTTTCCTCGCCTGTTACGTCGCATCGTCCCACATCGGTCGAGGCAAGTATCCGTACGGGTAGCTGCGCGCACCATATGTCGTCGATATCTGAGCTTCCACTCAACGACGTTGCCATCGACGCCTCTTTGATGGGCCGTTTTCCCACACTATCCAACGACCGTTGAGAAATCCCAACCCGCGACTATCACTGGTCCAGTCCGATTCGGTTCCCTTGCTCGTACGAACAGGGCTAACGCACTTGGTCCCCTTGCTGTCACTTCTCACTCGCCAACAGCCTTGATGGGTCCCCCTATCCGCCCCCTGAGGGTCGGTCATCAAAACCTCTTCTCGCTGCAGCCTGCAAGTTCTCCCCGGCTTCACTCGGGGACCGGGGCTCCGCTGGCGTAGCATTCAGAATTCCCAGAGATTCGTTCGAGAGTCCAGACTTCGTACTTCTCCCAAACGAGGCTACTCGCTACGTCCCCTCGCTACCTACCGTCTGCGACGGACTCGGGGAGCCGGGGAAATGTTAGTAGGCAGGTACGGCGAATGGGGCCCGTCCTTCCTTAGTGATGCGATTTGATAGGATGTTGAGTATACCCGTAATGTGATACATCTTGCTTCGGGGCCGTATCTTGATCCGGCAATCTGGTCGGGAGGGCACCGACTGTCTACGCAGTAGACAACTGCGAGGTGCGTTACATACGGTGCAATATGATCTGGCATGCTTGGGTACGGAGTACATGTCGGATGTACAAGGTGCCGTGCGGTATTGGCTACGCGGGACAGTCGTCCAATGCCAGCTACATGATAGTGTGATTCTTATGGATGGCTGTGGATTCCATGTCGAATATAGACAAGTGGGAACTGCAGGGACATGCACACGACAAAAATCTGTCCAGCCCTGGTCAACGCAACTTTGCAAGAACCAGACTGCTGGGCAGATGGTATCGAGAAGGAAAAGAGGAGGGGGAAGGTAGGGCGGACATGCTGGTCGGAAGACATCAAGTGAATCCGAGCCAACAATTGGGGATCGGAGTATTGTTAGCAAGCGCGGTTCGATCTGATGTTTAGCTGTCAAATGGCACCAGTCAGAACTTTGAATGGTGAGGTTGGTTGGTAACTGGTTAGACCATCCCACTAGTCAAACTCAAGACTAGTAAAGCACGCCGGCAGCGTAACGTTCCATTTCGAGGCTTTTTCTGGAAGATTGTGTAAAAACAGTCCATCGTCTGTTATGACACGCTCTCTGACACGCACTCTCTCTGTCAGTCTCGACATTCGTCAGACGGTTAGAGTCGTCATCCTCTCGCCGTTCGGTAGCAGTTTCGGCAGGCATCAAGAACGCAGGAGACGGGCTCCGGTAATCTAGGTGACACGGAACGCGGCGCTTTACCAAATCTATGGCTTTGTAGCGAAAGGGGAGGCAAATCACCGAAGAATATCCATGTTACGTGCTTGCAGCAGGCTGACGAGGGTGTCTATATGGAGTACGTACTTTGTCGTGTAGCCGGCGTGCTGTGCCGCAACCTTGCATGGCTGAGGCAAGGGTCGTTGGCTGCGGGCGAAAGAGAAGAGAAAGACGCCTGCAAGAAAAGTCTGATCTGCGACCGATGTTACCATCTTCGGCGCATCTTTTGCTCTGCGTGGCGATGAATCATGAGCATAGTGCTCATGGAGACAGTGGATATCTGAGAGGGGCAAACGAGATAGCAAAAAGATCAAGATGCGAACCAAGACGAGCTTTTTCCTTCGTCACCCAATCTGGTGCTTGAGAGTGTCTGGAGACGGTGAAGCCTTGAAGACCTGGTGCTGGTCGTGATTTAGAGGCAGCCAATGGGCCAGCTTAGAGTGCGAGGAGGCTTGGTGTTTGAGGACCAGGCACTCCTTGTGAACTCCGAAATGCGTACCGTGGTTGCGAGGGATTGGGATGAGTGAACTATCCTTGAAGAAACCGTCGTGAGTGGTTGTGAGAGGCGCGGCTACTGCGCTAGATTGCCACATCCATTCCGTGTACTCAGTGCAAGCTCTCGGTGGAGTTACGGCATTGTTTCCCGGGAGCCTCCACTGGAGGAGAATGCTTAGCCAGACACAGGCGAGAAGAGGGAGATGGGAAAATCCGTCTTTTGAAAGAGTGGTTCTGGGGGAAGGGGGCCTAGCTTTACAAGGTTGTGGGAGTTGAGCTCCGTAAATAGGGAAAATGGCCAAGAACGCCTGAAAAGGCACAGCAACACGAAATCTCCCACTTTTCTCTTCCGCCTGTGGGTTCCTCGGTGGAATTACGTACGGGCCCAGAGGTGAACTTTTGCAATTCAGCCCTTCTCTCTATCTACCCCCACCCCTCCTAGCCTGTCCGAGATTAGCGGTCCTGGGAGTTGACCTGGCATCCCCTGCTTTCAAGCGAGGTACTTTGGCCGTCTCGCTAACCTCCCCCAACTCCCTTTCTGTCTCGACAACTCGCCAATGATTGAAATGAGCTGGCGTTCGACCAAGCGATTGGAAACCCAAGAGTTCTCGAAAGTAAGGGCCACCGTCAAAGTGTGGTTGAAACTACCGTTTACTTATCGAGCCGGGGTGTGGTAGCGGCGACGACCACGCACCGTTCCGTTGTGGCACAGACATTTGGCAAGCAAACAAAACGGGTTTGTCAAGCATTTTT